TAGAATACAAAGAGTATGCCAATGGCCTTCTTCAAAGTGATTGATTTTTTCAAATTAGAAATTCTTTTCAGTTCTGAGCTCTGGAAAGATTTCTTTTAACCAGTTAATACTGGATGATGTTTGAACACAATCTGGCAATGTACATGTACATGTATATTCGCAGGGGCAGGTGACGGGTTAAATCGTCAAGCTTTCCCCCGAATCTCTGGCAGTGGACATGTTGTTCAAATGTTCCCATTGGTTTTGTACACACCATGTGTTGAACTTGAGCTTGGCCACTGTGCCTTTCGTCGTAGCAAATATTGCTCCATGGCGGGGTCTCGGGGTGTTGCAAAATATGAAGTACATCGTAACAGTTGGAAGTGTCTCAAGAGTCAGTGTTTGTGGTGTTCGACTTTTGGCCGATATAATTTACTTTTTCAAAAATGGTCCCGTCTTAAAGTGGTTAATCAGTGACCTAGGATCGGCACCTCTGTGTGCATAGTACGTATGGTGTGTATGTAGCACAATGAATAATGTTTACACTTTCCTTGACAACGGTTCAAAGCTACACATAATGCTTTGCATTTCCTTTGCAACATTTTGCAATCAACATGAAGATAAACTATCAGCAGCACTCTTGGACAGTGGTTAGATGCGTTCAGTAAACAAGTACATGTACCCTGATTGCCGATGATGCGTGAAGCGCATTGCTGATGACGCCTGATGCTGTCTCAAAGATGCTCCAGTATGGTTTTATCAGTTTATGTACATTCAGAATAAAATAAGTTGTCATGGGCGTCACGAGGGGGGGGGGGGGACAAGGGGGGGCGCTTGTCCCCTGCCCTGGAAAAGCAAAAAAAAAAAAAAATAGAAGAAAAAAAAGAGAAAAAAAGAAAAGAAAAAGAGGTGCAAAGTCATAGTGGTGTAAATTTAATGATTTGGGGGGGGGGGGGGGGGGCCAAAATGTCCCTGCCCCCCTCTAAAACTGATAAATCGAGAGAAATACAAGAATTTTTTGGGAAAATATGTTTTGTCCCCCTCTAGAAAAAAGCCTGGCGACGCCCATGTAAGTTGTACGTACTTCGCGTGATAGGCATGTGAACCAGTATGCACATGCGGTGTTTCCCGTCGACTTGGCTTTCATACATGTATGTATGTGATGGAAAATGTGGCTTTCACATGAGGTGGTGAAATCTGCCGGTAATGTTCGTTCACGTGGTCCATGGGTCATGGACCAAAAGGTTGAATGGGAACAATATAGTGGCTTCAAAAAAATCCTGATAAATATCCAACTTTATGATTTTTGACACTGTGAAGGGCCAGTATGGCCATCACAGATATCCAAACCTCATACTATGATATGAAATGGTATCCAAACCAGAGCAATATGAACTCCCCAGCCCTGTACACATACATTGTATCATAGAAGGACATGGCATCATATCTCACACAAGTGTAAACATCAACTGTATGTTGTTAATTTTATGTTACTGTTTTGTGTTTGTAGTGATACAGGTTACGGAACAGTAATACCAAACTTCCTCCCAAAATGTTTTTACCAGCATACATGTAATATGTACAATGTTTGTTGCTTGACTGACAACAACTTCCAGGAAGTTGTAGTTTTGTTCAATTATAAATCAAAGTACGTGAATCCTACAGGTACCTACGCGTATTGTACACCTAGTATTTGGTATTTTAAAGTATTTGCGAGGTTTTAATCATAGCTGGATTGCTTAAAGTCTACAAAATTAGTACATGTGTACAAAGAGCTCTTGCGTATACAAAGGTTGAGGGTCTTCGAATAAGATTTACATCTTGGTAAATTTGAAAACAAGAAACAAACTACACAAGCAATCCAAAACAATAAAAAACAACCACAAAGAACAATTCCTCAGTACACAAACCAAATGTCATTTCTTTTCATGTTTGTACCTAGTTGTACTACAGTATCCATGCGGACATGTGTACATGTACTTTGTATTGTCTCATCTAGCAAAGGAAAATTACGCGATGGAAGGAAAAACAAATTTACCAAGTACAGTGTACTAATTTTTTTTTGCTGGCTGACTGACTGATCCTTTTGTTAGATTCTCCATGTCAGTGACCCTTTGTTGAGTTGTTTGTATGAAAAATACACTTGTCCTGACAATGGGAATTTTTTCCCCCCGAACAATACCAATATCTTCACTTGCTAGGCTGCAGATCCCTTATGTACATGTAGGCTACTGAATGCAAATTTATGTCCGTAGTGATCTGTACTACATTGTATGTTTGTTCATTTCTGACACCTTTTTTTTGCGTTTGTATGTGGGTGGAACCGCCCATTGTCATTTATGACTCACAGTGGATAATGGACTTAAAGAAAAAATAATGTCACTCTTATTGGTGTTTGAACTTGGACACGAGTACAAATGAACAGTTGTGTTCAAGCGGAATTATGCGATTACTTCCTAACCGGCTTTGCACCTTTACATGTACCACAAAAGACACTTCCTCTGTTAGTGGAAAAAAGCCCTCCACAATCGCTGGAGGAAACTTGTCAGATTTGGAAAAGTCTGTGTACATTGTATTTGTTGCGTTGAACTTGCCTATTGTGTGTTACAAGTACATCCACTTTAAACTCCAAAATGGGTTAAATGGTATGATTCATGCATTCTTTAAACGTGGAGTGCAAAGACAAAGTTTTGTGGTTGTCTCAACTGAACGGACATGCTGTTTTCTGCGTATTGGGCTGAAATTCATATGTTCTTGCATTGTTATCAAGGTTGGCATGTATTGAAAGTTTGCTATACATGTAATTGAATCTCTAAAACTTGAAATTTTTTCAACAGTGACCTTGAGTGACACTCAGATGTGAATTGAAAAAGCCTTTACTTGTGACAACCATGTCTTTTTTTGTTACTGTTCTTTATAGTCAATCAGTTTTTCTAAAGTGACTGATGACAACTTCGTGATGTCATGAGAAAACACACAGAGTACATTGTTTTGTAAGCAGAACCTTTGGTGCTTTGCTCTGAATATAGAAGCCAGGAAAAAGGGTTCTCATTTTTTTAGACAATTTTGAAACGATAGTACTTTCTTTTCAAAACTGGAATACTCAGCTTCTAATTATGCACAGTGTATTTTATTTTTCTCCAACATGTGCTGTCTTCAGTATTGCCATGCTGCAAAATGAAAAAAAGAACAAGCAAACGAACAAACAAGCTATTGGAAGAATTGTCAAAATAGAAATCACTCAGAATTCAATTTTCTTAAAATATTTATAATACTAAGCAGAAGTTTGATTACTCCCTATAAAGCCTCTTTCTTTATTCACAACATCTGAACACAAACAACACACATGAGAATAAACTGCATACATGTACTGGTATTAGTTCACTACGGTTTACACACAAAGTTGTAAGATTCTGTAACAACAGTAAACTACACTGTACACAATTGCTCTTGAAAAACATGTCATATTTTTTATGTATCAATGTTTTCCTCCCAGGTTCAGACATTTTATCGGCCTACATTGTACATTAAAAAAAGTTGGCTTGCATGAGTCACCACACAATGCATAGCCTTCATTATGTATTAAAACATAACATTTCAGCACAGTTTTCATGGTCTACCCAAAAATGGTTACAGCATTGATGACAAGTCTTAGCCAAGCTTGCCATGTTAACATACCGGCAGAATTATACATGTTTTCGGCAAATTTTCTCTTGCCGACATATGCCCACTGAATTACACAGAGTTTGCCCTCAGGCTGCGTATATTCGCAGTCTCAATATCAGCCAGTTTCTTCAGCCTGTCGTATTAAGCCAATCATATTGCACGCTTCAGCGAGCCGGCCGCGGCCCAAATGTGTTTTGGTCGTTAAGAGCGAATACGCGAGAAACTTCAACTCCCTCGGGTTAGGGATTTCGGATTCAAATGAGTGCGGGTGCCGTTGACAAGTTGACGCCAGTCAGCTAGACATTGCGCTGCGGCTACGATTTATTTCGTCTCTTTCGTGAGGTGTGTCACATATGTTTCAGTGCTTCACTGACGAGTGACGTGGGAGCTTGCCTGATTTTAAATGATTGATTAGCCCCAGCAAAAAAATATCTCAGAATAAAATCTTTAAAACTTGCTATTGAATGTAATATTAACAATAATGTGGTTTTGATTAAATTGCATATCACTATCCTGAAATGTTTTTGGTTAAATATCTTATAATCACGTCTTATACATATTCATTGAGTACGTTTACATGATTAACCCTAACGTACCTGAATCCATCAAAATCCACACCCCTGTTTTGGATTCAGGATGCCTCCATATTGAAAAAGTTGGGGGATTTGATGGATTAAGGACAGTCAGCCTAGCAGTACTGCAGGATTTTGATGGATTCAGGATCTCAACAGTTTAACTCCTTGGCTATGTTTGGTGTGTACGAGGTATATGTACTACACTGGTGGATTCTAATGGACTCACTGGTGAATTCTTATTGACTCAGGACACCAACATTTTTTTGCACGACAAAATTGGTGGATTTGGGTGGATTCAGGATACTTTCTACTAAAAGTGCTGAAGGGGTTATATTATAAGTATAATTTCACTTTCATTTTTACCGTTGCTTTTTTTTTGTGGTTAAAATGTTAATGTGTAATTTTAAAATAAAACATGGAATAAGTTCAAAATCTACATGTACATGTAGTTGTACATTCTGGCATTTTCACAAAAAAAATTGCAAGGAAAGATTCCTAGCTTGTGTTAGGAATATCTGAAAGAGAAAGTTCTCTCAAGAATTTTTCTTTACCGAAAAGGCAGACTTACATGTACTAGGTTTACTTTTATTTAATACAAGGTTGAACAAAACAAATCTGGAATTGAGCTGGAATTGAACCTGTTCCGCAGGTTCTACAATCAATAGGTTCAAATTCTCCTCCAGTCAATTTCTTTGTTCATTCATATATTAAAGAAGTCATCTACAGTTTTTCTGAGCTTTCTCTCTGATTTTTCCTCCATTTTTCCTCTTTCTTCCTCAGGCTTTTGGCAATGCCAAGACAGTCGTGAACAACAACAGCAGCCGCTTCGGCAAGTTCATCCAAATTAACTATCGGGAGAATGGAACAGTTCATGGGTAGGTTCATGTTCAGTATTTATAAAGATCCCTCCCTCCCCTACCCCTACAACATTGTCTTGATCTCAGTCAGTCTGCAACATCATATCCAACCCTCTGAGATCCTTCCAAATTTAGCAAGAGGTTAAATTTGGAGGCAGTCAATTCAGTACTTGGTTCCCCGTTTAAAGAGGTTGTGGAATGCTCGAAGACATTTCCGTCATTTTTGGGTATATGTAGCCTAAGGTGTGATGAAATAAAAACGACTATTGTTTCTGTCATGAAATGAGTACAAAGGTTACTTTTGAGAGCTATTTTTCAGGTCCTGTTTCGACCCGAACTAGCAATTTGTGTAAAAGTCGTCGTTGCGGGCAGCAAACAAAACAGACTAAATCGTGACGTAATAAACAGGACTCGTTTATGCTACTCTGCATCGGGAGTCCTGTTTATTACGTCACGATTTACTGTGTTTTGTTTGCTGCCCGCAACGACGACTTTTACACAAATTGCACGTTCGGGTTGAAACAGGCATGACAGGACTTGAAAAACAGCTTTCAAAAGTACCTTTTGTACTCATTTTATGACAGAAACAATAGTCGTTTTTACTTCATCACACCTTAGGCTACATATACCCGAAAAATGACGGAAATGTTTTTGAGCATTCCACAACCTCTTTAATGAAGTAAGTCAAAGGTCATTTGGTTGCTGAACAAAAAAAATAGCAGAAAGTACCACTAAAAACCTATCAGGTTTTTTTTTCTTTTCGAGAGTGTTGTTTATGATCATCCTAAATGACCCATGACCAGCTGTATAAATGTGCAGTTAGAATACAAGGGAGTATGAGGTGGTCACAGTAGACCTGAAAGTGCACGTTCGATTGCTCATTTTGCATGCTTGCAAGATTGAGATACACATATACACACGAACGCTTAATGAATTCACATTTAAAACATTCAATGTAGCTTTTTTGTCAAGAGTTCATCATGACAGAAAAAAAACTATGTACACACATTGCACAAAATACAATGACTTCTTTAGTATTACTTTTTATTGCAATTTTCTTTTGTGAGATGCTGTTTACAGCAAAAAAAGGTCAGAGGTGGCCATTAAAACCCAAGTGAATTGCCAGAGAAAACACTGTTGAATTGGCTTATTTACAGCAGTGAGGAACTAAAGGCACAGGCCAGCCACTTCAAATTTACATTGGACTTGATGTCTCTTGAAAAAAAAATAACCCATTTGGATTTGGAGGGATTCAGGAACGTTCTAAGCAGAAAAGCTAAGGAACTTAGGGTTAAAGTTTCTCTTTTAAGTGGAAACAGTAAGCTCTTTTACTTTCTTATCATCTGGCTGAATCCAGTTACAGCATTCTCAAATCCAACAGAATCCCACTGCAGCTGGAAAACAAAGGGTCTTATGTTCAGTGTTCAGATCTGCAATTTCCAACCTAAATTGGCTACCATTCACTACTAGTGGTTCCAACTGTATTAGGGTTAAAACCTTGAGCCCAGTTTCCAATGAAAAAAGCTGGAGCATGTCTTGACACACTTTTCGGGCTTACAGTGATTCCTATGGACTAGGGTTAAAGTATTTGCCTCACTGGTTCATAATTCCACAGCCAATGGAGAAACCACCAGCTTGTTTGTATTTTGATGAGTGATGAGGGCAGTTGAGCCCAATCGTCCCCATCCAAGTTGGGGCATACATTTTGCCTGTCCTATTGGCCCTGGAGGTCAGCCTTTGGCTAGATGCATTGCCCTCCATTCTTTGTTGCTGTATAAATGGGTTACACATCAATCTCAAGTACTGTACATGTACTTTGAAAAAAGAATGAATAAATTTGCGTTATTAGTTATTATAAAGAAAGACTTTTACATGTACATGTATAGTGATTGCACTTCAAAATACATTTCAAATACCATTTGAAAGTGTCCTTAAACTAAGCGTCCAAATAGCTGTCTTGCTGTAAATTATGGAAATGTTTGAGATGTTTGCTTGTAATAGAGAACCAGAACTATGCATACTATTGAGAAAGTGTCAAAAAGGTCATAAGGTTTTAGGTCATAAGGTTTTAGGTCAGAAGGAAATGTTTCTCACAAGCTCTCATTTAGCACTGAGTATGCAGTGCTTACAAAAATGAACTTTTTGAAGGAAAAAAAAGAAGGAAAAAAGAAGAAAGAAACAAACAAACAACCAGACTAACTAAAAACAAATAAAAATAGCCTCCCAAAACAACAACACCACCCCATTGAAGCAAACAAACAAATAAACAGTATTTAATTATTCCTAGTTTTTAAAGAGTCCTAATTTTATTCTGCATAATTTCCTCCTAAATTCTGACATCTTGGTCACTTCTTTGTTCTTTTTTTTTATTGCATAATAAATGACCTTCTTGATTGCCATTATGGTTCGGTCAAACCACATGTATCAATTATTAACAGTAGTTTCCACAGAACTAGTGTAAATATTTTCAAGAAACAAAAGGCCGGATATTGATTTTGAGGCCTACTACATGTGCTCACCAGTAGGGGCTGACTTGGCAATCTAATTAAACTTTGGCATTTGCGACCAGCCAAGACCATTAGTCATTAGACAAATTTACTCCAGCCGACTGAACTAATTTGCACACAGAGGTCAGTATTTGGTCAATTTGTTTTTGGTCTTGTTTATGGCCATTTCCATGTACACTTATCAACCTTCAAAGGAAGATGTACCAGAGTACCTAAATAGACCAGAGACACAATGACATCAAGTTTTGTTTATGTGTGCTTTCTTATGGGAGCTTGTCGCTTCCCTCCCTGTACTGCATGTATATTGCTCCCTTTAGAACATGTACTGTATGCTTTGTTTACATACGGGCATGTATAAAGTTTGTAAACAATTATGTTTCGGGCCGTTTGTAAAGTTCGTAAACAATGTTTCAGGCCGATTGTTTCTCAATGCAATATAAAAGTGTTTCATGTTTAGATTTTTAACTTGTGTGCTCTGTATTTATGATTAACACAAATGCAATTTACATTGTACATGTATGTAACTTGTCATCAAGTAAAAATCCGACTACTCACAGTGAGTGGGTGTAGGTGTGTTGTACACAGTATTTTACATAATTTTACAAACAATATTACGATATTGGGGTTTTCAATCACTGATGGAGCACCTGTAAATTTGTAATTTAAACGATTGAAAACGAAATAAAGATTGTGGAATGCAACAAGCATGACACAACAAACCAATGAAGTATGTAATGTGCATCCCTCATAATGAATATTTTTATTCATGTACATGTATGTACATGTACGTGTATGTAATCTGTATCTCCTAAATGCCTATTTCTGTTCATATACATGTATGTTTGTAAAGCATGCTGTCGATCTGTATGAATTTTCTTTAAGTCAAAACTCAAAATGCACACATCTGATTGGCATGCTAAAAATGTATTCTGACTCTACTAAAATGACATTTCATATGTACATCGAAGCAAGGTTCCATTTTTTATATTTTATCTGCTCTGAAATTTCAAGCATGTAGTGAAATCATTGGAGCATAATCGTTATACACAGTGTTAAACCTCAAGTTGTCTGTTGACAGTGACTGTCCATACAAGCCAGAACACGATGTCTAAGTGATTAATATTTTATGGTACCGTGGTCTCCCCTTCCAGCTGTTTGGTGTCGCCGTAATTGAGACAAAGTGACGAGCGCGGACGTTGTGTAAACAAATGATAAAAAAATCATGGGATGGCATTCTCCATTTCATGATAGGTGTGATCCTGAGACAGTAATTATACTCCGAAGGAATTAAAATGCAATGTGTTTCAGTGTCGAGCAAATTTGTTGGTGTTTTGTGAGTGACCAACTCAGTTGTATAAATGGGTATAATATATCAATTTTTAAATGGATTTAAAAAAACGTTTTTCATTTTTAATTTTTTTCATATTTCGGGTCGGGGGGCGGGGGGCGAGGGGGGGGGGGATGGGGATGGGGGGTTAGGTACATGTATTGAAGCGTTGACATATTTATTTCCAAGTGAGAAAATCAGGTATACATGTACGAATCAAAGATTGCAAAAATCAGTACGATAAGATTTAGTGCAATAAAACTTTAAGCAGTTAGTTTTTAGATGGTTTAAGATCATAAAGTGTTTTTGAAGTAGTTATTTTTCAGGAAAGTTTCCACAACGGAAAAAACAATTGGGGGGAAAACAGTATGAATGTACACATACACATGTACCCACAAATGTGTTACTTACATTCAAACGTTTGTTAACAATATTACCTAATATCTACATGTAACAAAAATGAGGAAAAACAAGAGTAAAAAGAAGGGGAAAAAACGCAAAGAACTTGTTCAAATTTGATCAAGTAAATTTATACCAATGTCTGTCTCCGATTGTTCCCTGTTGTTAAATCACAAATCTGGTCACAGCGGTCATAACCACATCCATGACCAATTAATAGACATCGCATGGTGTTAAGTATGTATGCCATTACGTTGGCCACATAAAAAATGCCCAATGAGAGACATGTATTACAGAGATCAGGCTGCATCTCCTCACTCATCTATCCAATCAATCATGTAAAAATGGCTGGGCCAGAGTGAAAAATTCAGTGCTGAAATACCAGACCTCAATTATTATTTTCTTGCAGTTTCACGATTGACATTAATATGTGTGCAGACTGCAGTGCTCATGCACAGAACATGTCATGGACACATTACACATGTCATGTACACATGTACCGGTACATATGTGTGTTTATATCCAGGGATTATGAAGTTGACAGAGAAATTCCAAACCCACATTTTGTACCCTGTGAATTTTACATATGTAACCAATGCCCTGCCTAGTATCTGCAGAACCAGAAGGATATTTTAGGATTGTGTAGGATGGAGGACTGTAGATTCCTGCCTTGCCTTGATGAGTCAGATGTATGTTTACATGTGCAGTAGCCGTGAAAGTTCATGTGTGTGATCAGTGGCATGTTGTGCACATACATGTACATTGTACTGTGTATACATATGGGCAATTCCATCATACTTTTCATAGTAAAATACTTGAAGTGAAAGCAAATTTTGTACATCATCAGAACAACTCTAGCTTAGGCCTTAATTTATTGTGCAACATAATATGGTTAATGTAGTGTTAGCTGAATTAATCAACTGAAAAGTTGAACAAACAAATTGACTGGAGCAGGGTTTGAACCTGCGACCTCCGGATTACCGTTCCTGTGCTCTTACCAACTGAGCTATCCAGCCCTATGTTGACAGTTCCCCAATTAGTCAATATCTTTGTTCATGTGGCGCTAGTCAGAAGCCATAAACCAGTATGCCATACAGCCAGGGATCACGCCCAAAGTCACGATACAGACCTGGGAAATAGCAAACGGGCATCACTCAGACAGGATGAATTAATGAATGAGATATATAGAGCAATGAAAACAATTGTGATGAATATTACGCTTTAAGACAGAGATTTTGATTTTCAGTGCGCATTATAAAAGTCTTCGAAGTTTCTTGCAAGACTGCTGTGGTAGAAATAGGTTCACTCTATCAAAACACCAATGACACTTTACAAAAAGGCACTTTGATGTTATGGAAACATTATGCGTTTGTTGAACATTACGGATGTTACATTATAACGTTACAAACATTACGTGTCTGAAATCAACTTCATACAAGTGATAAAAACATACTGAATCATGGTGTTCTAACTCTAAGTTTGTTATTTTCATGAAATATTAACCTTTCTCTCTGCCTTAAAATTGGTTATGTAAGGTAAATAAAAAGTACATCTACACTCTTAAACACGAGTTTTTGCCTGATTTCCTTTCTTTGTAAACTTGGGAAAGTCAGCCAACCTTTGGAGTTACTTGAATTGTTGCTACGGAGATAGTGTCACAATTCTGATTCAGAGTTAGAAAATAATTTTGTTAGATATTGAGTGCCAAGTTTGTCAAGGTCATGTAGTATATACAGCAATGGGGATAGATATGTGGGTGTAGTGGTACAGAATCACGTAGGTGTACGACCTGTATGTTTGTCCTTCTTTCTCCTCAATTTCCCTCTTACTCAATTTCAAATTCAGGGTTCTCCACTCTATCGGACGTTCCGCGTAATTCCATACAATTCAAACAACAACATGGTCAGATTGCTTTGGGTATTAACAAGATTTCCAAATTTTGGCCCCTGTCTTATTGTGCAGTGCCATCGTGGAGCAGTACTTACTAGAGAAGTCCCGGATTGTCTCGCAAGCCCCCAACGAGCGCAACTACCATGTATTCTACTACCTACTGCAAGGCGCAGAGGATGTCGAGCGGGAGAGTCTATGGTTGGAGAAACCGCAGGATTACTTCTACTTAAATCAAGTAGGTTAAAGGCCGCTAACACTTCAAGATCTCCCAAATCAACTAGAGGCTTTTTCACACTTTCATCTCGCCTTGCCATGTTGAAATCTATATGGTTCCAGGGGATGACAAGGAATAACCTTCGCATTCACTTCGATGTGCATGGGGGTGGAGAGGGGGAGGAGGGGAGTGTCGGTCATATATGGATTATCTACCTGGATAGAGCCTCTCAACCAGGGATGTTGTCAAGTCCATCACAAGTCCAGTCACAAGTAAATCACAAGTCTATCCACAAGAATGAGTGGATGGACAATAACAAGGAATGCCTTTGTCAAAGCTCGTATGGATCTAGCTTGTGATTTGAATTTGGATTTGGGGACTTGTGAAGGGCTTGCAGGGGCTTGTGATAGACTTAACTACATCCCTGCTCCTAAACCTGGTCCTGACCAGGGTTGAAAATACAGATGTAGAAGCCGTGTTGGATTTTGACTAGTGTGAAAGGAAGTCCTGAAATCTTGGAGCTCGACACAGGTCCCACACAGAGATTAGTTTGAAAGGGCCATTAAGAAGTTTGAAGGATTTTGTAGGATCTAGGAAAGTAAAACCCAGCCACTACTTATATACATATTCATGGGGCTTGATGCCACATGAATGTTGAAAATCAAAGAATGTTCTGTTGGTTTTCTAAACAGCATTGGATATTGAAGGATTCAGGAAGGTTCCTTGCAAAAATGGCCAGGGAGATCAGGTTAAAATTTTGCATGAGTTTAAAATTCTTGCATGTAGTGTTCCTAGATAGTTTATCATTCACACAAACACTTTATGTTTAATACCACACAAATACAGAATATGCATTCAGAACCCTCCTACTGTCGTAAACAGAAATCTTCCCTCTTTTGGGAGAAAATCTAACATAAATTGCATAAAATCAACTGTCCAATATGCTGAACTTTAGAAAGTATTGTGTGCTGACTTGCAATTTTAAATTTACAGATTGTTTTAAAAGGGACAGCTATATATCCAGTTAACGAAATTACAGATGTTTGTTCGAGTGTGAATCGGGTGAAAAAATTAACTGTTTTTGACCAGCGCCTTTCCTCATGATGTGTGACTTGTCACTGAGTCTTGTATATGATTATGAATGATACAACAGGTGGTATTCCAAATTTATTAAAGTTAAAAAAAGCTGCCACTGTAAATTTAAAAAAACCTGGAAAAGTTCCAAAGAGTATCTGTAGATGTTACACTTTCCTGAAGAAATGTTTTGGACCCGTTTCAAAAGTCCAGTGAAAATACAAGTGAGGCACAATTGAATGCATTGTTATATACGTAGTTAGTCAGTTAATGAAATTACATCGATCAAACTTTCAGTCGATTTGGATTACAACTGCAAAAGCCTGCTTGATCCATTCCGTTTAATGTTCATCTTTAAGTGACTTTGACATCTCCAAATTCAGACCATCTGAGCCGTGCTTCAAAGTTAGGAGTCCCGGCTGATTATTCATATCCTGTGGCCTTCCCTGACTAATGTGAGAATCCAACACTTGACAACTTTCCGTTTTCCCTCCCCCTTTTTGCCTCCCTTTTGTTGACAGAGTAACTGTTTTACCCTGGAGGGGGTCGACGAGAAGTATGAGTACACCAGGCTCAAGCAGTCCATGGAGATGGTCGGCTTCTCCCGGGAGACTATGAAAAGGTGAGGATTGGCGGCATTGTGGGATAGCGTGGGACAGTATGGGATCTCCCGTGGGCTTGAGCAAAATGGGGCACCTTGTGATATAGGCCAATGGGACACTGTATAATGATTGGATATTAGGGGATATTACTGGATCCCTTGTGGGGTTTCGCAAAAATTTACTTTGATCATCTCAAATAAGGGTTTTGGGAGACCTATATCTTGCAAATGAAACATGGTATGATACTTTTGACAGCAGCATCTTGCAGATTGGATGCCATTCAACCTGTGTATCAATTTTCAGGTAAAAAAAAAGCCCTGATGCATTAGGGAAAGGCCTCCATTTGACAACAATTGATGAGCTTTCTTTTAGTAAAAGAATCATTCAAATCACTCATGTAATCTTCAAGCTACGAAATTTTAAACACAAGCACCGTTTCAAAGTTCTTTCCACAGATCACAAAAAGGTAAGTGTTCTTCAGCAAAACAAAAACAAATCACATAGGGATGTATGTGATTTGTTTTCATTTTGCTGAACGAACGTATACTTCACTGCACATGGAGAACTTCATTAAAACAATAGTTCCGACATTTGGTTTGGGTTTCATTTGTTTTTACTCATGCTGTATAGCTAGGTTACTAGGTCACCAGGGCCTCAGAATCATTAACCCTAATCCTTCCAAATCCCTCAAAATCCACCAGGAGGCTTTAGAGGATTTTGTAAGATTGAGGAAGTTACCACTTATTACTTGAGGCGTTATGGCCCAATGAATGAGTTCTCTGTATAAAATTGGAAGATTTTTAGGATTTGAGAAGGGTCCTAGCAACGATACAAAAGGAATTAGGGTTCTGATTAATTGACATAAGATTTCCTTGCCAGATTTTTGTAGTTTTTACCGTATATCATCGTTAAATTGTGGCAATCCACGGTGGAAAATAAACTAGTGTCCAAATATATGTATGTAGTTTCAATTGCACAATATGTGGAAACCAAAAGTTGCAGCACAAAGCATCATATTTTGTCTTGTGGAGACGACTTGCGAAACTAAGTGATTTGATTACTTACATGTCAAAAAATAGAGACTAGGACAAGTACATAAACTTAAGCTTAACAATCATTTCCAATAATCTCTTGCTGCTTGTTGAACTGTCATGTGACAACACTGATGCACACATTAATTGTAACGTACCATCTCAGACTGGAGTTCACTTGAAGGTGATGAACACCATTTGCAATAAATGTATTTTTTTTTGCCAATTCAAGGATGGTACTAAACATAACGAGGAAATAATTGCGTACTACATGTTGGTGCAGTAATTTCACAGGATGCTATCCTATTATTTACTTACAGTCAAGTAGGATATTTCAGGATATTTTGACAGTTCAATTTTTAGACGTTTGCAAATGGTGTCCATTGCCTTTAAGCAGCTGTTAATTGTTTCATTTAAGAGATTGCCTCGTAGGTTATGTCATAATAAACATATTAGTTCGCAGAGGTCACATAAAGTTGGTTGAATACATGAACAAGTCAGCGTACAATTTAAAGTTAACTTGCAAGAGAAGCATGGGTTTGTAGCTGCTGCATGCAACCTGCTTACTGGATGACGTTTAAACACTGTATACTCAGTGTGTTACCTCCCAAGTGAAAGTTGGAAAAAATCACTCGGGTGGGACTCCAACCCACGACCTCTTGCTTTCTAGTGCAGATGTCTTACCACTCGACCACCGAGTTAACGGGATCGGTTGGACAGTTCGAATCTGATGTACATAGCAGCGGGTACCGCATAAACTATTGTAAGATGGAATTTTTGCGCCGGGGTGATACAAATCAAATTAGGTTTTGCCCTTCACCAACGTTTAAACACTGTATACTCAGTGTGTTACCTCCCAAGTAAAAGTTGGAAAAAATCACTTGGGTGGGACTCGAACCCACGACCTCCAGCTTTGTAGTGCAGATGTCTAACCACTCGACCACCGAGTTAACGGGATCGGTTGGCCGGTTCGAATCTGATGTACATATCAGCGGGTACCGCATAAACTATTATAAGATGGAATTTTTGCACCAGGGTGATACAAATCAAATTAGGTTTTGCCCTTCTATGTACATCAGATTCGAACCAGCCAACCGATCCCGTTAACTCGGTGGTCGAGTGGTTAGACATCTGCACTACAAAGCTGGAGGTCGTGGGTTCGAGTCCCACCCAAGTGATTTTTTCCAACTTTTACTTGGGAGGTAACACACTGAGTATACAGTGTTTAAACGTTGGTGAAGGGCAAAACCTAATTTGATTTGTATCACCCTGGTGCAAAAATTCCATCTTATAATAGTTTATGCGGTACCCGCTGATATGTACATCAGATTCGAACCGGCCAACCGATCCCGTTAACTCGGTGGTCGAGTGGTTAGACATCTGCACTACAAAGCTGGAGGTCGTGGGTTCGAGTCCCACCCAAGTGATTTTTTCCAACTTTTACTTGGGAGGTAACACACTGAGTATACAGTGTTTAAACGTTGGTGAAGGGCAAAACCTAATTTGATTTGTATCACCCCGGCGCAAAAATTCCATCTTATAATAGTTTATGCGGTACCCGCTGATATGTACATCAGATTCGAACCGGCCAACCGATCCCGTTAACTCAGTGGTCAAGTGGTAAGACATCTGCACTAGAAAGCAGGAGGTCGTGGGTTCGAGTCCCACCCGAGTGATTTTTTTCCAACTTTTTACTCGGGAGGTAACACACTGAGTATACAGTGTTTAAACGTCGGTGAAGGGCAAAACTTTTGGCTATACCACCTTAACTGAACAGTCTTTTTTGGATCCCATTGTGACAACTGAAGCAAAGTTTTACTTTACTCGTAAAAGTTTCCTGTCTTTATTTCAGAATCTTTTCGGTTCTATCGGCCGTCCTGCACATTGGCAACATCACATTCCGCAAGCGCAACGAGCACGAGGAGTACGTGACCGTCAAGAACATCGCCACGGTCAAGCTGGTCTCGGATCTCCTGAAGGTCAAGCAGGAAACGCTGGTGTCGGTGCTGACCAAACGGAAGTCCATGGCTAGCGGGGACCAATTTGTAGTGCAATACAGGATGTCTGAGGTTGGTGAATGAATGAAGACCAATTGTGGGTTGTCTTTAACCCAGAGGCAAATGTACTACACTCTGCAACATTGTACTACATTGTATTACATTGTATTACATTGTATTACATTACATTGTATTTCACACACATACACAAAAATTATGACCGATTTGTAGTGCAATACAGGATGTCTGAGGTTGGTGAATGACTGAAGACAACTTGTGGGTTTTCTTTAACCCAGAAGCTCATTTACTACACTGTGCTACATTGTATTACACCCCTTATGTACATGTACATTGTGACCAATTTGTAGTGCAATACAGGATGTCCGAGGCGTGTGAATAATCTAAAGACTAAATGTGGGTTGTCTTTTAATAACACAATTACATTGTATTAATTGTGTTTAGTCCCTGATGAATCCATACAACTATACAATGCTTGGATTGTTTTGGGTGCTATAGACACAGACGCATCAGCGTTATGCGGGTTAAATTTGGAGGGCAACTTGGGGTGCACCAATTTTTCAAGGGGGGCACTGAAGGCAACTGATATATTGTTTTTGAGCAATTTAAGATTTCAAGTGGCGCTTGTGGGGGGGGGGGGGGGGCATGCTGGGTACGGACCTTGGCTGGGGAGCACGTGCCCCCCTGTGCCTCCTCCCTCCCCACCCCTGTAGTTATGCCACTGTGCAGATAGCACTTTGTGAACACTTTCAAGAAGAACTCCAGAGGGAGGGACCACCGTGTTCTAGGTGGCGCTCATTAGGTGCAAAGTACAAAACATGTACATGTATGCCCGACTACTTTTAATCTGAGTCAAATCCGCACTGTCTGCACAAATCCTCTGTATTGTAAAATCCAAAAGGTATTTGTGGAGGATTTTGCAGTATTGAGGAAGATACAACTCAGCCACTATGGAGTACCGAAGTGTGACGTCATTTAGAACCAGAAAGTGTAGTGCAAACGATTGGAGTACGCGCTCGTGTTGGCTCACGGGCTGAATCACGCGCTAATGTCTTTCACACACATTTTGCGCGCGTGACATATTCACTTCGGTACTCCATAGTATTACTTTACAGTTCCATAGTTTATTTGCCTCCATTAGGTTTTTTGGCTAGACTGTTTTTGTTAATTAAGGAAGGACAGCTTTTAAATTAATGAACGGGCCATCTTGTGTAGAAGTAAATAAATGAAAGCAATCTCTTAAAAGCTTGCAGTCTGAATAAGAAGATTACACTGCCAATTTTAGAGACCTGCCACAATATGACAAATTTGGAGTGCTGTTATTAATGTTCAAGTGATGAATGGTAAACTAAACTGAATGTGATTATTTCAGTTACAAGAAAGAATTGGAACGGGGAAATTTATCACGATGCACCTAGTGGGTGTTGTTTATTATTTTATCTGCGTAGTACATCGAAGGTAATATTAGATTGTCCTGGGGGAAGGCTTAGATTTGATTGAACGACCGAGAGTTGATGGAAAGACTGAAACTGGGGGATTATAAAGAGTGCATATATATGAATTCCTTGATGGGAAGAACTGAAGAATTGCCAACCTTATTGAATGATCCCTTTGCCAAATTATGGTGTAGACTGCATTTGTTACGTATACAGTTGACTGACTATTAGTACAAATGCTGTCACAACAAATTCTGGTTATGGGCTCCGTGCGCCAACAAAAGAGGGCGCTTTTTTACCAATTTTGAGAGCCCTTTGGATGGGATATACAGTACGCACAAGTTATTTTATTACGAATGTGCACAAAGCCATAGCGTCTTCCCGTGAGCATCACTCAGTCCAAGTGGTCTCCCCCAACTCTCCCTTTCTTGCCAATGAGGGGGTACTTGTGCATTGAGCCCATAGTGAACATAAAACCTTGGTCCCCTACAATTACATTTATATGTACATGTATGTACATGTACATATGTGCAGTGGGGGGGGGGGGGGGTTGAAAAAAACAAAACAATAACAACAACAACCCCCATAAAACAGGGGAGGGGGTTTGGAAAGTATGGGGAAAGAAGGGAAGGGTAGCAGTGCATCTGATCAACGCAGTTTCTGCACACAACCCGCTTGCGCGTGATGCACTGTATGCGGATGTTGCTTAAACCATGAGTCTCAGGCTGTTTGGTAAACACCCCTCTCTCTCTCCCCCCCCCCCCAAAAAAAAATCTCGCTACATTCATACGTACATGTACATGTACATGTACGTGCATATTGAATATGCTCATCTTAAATATTTTGTCTAGGTCTGGCTGAATACGAATTCATGTTTCCATTAAGTCGACTACATGTACACATTACAATTTTGCGCTATCCCTGGTCATGTGCGAAACAAAGCTAGCTGAGTCGCTTAATATTCTTGCATGGACAGATCACATTGGGTGCTTTGCAATGTAATGACAGTTTTCATGTTATTTACATCCATGTTGCAGTTTGATGTACAGTGTTGTAATTTTGGTCCCATTTGCAATTCATTTCCTCAAATGTAACCCTATCCAGTGATTTCCTGAATCTTCTGGTGCCAAAAGGATATCGGCTCTTTTGCATAATTGGTCTCAAATTGTAAACACAGCCTTCAGATAAAAAAAGGGTACATAAATGTATTCATCTAATGAGAAATTTTCCTTTGCTGACGCACAACTACATAGATTTTTTTTTGTATTTGAGGCAGTAGTGCTGTGTTGTATTGCTATTCAGAATGAATGGTGATGTATACACTATCCAGGCATGCAACTTTTCCTCGGATCCGCTGATTTCCTTGTTTTTTACTTCTCATGAATGCCATTACAAATTGAAAAACACTGTACAAAGTCTTGTGTTGTTTAGAATTTCCTCGGTTTTTCTAAATTCCCAGTTGCATACCTGACTATCGCATATGTTTGCAACAATGCTTCTAATGAGTGAAATGGTACAGTAGGTCATAACGTTATAATATTTTTGGGAAGGTACCAAAACATTTGTAAATTTTTCGCCAGTAACTTCACTTGAAAAGAGTCCTTTTTCTTTGTCTTGATTCCTGCAGGCTTTGGCAACAAGGGATGCCCTGGCCAAGGGTTTGTACAGCGGCCTGTTTGAATGGATTGTACTTCAGGTCAATCACGCTCTACTGTCCCGCTATGAGAAGACTGGTGAACATCAGGTAAAAGACCAATCATGAGCCGCATCTGAATCAGCGTTTTGGGGCTATGGCTGCGGCTTGGTCTTTGACACTGACACACTACAACAAATTTTTAGTAGCTTCAGACAAAAACAGCCATTTACGACTAAGCCATACCGGTACATCAAGTTGTCTTCAACCTAACCTTTTTGGTTCTTTGCACGACTTCCTTTTCTTGGTACTGAAAATGAAAACAAAAATTCACTGTCAATTAAGGGGACTTCCCTGGTAAAAATAAATTCCTGATAATTGCAAGTGACAGTATCACATGCACCAATAAGTTTACTGCTGTCATTACACATGCAAGTCTAGTTTCCACCACCTACTTAAGTTATGTAAAAAATAAATGGAGATGATTCGAACGCGAATACAAAATGACGGCTATAGCTTAGAATAGACTTACAGGAAGATCAAAGTTGGTATGCACCCTTCTTAAGATTTTAAGTGGTTTGTTTCATAACTTATCTTATGTTGTGCAACCTGGGGAAATCAGTGAAATTATTGATGATGGTTTGGCTCTGATATAGACCATCTCCTTTTGAAATACCGAAGGTCCCTGTCTAAGATTTTAACTTTTAACATCTTGATGGTGTGACCTGGATTCATCATCGCGGACATCCTAAAGATGAAAACCAGAGTTCTCGGTCAAAACAATTATCATTACAGATTTATTTTTATGCTTGAATTGAGATCAGAAATTTACAAAATAATGTGGATCAAAATACCAACACCGATGAACTTTCTGCCTTGAAATTTGAAATGCCAACCTGTTTTCATAATGGTAGTCTCGTTTGTCTAACATATCAACTGCGTAACAAGCCCAACACTCTGCTGCTCTATATTTACATTCCCAGATTGGTTTTGGACAGCAAGAAGATGGTTAACCAATACAAGCACAAGAGTTTAAATATAATTTGGATCTAAAATACCAACACGGATGAACTTTCTTTTATACTTGGTACCATTTTTGTTTTCGCCGTTTCAAATGCCAACCTGTTTTCATATTGGTTGCGTCATCTGCCTTACCCATCAACTAACAAGCCCGAGGTCTCTCCTGCTGAATGTCTCCCGGATTGGGTTTGGATAGCAGGCAGATGATCAATCCATTATACAAGCTGGAATTAGTTCCGTGATAGGGTCGTTAACATTTGCGTAATAGCCCTCAAAGTCATAAGCCAGGTTTGTCACGAGTCGCCGTCGGCCGCTGTTAGATAGCCAGTAGGATCTGTGGATGCTTCTCATTAACTTTGGTACAGGGAATGTTCAAAGCCTAAATTATAATACCCGATACGTGATTGAGATATCTGTATCAAGTTTTTTGTTTAGGATTGCATGTAATTGGATACAGCACCCAAACATGTTTTTGCAGATGTCATGTTTTCACCAATAAAGTGCTGCGACCTCTCATATTATTGTATTGATTAAACCTTTAGCACTTGTATTACATTGTACTACACTGTATTTACTAAGGGAATAAATATGTGCTTGGCCAATTTTAAACAAGTGTGTTTAAAACTGGCCAAACCCCAAGTTTAAAACTGGCCAAGCACATGTTTATTCCCATTCATAAAAACCTTTCAGTTAAAAAGTCAAAACAAGTCAAAAATTCACTAATTAAGGATTTTGTTCAACAAGTTACTTCATGTTTTGTGAAACACCCCTCTTGCCATGTCTATGGTATGTGCCTTGTGCGCGTAGTGCTAAAAATCTTCTTATAAAATTATGAAAAACGTGCTGTGCGATGTGGCGCCAAACGCAAGAATTGTGTTTCAAACCAGCCAGTGTTTTATCAGCGGTTTAAAACTACTCACATGATGGGCTCTTGATCAATAGGAACGCCTAAACTGTCTCGGGTACTGAATTCTTGATAAATCCATGATACCATAGAGTGCTAGGGCAGTTTTTTGGGCATTGTAAAGGGGAACAGGAAGGGCATTTTGGGGCGGAATAAGAAGTAATGTGTTAACCAGATCTGCTATAAAATCGCAGTTAGCCTGACACAGTTTTTTTTTAATTATAACAACAGAGTAGATATATAGACTAATGCAGCAGTGTTATTTATTCACCGGTTTATATAAATAAAAATCCAAATCGCAGTAACACAGAAAGATAAGCCAGAGGATATATTGGATACATTTTAAGAATGTTTTTGTTGCAGGTCATGCAGAAAAAGTGCACTTGACAATCTTGTTTGGATAAAACTGATATGTACCCAAAACTTCCTGTTTTGTTTCCCTTTCCTCTGTTATGTTTAAGTCTGAGCTAGTGGTGGGATTAAAATCAGGATTTATAAAAATTCGGTTTTAATTCCACTATTCGCTTAGGATTTTGAAAACCATATATTCGAAACCAACCTTAAAAAATTTAAACCTTCTATTTTCTGTGACACAAGGCACGGATCCTCTACACAAGGATAAACGACTCATCTGAGCTTGTGTACAAACTGTACGGAACGGTTTGTCTAGGGGCGTGCAACGAATAGAACATGTAAAACAATGCGCGTGCGCCATGATCGCCGAAAGCTGGCGTCCTGAAAGAAATTTGACCACTGAAAGACTGCAGTCGCGTGCCGAGTCTCGCGCACGCGCATGCACCTGCCCATTCGTCTGATCAGAGAGTTCCCAACCAAGTTTGCTTTTAACATTGCAGCTCTGGAGTGCTTTTGTAAAGGCCTAGTAGTCATTGAATCCCAGACACTATACTCAATCATCATGGAGGGCATTGGGTGCAGCACCATGCTTGTCAGTTTCTGTTGGTATGACTGTGAGCTGAATGGGAGCTTCCAATGAAGTCAGATTTTATAACCGTTATTCGTTTTGAAAAAAATTAGGATAACTGCATTTTGAAGTCTCCGATTTCTCCCACCACTAGTCTGAGCATGTATTTTGGATTGTATTCCACAAATGTGATGCGATCAAGCTCAAGAAGTCGTTTGTCGACCCTGGTCATTTGAAAAAATTTTGTTATAGATTTCATAAGAGCACAATCTCAGCATTACTGCTGTGAAAACCGCATGCTGGTACCATCTTAAAAAATTATGGAAGTCAGAACACCAAGGGATCATGAAGTGATGTGATGAAGTGGCCCTATTTTGGCCTGAATCTCCAAATGAAAGTTCCCGACAAACGACTCATTTAGCTTGATCGCATCACAAATGAAGAAAACACAGATGTAAAATTTTTGTAAACATGATGTTTTTTGTTTGTTTTATATAAATTTGTGTGATACTGTTAGAAATTATTTGAAGTCACTTCTGTATGGTTGTGTGTTACTCATTGCATAACAATTTCTTTCAAAGTGAAATCCCGGCGGAAGTTGCAATGTTTAGCACTAAAATGTTGCATAGCAACTGTGCGTTTGAGAAAAACAGAAACTTTTCTTCTATCATTCTTTCTCTTTCAGTGGTTATTTTTAAGACTAAATATGAAATGATGACATCATGGGACGCGCGGTATTTTCTTAAATTTTACAATCATAGGCACTTTCCTTTTACAAAGTTAACAAGGTTGGTGTGGTTTGAACTTGAAAATTGATAGTGAATTTTTTACGTTTGTTTGAAAAAAACTTCACAAAGTATTCATCCAAAAGGAAGTATTTAACATTGTTAGTTTATGATTTGATTTGCCAACATTTCTGTAAAATTTAGTTTCTATAACTAAAGTGTTGTACGTGCTGAAAGTGAGGAAATGGCAAATTAAAGTTTAAAAAAAGTCTGCAAAAAGTTTTATAATATTTTTTATAAAAACCATGTAATAATGAGTTAACACAGTGGGGTTTTTTTTCTGCCACACAGGGCAACTCCATCGGTGTGCTAGACATTTTCGGCTTTGAAGATTTTGTCCTGAACAGCTTTGAGCAGTTCTGCATCAACTACGCTAATGAGCATCTCCAGTATTATTTCAACCAACACGTCTTCAAAATAGAACAGGTAAGAAAGTGACGTTTGGATCTGGCCATTCTTAACATTCTTAGAGTTTTTTTTTTTCAATATAAGTGGAAGTCAAGTTACAATAAACTCCGGCTAAACCGACATCGTACAACTCGTCAAATCGCTCAAGTCGGCTGTCTGACTCAAGTCCCGATTGTCTGTAATGCATTTCTATTGAATTTTTTATTTCTAAGTCAGCTTTTATAAGTCGCCATTTCGCTCAAGTTGTGTTACTCTTGGTCCCCATTCCATAAAAAGCATTACAAAATCCTTTGTGTAAGTCGGCATTCAACAAATCACGCATTGGCATCGACTTCCTGTACTGCGGTTGGCAAAGTGTAGAGTGAAAAGTGGTTTTGCACGGCCCGTGATCGCTGCATGCATCGGTGTCAAAAAAGGGTGTCCTGCTGCATACATCGCATATGCAACATGAGCTATAATTCGTCAGATCGGTGTGCGACATCGCGTAGCAGCAATCGGCTCAGTGAGAACATGTCTCGGACGCTGAATTCAGGCCTAATTCAAAACATGATTCAGCAACTTTTGATTTGAAATCGAGAACCTAGAATGTTGTTTTTCTCAAAATATACAGCTGAAGCTGAGCTGAAACTTCATCAGGTTAGTTGTTCAGCATCCTTCTTTAGATTGTGAAAAGTTTTGTTGCTTCGAACGAACAAAATGCACAAATTACAAATGATGGACTTTACCTTTAAATCCTGCCTGAGGCAATTGTTTTTAACAGCAAATTATTTTTTTACAATTTCAGGAGGAATACAGAAGAGAAGGCATCATATGGAAGAACATAGAGTTCATTGACAACACCGGCTGCTTGTTACTGATTGAGAAGAGACCAACAGGTCTACTGCACATACTCAATGATGATTGCAAGTAAGTCCACAAAAGCTATGCTGTGTGTCTACATTGGCCTTCTAGTGTTTAAAATGCCCAAGTTATTTGAAAGCGAGGAGACTTTGGGTGACCATTGGGAGGGGCAAGTGAATGCATTGCTGAAGGTACCCGACGCTCAGCCAAAGACATGATAGGTTTGTGCACATTCACAAAAAAATTAGTCGTCCGTACAAGTTCACATAGGAACCAGTGCACCGGTCTGTCTCCCCCCTTTCATGAGCAGCACTGAAGTACCATCTGCTGTTGATGCATGGAATCCATGGGCACTGTGCATAACATGCGTGTTGTGCCCTTGAGTAAGGCGCTTTACCTCAATTACTCCTCTCAACCCAGGTGTTCAATGGGCACCGGCATTATTCAATGCTGGGAAGTTAACAGACTCGCTGTGGAGGAGGTGTGGCGATCCCCCCACAGCTGCATAATTAGTCTGGCCCAGTCGCTAATGAATGAGAGATGGGCACTCTGTTCCTGTGAACACAGGTTCGTCCCCCTTTTACCAATCCTGCAAATTCCTCCATTATTTCTTGAATATGGTCCGTGGAGGGGTGACCACTGCCTGAATCCTGCAAAATCCTGCGGCAATGACTGTCAGTATGTTGAGGCTTGGCCAGTGACATCCTGGAGCAGTACGAAGGGTTTCAAGTATAATCCAGGCCTATATTTATGCATGGCTGAGCAAAACAACACAAGGTCCGGCCCAAGACCTTGACAAAGTGTATCTTTCGAAATCAGTATATGCACTTTTGTCATGTAACCTCAATCCTCCAAATTCCTCCACTTTGGCAAATGAGGACTTTGAAGGATTCAGGGCGGTTAGGGCTAATAGAATTTCTTTGTCTGCTTGATGTAAATTTTAAAATGGATTTTACCTTTCTCTGATTTTAAAAATTAAATATCAGTTCTGTCTGAGAGCTTTTTTTTTTTGAAAAAAAAAAAAATACAAAAGCTGTATATTCTATTTGAACTGGAACAGAGTTTGTTCCTGTTGGGCAATATGTCATTCCGACAGACGGAACAAAAACACAACCTGCTTCTGGGATTTCCCAGTTTCACTTTCTCGCCATTTTTGGAACACATTTACACAGTTTGACTTTCAGAACCTTGAACAATTTTGCCAGATTGTGTCATTGATAGTGTGTGCTGCTTTGTGACAGCCATAAGGTTTGGATTATTGGACCAAATTATTCACATATGAATTTTCAACTGTCGCGGACCGTATAAAGCTACATATGTCAGTCTGAGATTTCCCCAAAATTCCTCTGAAATACTCATTCACAATGATTTACTTGATTTGACTTGTGCTTTGGTAAAGGGATTCAGATTTTTTTTTTATCATTCTAAAAACATTTTATATAAAAGCTTAAAAATGTTAATTGCCACAACTGTCGCTTACTGTGTCTGGCTACATTTGTCAAGCTGATGCCATCCCCATTTCATCTGAAATACATTCTAAATGAATCATCTGAAGATATTCAGATGTTGATTATTTTTATCATTCTTAAAAAATGCATAGAAACTAATGTCTTGTAGACACATGAATTGCTATAGCTTTCATTGATTTGTGTCTAGCCACACTCATCTGTTAATTTGAAATACAGTCAAGATGATTCATTTGATTTGAAGTTTTCTTTTGTGAGGTAATTGAGATGTTCTTTGTTCATCACGTTTAAAGAGAGATATATTTTAAAACAAGCCCATGTCTTGTTGTCTTTTGTCAGTTTTCCAGCCAAAGACACAAACGGGGAGAATCTCCTACAGAAGTTCACCTCTCATCACAAAAACAACGGCTACTTCCAGAATGTGCAGCTAGAGCAGGCTTCCTTTATCATCGTGCACTATGCTGGCAAGGTCAACTACAAAGTCAAGGTGAGAGAGCCAGGGGATGAACGTTGATACTTTTTTATAAAATGCAATATCAGTGTATATTTTCAAGGACCATGAACTTGTACTTTTGATTTATTTTGAAGTTCACCCTGGTGTAGAGTGCTAGAAGATTTTAACTCTGTTGATTTGTAGGATGTTTAGAGGGCTTCAAACATAGAGCTATATTAAATTACTAGAGCGCTAACTCGTCATTCTGCGCGCGGAGACGCTTTGAAGCCGTCCTGGGCGCAGACATTTTGAATTCATGTGCGTGTTTGTAGAACATAATGAAATTAGATGGATTGAATTTTGAAAGTGTACTCTACATGCAATGCGCAAGTAGAACATACGCAAACAACTTAAGCGCGTCATTGACGGTTCAAAAAACGTGACGGCAAAAAACATCTGCAGCGAATATGCGCACGCGTTGCGCTGTTTGCGTAGAGCAAAATGACACGCTCATTTGCTGATCATGCGTTTCGGTTTTGGGCGTATTTGCTTCGATAACGCACCGGTATGGAATACAAACGCAGATATGCAAATAGCCGTAAAAAAGCCGTACAAAATTTCTAGGTCTCCATAGATTTGTGCACAAACATGGATGCGCCCAACAGGCATTACTTTGTACACGAAGTTAGCGCTCTAGTAACTTAATATAGCTCTATGGCTTCAAATGATCTTTGTCATCAACACAACCCTATTTAAAGGTTTAAGTCCTTTGCACTTTCAATGCTCACAATCAGCCATTGTGATTGCTACTTGCCGACCTGCAGAATGTGTCCATATTTTTGCTCAACCTTATAATCATCATCCAGGACTTCCGAGAGAAGAACACGGATCTGATGAGACCAGAGATCACGTCAGTGCTCAAGAACAGCAACCTGGCGTTTGTCAGGGAGTTGGTTGGTATCGACCCGCTGGCTGTCTTCCGATGGGCCATCGTCAGGGCCTTCTTCCGCGGCGTCAGTGCCTTCTTGGCTGCCGGCAAGAGATACAAAGCAGGAGGAGGTAATTCTTAATCCTCTTGAAGGGTCTTGCTTTTTTTAGTACCCAGTGTTACCGAAATGAAGGATGGGATTTTGCATTAATTTGTCCGGTTGTCTCAACAGATTTGTAAATCAGTAAAAAAAAAAATGTCAATTAAATTTCCCAGGATGTGATCAAGTACTAAGGTGCTTTGTAATGAACAAGTCATTCGTTATTCTGTGTCGGATAAGCCTGGAAAACAGATGGCCTGAATATGAGGGCAAATTGTCAAACTTTGGGGTCTGGTTCATACAAAACAATGTAGAAAATATTTTCAAAAATGCACCAGTTTTGTTAACGTCTCAAACCGTGTTCAAAATCATGACGGGGTGGAGATATGGGTAGAGTTTTATTGCACTGAAATGCCAACCCTCAGATACACATTTGTTAAAAAAAAATTGCATCAAATGTAAGATCATTAAAGTTACAAAGACTACTTGCAAAAAGTTGCTAGAAACAAATTTTCTCAATGGGAAATACTCATGGGTAGTCAAAAGGCTGAATGTTTACGAAACTAGAACATCTTGGTGCATGCACATGTAGAATGTGTGTGGTATAAAAACACCACATGTAAATGTAATCCATCCGAAAATCAGTCACATCCAGGGATGAATGAAAGGTATTTTGTGGTGAGTTGTAATTGACAAACCAGATTTGCAGTCCAGATCTTGGCAATCTTTTTGATGTTTTCGTCTTGTGACCTTCTTGTTGTCTAGGTGAAAAGTCCAAGAAGCCCAAGAGTCCAGAAGCTCTAACCATCACCATACCAGCCAGAGACGAAGAGATGTTTAGGTATGGTATGCTTTATTTCTTCTACAAATGATGTTTTATAAGTTGGTGGGTTTAGTTGAAGTTGACGTTAAGATATGAAGCCCACTCTGCTTAAAGAAAATCAACTGTTGATGTTAAGTTAAGATTTTTAACTAACTACTTCCTGTTTTTGGTCATGTTTTCTTTTTACCTGTTCACATTTTTGTCTGTTTATATCCGTTTATAGATGAGTCGTCTCATTAATTATTCAGGATGAGTTGGGAATGGGCCAGTTGTAGCCGGTATTAGTTGCTGGAAGTTTTTCAAAATTTTACAAGTAATTCCCAAAACGATAGGCCTGTTGAGGATGAACTCAATGGCGTAGCAAGGTCATTGTTATTGGGGGGGGGGTTAAAAAGTTCATGAAACGGGCACTCGCACTTTCGTACTGAAATGTAGACAGGGTTTCTCGCCGGTTACTTGGCCTATGTAAAATCAGAAGGGGGGGGGGGGCTAATACCATCTTACTATGGGGGCGCTGTTCAAACCAGACAATCATGGACATTATCAGACAATAGCTGGTGCATTTCAGGGCAGCAAACTTGCCGACGGTCACGCGAAATTTCTAAAAAGGCACTCGTAAAAGGCCGCTGGTAAAAAGTGTAACTTTTTCCTTTAAAGGGGGGGGGGGGGATTGGTAAATAACCCCCCTTACCACCCCATACCCTGCTGGCTATGCCCCTGGAGCTTATTCTGGATATTTATTGTGTTGACTCCTACGTGTGACAATTACATGTCAGTGTTTTCCAGTAAAAATAGCTGAGACGTTTCCTGTCATATTTGTACTGTGTCACAAAGTAAATTTAGACCATCAACGTTCAGTTGGTTATTGGGGGCATATTAGAGAGAGAAAAAAATTAAAACTTGAAATAAGAAGAAAAGAAATAAATATGCATTTGACATTTAATCAGTTATTAACATTTCTATCTTCTCGGATTTTAAGCAAAAAAACCACCTTTGTGCATTAAGTTAGCCTATGTTGCTCATGTGGTAGCTGATGTGTTTGTATCTTGTCATAGAAAAATATATTCAGCCGCTAAAACCTACCGCCTCATGCGCCAGATAAAGTAAGTCGCACCCGTGGCTGGCAATGTTATACAATTCCACACCCATTTTCTGTTGTTCTTTTTTGGCTTCGGGTTTTACGTTGATGGCCGTGCACACCCAGTGTTTTAATTGCATCTGTGCATGACAAAAGTTTGTTGGTTTGTCCAGGGCTGGTTCCATGCACAATATATAATTGTGGTTTTAACATCACACAGAAAGTTCACATATGTTGGATGCACAGAGCCATATTTTCATGTTGTTATTCTTTCAAGGATAATTCTTTTTTGTTGTCGTTGGTGTGGTTGAGATATTCCCAAGTATCCACCAAAATAGGATAGATTTGGGGTCTTGGTTGGGTGACTTTGACCCACAGGTTTTGCATCCGTCTTAACCCTTACAGTCCCAAAATCCGCCAATGTTAATACGATTTGCGCACACCCTAACTAGTTAGGGTTAATTGGTAATTTTCCAGCTTGATTGTGTTGTACTTAAGCCGAGTGTTGGAGTGTTGTTGCACTGTACATGTTACAAACACAAATTTGTCAGGTTTTGGTCTGTTCCTTCCCTTGAATTAGATGAGTTTGGATTGTTGTGTTAATTAGCTTATAACTAGCCCCATAAATGTGGCCAATTTACTGGACTACCTCCGTAAATAAAGGCCACACTTCCACCATGTACAAAAACATGTCGAACTTTGTCAAATTTTGATTTTCACATTTAGGCTTAGTTTGTAGTTTATTTTTGCTTTAGAAGCATACTCACCCTCTTTATAGGCTAATCAGAAAGTGCTGCCTTTTTCAGATGTCTTATTTTCGTGAAATTTCATGTTGAAATTTTGATACGCAAACGTGTGCAAACGAATCTGGAAAGTTCACGAAAATTAGACATCTGAAAAAGGCAGCACTTTCTGATTAGCCTATAAAGAGGGTGAGTATGCTTCTAAAGCAAAAATAAACTGCAAACTGAGCCTAAATGTGAAAATCAAAATTTGACAAAGTTCGGCATGTTTTTGTACATGGTGGAAGTGTGGCCTTTATTTACGGAGGTAGTCCAGTAAATTGGCCACATTTATGGGGCTAGCTTATAACCAGCTTTGGGGTTCAATATATTAGTCACACTGCATGGTGTCCTCCGTGTTAGAGTTACTTACTGGTATATTGAAATTTCCTTCAACATCTGCCAACTAAAATCCTTTATAATCAACCAGGATGTTTTTGAAAGGATTTTCAGAAAGGCAAAGCGCCAACCAATATTACTAGTATTACTGCACGTTGAAATTCACAAGCTGATAATAACAGCTGAGGCTGAGGGATGGCATTTTGTTGCCTGCATAGTGACAATCAGTGTGGCACTGTACTTTTGTCAGTAGTTATGGACATGTTTATTGTGTGTGTGACGTAGATACAGTATGGTTCATTAAACTTTATTCCTTGCATTCACTCAATGTTAGAACAGACCCCCTTCATTTGCATTCATTTGTTCCTGCATTAATATTTGATATGCATATTTCTGCAAGTGATATATTGCATTAATACCTTGTGCATGAATAATTCATGAGATGTTATGAATAATTGGTGTCATGAATCAATTCCTCCCCTCCTTTAATATAATAACCCTTTTATGTTAATGCTGTTAACATTCGTTCCCTTCCTGCCCTGTATTGCTTGCATGAATTCCTGTTCCGATATTTTGCATGTTTTTGTTTGCTTTTCCCATCCTCGTTATTCACAGACGCCATAACCGTCGTGCTGTGCATGGACGGAAGCATTCACATCACAAAAACACTTCCCAAAAAAATGGTGCCGCCCAGCCCTCCATTGAAGACCAGTTGTCCCCCTTACCCGGGGATGAGGAGAGGGCCCTCATGAGCCCGGATAAGCACAGTCTGAGCACGCTCAAACCCAGCCTGCTAAACGACGACTCGTACTGGAAAGCCGCCCGAGTTATGAAGTAGGTTGTCGTAGGATTGCAGTATTGTGTGTCCTGTTACATCGCTGCAGGGCACTAGTACATACCTATTGCCCTGAGGGTGGGGAGATATTTACAGAGGATAGAATGACCTACCGTTCCCTTTAAGTACCTTTCCTTTTCCTTGCATTTTGAATGCTTGATTTTAGTTCATTTTGCCACTCACCGTTAGCAAGTTTGACTGAAAGTTTGATAACAGAATATAAATTGCCACTGTTAGATTTTAACCAACCCTGTCAACTCATGCTGCTTTCAAATTCTTAAGTCATTACCTTCCCTAATCTGCCAAAATCCAACATCTGGTTTTGATGGATTTTAATAGATTCAAGATTACAGACCTCTGACACCTTCAATGTATTTGGGGTTTAATGTCTCATGTCACAGAAAACATTGATGGAAACTTTAATAATAGCATGTAGTTGAGAAGCCAGGGTAATCCAAATATGTGTAAGTTATATTTGCATGAAGTGGATAATGGTCTTCAGACCAAGAGGCATTTTTCCTTGTTGACAACCATGATGTTAATTTGTTCACTACAAATGAATGCTTAGATTGTAACCTGCAGGAACTCAAACGAATCATCATCATGTCCGTCAGCAACTTGGCATGTTACATAGTAGTTTAGAAATTTCCCAAAATCCATATTTTCAGACAATAGTTTCATTAGTCTAAAGCTGTTTTAGACAATTTTAAACACCGCAAATAGCAAAAAAACTATTAATTTATCTATTAAGAATGCGGAGTCAGAAAAGTTGGAGAGAGAAAAAAATTAATTATGTTTTTGTTGTGCTGTGCTAGCTGTTGATTTTATTTAATTGCCACAACCCCCCCGGCTTTTTATTTAATGTGTGTTCATATTTGGCATGCTTGATATGTAATCACATTTGTTATTTTTATATGTTCTAAGTATTAATTCGCCTTTCATAATAATCATTTTACTTTGTTGCTGTTTCAGTTTAGAAAATGTTGTTTTGTGTTCAAGCAGTGTTGTGTTCAAAATCTAGGCTGTACATGTTCTGAATTTTGATGCCCTGTTCATAATAACTGTTTTAATATTTATTCTGTTGGTTTGGAAAATATTTTTTTTTTGGTTCAAGCAGTGTTGAGTTTGGATTCTAATCCAATAATCTACTTTCCTGTTTTGGTTGTTGAAATGGTTTCACTGGGCAAATAGATCGAAAATTAAATAGAAAGGAATCATGTCGGATATGTCTGTGCCATATGCAACATATGGTATTCTCTTTCTAATCCTAGGGTTACACTCCATACTGAATCGGTTAGGGCATGAACTAAATAAGTGGGTTCAATATCCGGTTATGTGGTGGCCACATGTAGTTCGTTTTTATGCCTCGCATTAAAACCCGCTTTGAATGGAATCCAAGGTTTCGTTGATTACTTTCAGTAGCTTTACCGACTAGACTAGACCTTGGATCACAAAGAGAGTACTGTTACAGCCATCTGAAGTCAATTTCAAAGAAATGCTTAGCACAAGAATTTTGGCTAAGCACCGTGCATAGAAATTTTAAGCTTGGAGAGTATTGTTAGTCACCCCGCTAAAAATGGAATATAAATATTGGTGGTTTGCTAAACAGCATAATAATGTCTAGATAATTAAATCATTTGTTGCAGAGAGGAGAATTGTGTGACAGCATGGAATTCTGTGCCCAAAACAAATTTACCTTAATTTACATCAGAGTAAAAAGACCCATGACAGTCTGATGCACTGATATCACTAACTGTGTAATTCCCATGGGTGAATATCCCATAGCCTTTTACAATCTGTTAGATCTCTGGTTTGCATGAACTGATTTCCATGGCATTTTCGCTGTTTATGCACAAGAGTATGATTAATATGCTCCATCAAGATGAAATAATCATGTTAAGTAGTTTTTGAGAAATTAAAGGGTATCTGCTTGCACAAATTTCTTGGGACACCATGCACATGAAAGACAATAGATTCATGCACATCATATTTCAAATTATTCGCTTGTACTTGGCCTTATTTGTGGGCACGAACCAATTCACATATGCAATATGTCCTTCACTGAGTATTCAACACTGCACCATCTATTATTCCTGCATGGAGTCCATAGTCAGGGGTATATTATTCTATTCCAGGGGTATATTCTTCTGTTCCATGTGCTTGCACTTTTGAGACTGTCAGGCTACCCTGTAAAAAGTTCTCCAACCATTTTTCTATCAGTCCCTTGAGGTCTACGAAACAGGAAATGCTGAATAGGAAACAGGAAATATCTTAACATGTCTATCAAGATGGTTCCACTTCAGGAGAATTGTACATCATTTTGCCAGTCTGTCATGCTAATCAATTGCTTACAAATGCCCAAGTGTTCTTGATTTTAAGTATCGAAAGGTCAGGGCAAGAAATTTGACTGGTGTTTGTTGATGCAAGTTAAGACATGACCAACAAAAATTAATTCTTGAAGAGTTGTTTATAATCGCTTCTTCAAATTTTCTTGATTTGTCTTTATTGCAGTTAATGTAATATTTGATAATTTTTTTTTTTTACTTCCAAAAGGAAAAACAAGTCATTCAGGGGAGCTCAGGCAGCACCGGCAAAGGTAATAAAAATATAACCATGAAAATCATGTGCTGGAGGTTGTTTTTAATTCCTGTGTGACCATTTGAGAGTAGGCACGAAAGTTTTAACCAAATATGATGCTTGTCAGCGACCAATCCATCTATTAAAAATATTACCAGGTGTTAATGAACTTCTTGTTTCTAATTTCTCGCAGGGTTTAAGAGACTTGAAATCCATGAAGAAGCTGATGAGTAGAAAGATGGTGGGCTTTCGTCGCTCCTCGACCAAAAAGCTACCACCGACTGTCAGTGCCCAGTTCCAGGTAGGTGACTTTGCTCTTAACCTGGGTTATATTTCATGGTTATACCCTGGTACAGTGTGATTTTCTCATCAAAAATGAAAGAAAGAAAAAAACTACAAGTTTTTTTGTAAAAAGAGACTAGATAATTGAACAGTTTGTGCCTCCCTCAATCACTTACATTATGTGTCAGTGCAGTGCTGGTCATTTACTCATTTCTGTGCCATTTTGGTTATTTTCAACCGTTAGGAGGTTCCTGTTCCGTAGCATAGCTCTTGATAAATATGACATTCTTCTTTGCTTGTTAAATTTCCTGAGACACCAAATTTTTGTGATTTTTATGAGGATAAAATTTGGTTTTAAAATGCATAAAGTACAGAAAATAGCACTAAAATATAAAATAACAAATATGAACATTAAGCAATTTTTCCCTCTAAGTTAACCCTATTTGTGTTTTGCTCCTTTACATTCAGTAAGTTCATTTCGTTGAATTGCACGGTTATACAAATATAAGGGTTGGTTGGTAAGCTGAATCCTTTTTCAATTCAATTCAATTCAACTTCACATTTTGTATCACCAATGTTAATTATTTACATATTAATGAAGAAAATCTTGCATTTCCTTTCTACATATAGTTTTGTAAAATATTGCATATCTTATTTTATTGTTACTAAAGGCCTTTCGTCTCTGTCTTTGTTAACTTAAAACCTCAGCCATCCATCCCCTACCCTGAGAAGTCATTTGTAACAACTGTAGTAACATATCACTGTCAAACAAATTGACTGATATTGTATCACTAACTGATAATGTAACAGAATTTGACAGATGGTGTAGTAACATTTACTACACTATCAGTCAATTTTTGTTACATTATCAGTTGGGACCAATAATGTAACAACAATAGACTGATAGTGTACATTTTTCTACACTATCGGTCAATTTTTTGTTACATTAACGATTAGTGATATAATATTGGTCAAATTTTGTGACATTATCAGTTGGTGATATGTTATCCATTTGTTACTACATCAGTTGTAACAGTTGTCATTGACTTCAACACCTCAGCCACCCTCCCTTGAAAAATCCTTTGCCACTGAAATGCTATTTTTTTAATTTTCTGAATCAAGCATCTGATATATCCTTTGGTTTTTCCCTCAATCCCCTGTCAGTTATCCCTGAGCAAATTAATGGAGACATTGAACCAGGCCAACCCGTTCTTTGTGCGCTGCATCAAGTCCAACTCCAACAAGGAGCCTTGTCGTCTTGACGAGGCGCTGATGATGAGGCAGCTACACTACACCGGTATGCTGGAGACTGTGCGGATCAGGCAGTCGGGATATAACGTACGGCTTACATTTGAGGTAAGACCTTTGTAGTGGAGTCATTGAAGTGGAGTCCATCCCAAATGAAATCACAAGTCAATCACAAGGAGATAAACAGTAACATGGGAAATCCTTTGTCATCGTTTATTAGCTTGTGACTCGACTGAGACTAGATGAATTGTGATCGACATGCTATTGACATGTGATTGACTTGTGATTAAATTGTAACTGACTTCTAATTGACTTGTTATTGACTTGTGATGCCCTTGTTTGGTATTCTTGTGATTGACTTGTGATCGACTTGTGGTCGTCTTGTGAATGACTTAGGATTTACTTTTAATCGACTTGTGATTGTCTAGTGAATGACGTGTGATTGACTTGTGCCTGACTTGTGATTGACTTGTTATTGACTTGTGATTGACTTGTGATTGACTTGTGATTGACTTGTGATTGACTTGTGATTGTCTTGTGAATGACGTGTTATTGCGATTGACTTGCATGATTTGAGTGCAGCTCAGTTGCACGTCCAAATGACTTGACTATGGCTTGCAATTACAACCGAGCCTATGGAGGCTGCTGAATTCACTTCCCATAGATGCATGTGTTACTGTTAGCTGAAGCCAAGTAATATCGGACGTGGCCTTAGTCAATCATAAGTCAATCACAAGATAAAGATTGTCCTAATGTTTGTGTTGTGTACTTGTTTTGGAAAGTTTGTAAGTTTATCATTTCTTACCCAGCTTTTGACTGATGAATTCATCCGTTGATGTTTTTCTTTGTGTCATTGTCTTCAGGAGTTCAGCCATCGTTACCACTTACTGCTCCCCAGCGGCAGGGATTCAGGTCTCAAAGACATCGAAGAGTTCTTGAAGAGGATGGAGTTAGATCCAAAGCACTATCAACTCGGAAAAACTAAGGTAGACCTCAGGATGGGATCTTGATTTGTTAAAGAGAGATACAGTTGCAAAAGCCCTTCTGAGTGTCTTGCAAATTCCCACTTCTTGACTGGTTCCAGCCTCCTCCTTTTATTAGTCAGAGTGTAGTGGAGGTAGCAGAACCAGCCTGCTCACTTTTTGTTTTCAGGCACATCTTTGCCTTCCGTCGTAAAACCCAATTGCAAATCGACAAAAGAGCAAGTTAGTTCAAAAAAATGCAGTCAATCACAGCTTGACTAAAAAACAGTCATCATACATGTGCAAGTTTAGGCTACCGTTTGAGACCAGCCTATAGATACTGGTTGCAGCACTGGTTATCCATAGTTGTAATGTACAGCAGAGAGCCAGCAATGGGAGGTTTCATGATGACATTTGTACTTGACCACAGTTCGACTAGGAATTATGTGCACCTTGCTATAAGTACACAGGTGCATAACATGTTACTATTCAACTAGTAGTTGACGCCTTGAACAGATTTCATTGATGGTTCCAAGGAAAGGCATCCAAAGTCACAAACCCTTTTCAGGAATCTGAAATTTGATGACTTAGATCAAAAAAATGTTTTGGATGACAGGTTTTCCTGCGGGAGAGCGAGCGACTCAAGCTTCAGGAGGCCCTGCACAACCATGTACTCAAGAGAATCGTCACCGTGCAGAAATGGATGCGTGGCGTCCTCCAACGGCAGAGCTATCTACAGATGAAGTATGCAACTCTAAAACTACAGGTAGGATATTGATAAGTATTCACACTGGTACTTAAGAAACTGTGTAGGGAAACCGTTATAGTACTTGTACTTGGTACTTAGATTTGAGTGTAGTACTTGCACTTGGTACTCAGCTTGAGTATAATAATTGTACTTGGTACTCAGATTTGGGTGTATTACTTGTACTTTGTACTCAAATTTGAGTGTAGTACTTGCACTTGTTACTCAGATTTGGATGTAGTACTTGCACTTGGTACTTAGATTGAGTATAGCATTTGTACTTGATACTCAGATTTGAATGTAGCACTTGTACTTAGTACTCAGATGAGTACAGTACTTGTACTTGGTCCTCAGATTTGGATGTAGTACTTGTACTTGTACTCAAATTTGAGTGTAGTACTTGGTACTACTCAGATTTAAGGGCTACTCTATTCAAGTATTCTTCAGTAATCATACACGTGACTTTCGACCTTATGCATAATGACCATCTTAGAGGGTATTTCTTTTGTTCTTTTGGGATAGGCACGAGAAGACAATTTGTGCTCTCATTGTTGCCAAATTAAAATAACCCCAAAAAAGTCCTCCATTAAAGATGGATACTAGGACTTGCATTGATTTGGAAAAACCCACACTGGAATGAGGCAGTAATCAGACTTGAATTGCATAACTTGATTTCCAAGTTGAAATATTTGGATGCTGCTGCTGTGTCTATGCAGTAAATGAAGGGCATTTTCCCAGGCAAAAATCTAAGTAAGCTGAGGGGTCTGGCAGAGTTACGATCATACATGTAGCTGTAAATAGTTGTGAGCCATGGCTTCTTAACATCAAATATGATTTTGTGTATATTCATCTTGGCAGTCTGGCGTGCGAGGAATGATCAGCCGCAAGCAGCTGAGGGCGCTACAGCGAGAGCGGGAGCGGCGGTTGGCAACCATCTTCATTCAGAGCTGTTGGCGTGGTTACCGCACGCGGAGGTTGTTGGAGAGACTTCACCGGGGCACACTGTGGCTGCAATGCTACGCCCGGGGCAACGCTGACAGACAATTGTGAGTGAACCTAAGAGAACTTGGATGGCCATTTTATTGGTGCCCAAGGAGCTACATCAATGAAACCCCTGCTCATTGGCCTATAAAACATTCTAAAGACCATTATTGCTCCCTAGGGAGTATGCAGCTTGATGGTGCCATTTCTTCGCAAGGCAGCAAAAATTAGTCAGAGTAACCATCTCTGCCCTTACTAGCTTAATGCCTGGAAATTTTTTTCCGTAACAAGAAGTTTTCTAGCCCAATTTTGATGTTGATAATATTGCCTGTAAGTGGTTCTCAACCTGTATTTTAGTTGCAGGACACCTTTTCTGAGCAATTTTTGTACTAAGCCCATCAAAATGTTACCAGTGTTCAATTACCTAGAGCTTAATATTCTGTGGCTTATGTGCTCATCAAAATGAAGCAAATTCTATTGATACTTATTTCAAATTGAAATATTGTAGCAAACACTACATATATTTATTTGTTAATAAAAAGGCTAAAAATGCTGGCTATTGGCCATTGCTGCAGTATTTCATTTCTAACTACATCACATTATGAGATTACGTGTGACTGACTTGTTATTTGATTTGTGATGAATATGACTTCACATCACTTCAACTCTGGATTCCGTTTGACATTTTTTCAAATGTTAAAATTCTCCATGAAACATGTGTTGTCTGATACAATAGGGACCAGTAGAAATGAAAAGCTGGTTGTAAATTCACCATTTTGTATGGTTATTTCATCAGTTAAACCATGAGGGATGTGTATCTTTCTTCAGATTGTTGATGTAGGTAAATTGGTCTAATGATACAAAATGGTGATATTACCATATTTCTGAGCTGCCTATGCATGCTGTGCAGATATCATTTCCAATGGTCCATATTATTTTGAGATGCTGTTTTTTCTGATGTTGTAGATTTGAAAGATTACTGGATGAGCGGCAGGAGCAGGAACGTCTACTGCTCGAAGAAGAGGAGAGACAACATCAGCTTCAGCTTCTCCGAGAGAAGGAGGCTGCGGAAGAGTTGCAACTCAAGGAGCAGCTGAGGGCGTCCACGTCCTCTCAGCGAGACGAGGCCCACTCCTCCATGAGCGACGAGGGGATACTCACACCGGACGACCTGGAAGAGTTTGACATGGAGAGGAAACGGACGCGGACCATGGAGTCTGAAGAGTGAGTGGTTTTCCATGTAATTCTGGGACTCTTTCTTACTCTTGTGTTTGGGTGATCAGCCACATCGCAAGTCCAGTCTCTGTGGTCCAGTCATATGTTATCCAAATGTACTGTGACAAGGCAATTCCTTTGTCATCGTTTCTTCTCAGTAACTTATGACCTGACTTGTGATTGGACTTGTGATTGACTTGATGGCAAACTCGGCAAGGTTTTTTCATGAATCATGAAAATATAAAGACTCCTGACCAGTTGAACATATTATACAAAATATCGAGTACACAGTACAGCTAGTACTGCATCCCCCATTAGTTTTCTATACCCGATTATGACATTGAGTATTCATCTTTATGGGACCTAACACTTGTTATCAACTGTTTCTTTTTGCAAATATGTCACTTATACTATGTACCTATATCATTAGCTTGAAGAATAAATAAATAAAAGAAATTTGTTCTTACTGCAACCTGTGGCAAAATGAGCTGCGTTTGTTTATGGTGTAAATTGAGGACACACACGTGCAACATCATCGGTGGATCAAGGACAGGAACCAAATCAAGGACGACCTCGATTAGAAAACATGTTCAAAACCAATGAGAGCTGTTGCGAAAAAGTTATAGTATAAACAAAGGAAAAGGGAAGAGGAACAAAAGAAATCCTTGATTTACACCATAAACAAACGTGGGTGGCAAGGTCAGTTCCATTAACATGTTATGGATTGTTTGATATTTATATAGGTTTATAAGTGTGCGTTGAAATAAAGAAGGCTACATATGCTGGCAGTCTGCCAACACCACAGGCATACTACTGACATTTTATTTCCAGCTGCTTCACACGTTACTCGCAAATCAAATCAAATCACAAGCTTATCAAAAAAAACTGACACAAAGGCATTCTGTTGTCATTGTTGTCCCCCTGTTACTTTTTGACATTTCTTGTGACTTATGATTTGACTTGTGATTGATATGACTCCAACTCTGGTTTTAGTTTGCCGTTGTATCATATGTTAAAATTCTCCACAAATTGTGCACTGTCAGATACAATAGACCTTTATCATGCTGCCACCATTACAGTCATGTTCCCTGTATCCAATAACAGTACTGAATGGTAATGTTTTTTTGTGCAAAAAGGAACCAGACTATTTTTCCTTCCAGCCTCGATGTGGTTACATTGATTTGAATGGGAAAACTCCAAACGATCGCAACATGATAATGGTCTATAGGGACCGTTAGAAATAATGCCAAGTACGAGAAACATGTGTATGTGTACAGGGTTGTTTGATATGCATATTCTTACACTGTGAGTGTGATGAACTGAAATAGTGCGGTGTTGTGTGGTATCAAATAAGTTTGTTCTGAGCCTTGGCTATGTCTCCAGGTTCAGCTTCATCTCATAATCCTGAAACAGTAAGAAGCCTGTAATATCCAATCAAAACGGAAACTCTTAATACTGGCCTTAAATACACATGATTTTATGTTCTTGAAAAATGTTAGAAAATGAACATGTATACTAGTGAGCTGGAGTCTCCCCAAGTTAGGAGCCTAAAATCTCCACAAGTCAAGGCCAGATGTGAAACCAAAGTTTCGGAAAGACCACGAGGTTGGGGCTAATGGCACCTATTCTTTGTCGTAGGAGCAGTGGTATCCTGGACGGGTCCGTTGAATCTGATGAATTGCTCCTGGATGATGAGGCACCAATCAAGACATCTACAGTCATCATAACGGACGAGGATCAACCAGAGACACCACCGATACTGACAGGGGTAGAACGGTCAGGGTCCAGGTAAGGAAATCAGTCACATAAAGTGGACTAATCTGGTGACCAGAAGTAGAAGGCATTACTGAGGCGTCACGCTTTCATTCAGGTCATATGTGTGCATTGCAAGTTTCTTTTTATCGCTGTTTCTGAATTGCAGCAAGCCACAGCACTTACAGCTTTTCCTGTATTTCACAACTCGTCCATATTTTCAAACTTCAAAAAATGAATGCAACTTATGAGTTACTGCTTGGTCCTCAGTGTTGGTGTGCTGTAATGGATCTGCCAAGTTTTGATCTGAATATGCAGCAGTCTATGGTGAAAATTGGTATTGGATCCACAATCCGTTTTGGATTTGAATATCAGTTTTTCAAATATGCATTGTTGTTGTTGGTATTAATATTGGGTTTTTCCCCTTCACCGATGTAGTTTATAAAGTACTGTGTATTGAGTGCTGTTCACGACATTGCAAAAACAAATTCACAAGCCTGTTTTGGTTGGACCCAAATCTGTGACCTCCTGCCTGCAAGTGCAGACGTCTTAAAGGCACATAGGAACATTTGCAGTTGCCTGGAAAAGTGCCTACCAATTTAGCAGGAAAATCCTTGCTCAAAGTAAAGATAGGACTATTACCAAATACCCTGTGAAATTGATCCACCTGAAATGGTATCATTCAGAAGAAAATCTTTGAAGGTGGTTTAAGAAAGTGTGTCCTTCAGCACAGGTTTTTTTTTAATGTGCATTAGCAATGGAATCCAGTTACAAGACCTCACAGTTTTCTCAACATTTAGGTATCCACTGAGCTGGAACTTCAACCAGTTAGTTGTTATGCACCCTTCTTAATATTTTGAGCAATTTTGTTGCTTCAAACAAAAATGGTCCTGTGTACCTGTGACCCTAACCGCCCTAAATACATCAAAATCCATACCCCTGTTTCGAAGAATTTTGGCGGATTCAGGATAACTCCATATCGAAACCTGAGGAATTTTGATGGATTGAGGATTGTAAGCTTAGTGGTACTGCAGGATTTTATAGATTATAGGGAAAAAAGCCAGCATTGAAATTTACATCACCCTGATGATATGTATTTTTATTATGCAACTCTTTAAGTGCAAGTTTCTCCGTTTCTGATCTCTTTTATTACCTCAATACAGGGTGAAGGATCTGGCCTTTGCCTACCAGGAGCACATGCAACGGAAGCAAGATCAGCACCAGCGCTGGGAAGACGACTCAGGCCGTGATTCTCAAGACATCTTGTACCCGCTGGAGGAAGCTGAGGATCTTGAAGCTCAAAGGTTAACTGATGCGGACGGGCAGGTATCATCAGTGGAGGTGAAAGAAACCGAGAGCCCTGAAAAGAAGAAGGTAATAGTTATAGTTAGTTATAGTTAGTGGGTACTAGTTATACTAGTAAACGGTCATAGTTATGGTAAATTATAATTAGTTGCTAGTTGCTACTTGTTGTGTATACTGGTGCAAGTCAAAGTTATAATAAATATAATAACTTGGTATAAGTAACACTAGTAAGCAGTCATAGTTATAACCAGTAATAATTAATTGTTACTAGCTATACTAGTTGTAATCATGTTATCACTAGTCATCCTGTTTTTAGGTCAAGTAACTACAGCAGTTAAAGTTCCAATGAATTTTATTTTTCGTTTTAGCCTGTTAGTTCTATTGTCTTACCGACCGAGCCACGTTCCGATGAGGACCCCTTCGTCAGTCAGACCCCCTCGCCCCGCTCCCCCTTCCCCCCAGCCGACCAAGACACGCTCCCAACCACCGCCCCGGAGTCCCCCCTCCCCAAGGACAGCGCCCTGGCCAAGGCCAAGCGACACTTCAAACGCCGCTTCATGCGCAAGCAGTCAGATCCGCAACAGGCGGCGGAGGCACTTGGGCTTCCATCAGACAAGCCGGGGAAGACGAACCTACAACCGAAAGCCCCCTCTCTCAAGCTGGATAGGAAGTTCCAGGAAGAGCCGTCCACAGGGCCAGCCCTAGGCACTGCCGCTGGGGGGAAGAAGGTTCGGGGAGGGTCTAGCAACATGAGCATCCACGGCATGTCGCAGTGGAGGTACCCAACCAATAAACTGGTATCTGATGCCAGGGAGTTACAACAGATGGACACATTCCTGTATAACAAGGTAGGAAACCAGGGAAAATTCTCTGCTGTATGTACAAATTTGATTACTCCAAACCTTTTTTTGTTTCAGGGTTTTTAAGTATTCATGTCCATCACAAGTCCATCACAAGTCATACAGTGCCAAGTCACAAGTTCTTCAAATGAACTTTGACAGAAGTATTGTTTTGTCATTCATCCCCCATTACTTGTACAGGTAGCTCGATCAATTAAAGGACTTGTGGTGTGCTCTTGACTGGCCTTGTGATGGAGTTGACTACAACACCGTCAAATGAACTGTGATGTCGCATTGTTATTGTTCATCACCTGTTACCTTTGGCTTGACTTATGAGAGGACGCGTGATTTACTTTTAACCGGACTTGTGATGGACTCAACTCTAACACTGCTACATTAGGAATTGGAAATAGCCCGACTACAAAGAAAATTATCTTGTTTTTTCCAACTTATACATAATTTTGTTTTTATAGCATTGTCTGGTGTGTGGCCATAAACTCCCCAATTTGTTGTTTACCATGACTAGATCCACGAGATGAAGAAGAAAGGCGGAAGTGACACGGCCGTGGATCTTGTCTTCAAGAAAGCCCTGAATGAGTTCAGATTCAATCTGATCACTACCTACTCTGTAGCGATGCAGCAGGTATGTGCAAGCTGGCGGCAAGTAACAACAGTTAACGACAGTTAAGGACAGTTAACGACAGTTAACGACAGTTAACGACAGTTCGCCTATCATCACTCGAACCCTTGCTAGTCAACCAAGACTAGTCGCGTTGACTATTTGGGACCAAACAAAATATTTTTTTGCCTGGCTGCTCCATGAGATTGACCCTATTGCAATTTATTTCCATGATTTGCAAAACTTTGTGCTAGCTGTTTCATGACATTGAACCAGCTCTTGTCAAAATTACTGTATGCTGTGATGTAGTTTTGTTCAACCAAGTGGTTCACTTAGAGGTCCACATTGACACGAGCACACCCGAGGGTACATGACCTACCTTATGCCCTTTCTAGCTGTGTTGTACAAAGCAACAAGGATTAAGATCTTTTAGACTGATCATGGGATGTACCCGGGGCACATGAGGTGATGTACCCTGCCCAGTCTATCAGACAGTCAAACATGAACTTATGAAAAATGTCACGTGAGCAGTCCTCATCCAATGAAAATTCAATCCAATTGTCTTTGCAGGAGGGCAGCACCACCACCCTGATGTACAAGGACCTGATCTCCACCTTTGAGACGTCCCTGGCCAATCATGTCAAGACCTCCAACAGCAAGACGCAGTTCCCTATCACGCTGGGCATCAACGCCTTCAGGGGATTCCTGGATGAGTTCACTCAGCAGTACAAACCGGAAAAGAAGGTCAGTCATGGGTTGGAGAAAAACATTACAGATTTTGTAAGAGAGAATTCCGTGATGGACAATAATTCCATCATATGAGACATTGATTATGATACCTACTGGCACATCACATTTGAACCTGCCAACCAGCCCAAGAATGCTTGATAGTTGAGTGGTTAAGAAGTCCGCACTCATAAGCAGGAGGTTGCGGCTTCAAATCCAACTTGAGCAAGCTTGCAAGTTTCTTTTCTGGCAGGCTCCCAGAAAGATATGAGTTAAAGTACTTATTTTAGTATGTAAGTGAAACGCACAAACCCAAGTAGTACAGGTTTTCTTATTTTCGAAGAAACAATGGCACAAGCCGACAAAGTTTTTATTCCATCGTAATCAAGATTGAACTTGTGTCACATTGGTACTTCTAAAAATTGTTTGACCTCCAGTTGTCAGTTAAAAATGATAAATGATAAATGCGAATGAAAGGACTTGACCGAGGCAATCATTGCCTATGTTCTTTTATGAATGTTAAAGCTACTGATCGATGTTCATAAGGTTGCAAGGAATCATTGGGATTGTTCATTCACAAAGGGTGGATAACTTGAGAAGCAAGTAACAGAGCAGAAACAGGACAATAGGAACACACAAGTCCATCCATGGACATCTCAGTACCCCATAAGTGAAGTTGCTTGAAGAACACCATTTTCTGCCCTGCAGTCCAAAGAGCAGCGTAAGAAGAAAAAAGACAAAGAAAAAGAGGAGGTCTTTGAGTACCTGGGACATCGGTTTGTGGCCGTCCAGTTCAGCATCCCAACGGCTTGCGAGGTCTGCTCAGCGTTCCTGTGGCTCATGGAGAAAGGCCAAGTCTGTCAAGGTAGGGGGAAAGATGGATGGATGGGATACAGACAGCCTGACAGCTTGACAAGATAGGGAGATCTAGGCCACGTCAAATTACTTGGCTATGGCCAGAAGTAATACACGTGTCTGTGGGAAGTGGCTTCAACTGCTTCCATAGGCGCAGGTGTTATTGCAAGCCATGGCCAAGTACTTTGGGAAGCGGCTTCAACTGCTTCCACAGGCACATGTGTTATTGTGAGCCATAGCCAAGTACTTTGGGAAGCGGCTTCAACCGCTTCCATAGGCGCATGTGTTATTGCGAGCCATAGCCAAGTACTTTGGGAAGCGGCTTCAACCACTTCCATAGGCGCATGTGTTATTGCAAGCCATAGCCAAGTACTTTGGGAAGCAGCTTCAACCGCTTCCATAGGCGCATGTGTTATTGCGAGCCATAGCCAAGTACTTTAGGAAGCGGCTTCAACCGCTTCCATAGGCGCATGTGTTATTGCAAGCCATAGCCAAGTACTTTGGGAAGCGGCTTCAACCGCTTCCATAGGCACATGTGTATGCAAGCCATAGCCAAGTACTTTGGGAAGCGGCTTCAACCACTTCCATAGGCGCATGTGTATGCAAGCCATAGCCAAGTACCTTGGAAAGCAGGTTCAATAGCTACTATGGGCCCATGTGTTATTGCAAGCCATAGCCAAGTACTTTGGGAAGTGGCTTCAACCGCTTCCATAGGCGCATGTGTTATTGCAAGCCATAGCCAAGTACTTTGGGAAGCGGCTTCAACTGCTTCCATAGGCGCATGTGTTATTGCAAGCCGTAGCCAAGTACTTTGTGAAGTGGCTTCAACAGCTTCCATAGGCGCATGTGTTATTGCAAGCCGTAGCCAAGTAATTTGGGAAGCGGCTTCAACCGCTTCCATAGGCGCATGTTTTATTGCAAGCCATAGCCAAGTACTTTGGGAAGCGGCTTCAACCGCTTCCATAGGCGCATGTGTTATTGCAAGCCGTAGCGAAGTAATTTGGATGCAGCCAGACTTCAGCAGAGTAGTTATCCAGACAATCACAAGTCAATTCATAAGGTTAGAAGTAACTTGACACTAGATCACTTGTGATTGACTAATGATGATTTGTAATGGCTTGTGATGGCTTGCTGTGACTTGTGATTACTTGCTGTGACTTGTGATTTCTTGTTATGATTTGTGATGACTCAATTACAACTCTGGACTTAAGACTTAAATGCAGTCGTTTATTGGCACCACTGTCCACAGATGTCCCCTCTGTGGTGCTGCCAGTTGTTAAAAGACAATAACAGTGTATACAAACCAATGAAGAACATTTTCTGTCTTCTAGACTCTATACTCCCTTCTAGAGTATTGCAAACTTACCAGCAGTTATTACTTTTTAAGTACAATCTTTAAATCTTTTGGAATCTCCTTGAAAGCTTTGCTGCTTAAAAAACAGTTAAATGTGATTTAAACGTGGACATCCTTTCTATTTAAATATGAACATCCTCTCTATTTAAATATATGCATTCGGTTTTTTTTCTGGCCGTGTTAGTAAATTGTGGCTTTGAATCATCGTTCTTTGTTTTTTTATTTTTGAGGTACAATAAGCCTTTCACAGAAAGGAATGAAGAATGCGTAATTGATTTTCTTTCCCCCTTCCCCCATGCTATTTCTCTTCCCAGTTTGCAAGTTCACATGCCACAAGAAGTGCTGTACCAAGACGGGTAACCTGTGTAAGGGCAAGTCCCAGGCCCATGTAACGGGCAAGGTGATTGGTGCACGGTTGGATACCTTGGTAACTGCTGACAGTAATATACCATTGGTGAGAATCTACAGAGAAAGTTTCAGGATTATCTAATTATTTCAAAAAAACATCCACAGATAATATGGTTTGACCCTAAGTGGTCCCAATATTTGTTAAAGATAGAGTACATCATTTGTCATTTGTGCATTTTTTTTTCGTTTGAAGCAACAAAAGTGCTCAAAATCTAAAGAAGGGTGCTGAACAACTAACCTGACGAAGTTTTAGCTCAGTGAATGCTGTATATTCCGAGAAAACAACATTCTCGGATCTTGATTTCGATTCAAAAGTTGCCAAGTCATGTTTTGAATTGCGCCCGAAATCAGCGTCCGGGACACATTCTCATTCAGCCGATTGCAGCTACGCAATGTCACATGCTGAATTGACGAATTATGGCATCCACGCGTGTTTTTGCGTCGTGTGAACTACTAACGGAAATAGACGCATGTTTGGAAATGACCTTCTTTTATTGTTTTCTTCAAAATGACAGCTTGCCAGAAAAGAATACTTTCACAGGGAGTTAAGTGCCGTTACTATCTTTAAACCAAGTATGCTTTTCAACAATAATTTTTTCAGTTACTTTTTGGATAGCTGCAAATGATATATTCTACCTTTAACCCTTGCTCGTCTGGTGTAATTTTATGCCAATGCACTCTAGATGATGTATATTGGAGAATGCTTTGGCTCACTAGTCAAGTGAATTCTGAAGTGCATTCGAGGGTTTATTTACGTAAGAATGGTACTAATTTATAGGGATTAGGTTGGTCTTGGGAGCTCACCACAGTTTTGTTCAATTTAATACTTGTTACTGTGGCGAATATTGGAGTGCAGTGCAAAAAACAACATGAGGAAGTCACTTTTAGCAAATAGTGAACTGAATTAGAGGGTGTTTTAGAGCAAGGGTTAACCCTAACCATCCTGAATCAATCAAAATCCATACCCCTGTTTTGGAGTTTTTCGACGAATTTAGGATGCCTCCATATTGAAAACGGGGATTTTGATGGATTCAGGATTGTAAGCCTAGCGATACTGCAGGATTTTGAAGGATTCAGGATACCTCCATACTGAGCAGTCACCAAGAGAGCACCAGTGCGGTCATCCTGACGCCACAGGTTCGATTCCCCCGTCAGTTAATTTCTTTATTCTTCCCCATGGTTCAGATCATTGAGCGTTGCCTGAGCATCGTTGAGCTGAATGGTTTATTCACCGAGGGAATCTATCGCAGGCCAGGCCCGGAAGCAAAGGTCAAGGAACTCAAGCACCTCATCAATACAGAGCCTGGTAAGTAGAGGTCAGGGAAAGCAATAAGAGGTCCAAATGCTTACATGGGGTATCAAAATAGCTTCCAATTCATGAGAACAATGAAGAAATCCTGGAGCAAGTATCTGGGATAAATTGGGGAGAAGTTTATAGGCTCATTGTATCAGATATTTGTGGCAGGATTCTGAACAGCTTTGCTAGAATCATCTCATAATGAATTTAGTTTTAAGCAACGCTGATAACTTCATTACAGGAAGATTACGAGGATATTGTTCAAAATCCGGCCACTTAGGGGCCATTCAGAATTTTCAATGTTTTAAAATTTCGATCTTTTTTCCAAATTGTGGGTGGGTGGGTCAAGCTAAAAAATTGAAAATCGAAATTCACTTTCCATGGAAATAGATTTAAAAAAAGAAAAGAAAGATAGATCTTTTGACTTGCCTGAACTACGCGCAAGCGTTCCGATATCGCGATGCGTGTTTCTTTTCCAACTTCGTCCCCTGTATATGTACTGTACATGTACGTCATGTACGTGTATATAGACTTGGACTTGGACGCCGGGCGTTTGTAGCGGTTAGTCCGTGCAGAGGCAGCAGGGTGCCAGGTGTACTAGATCAGCTCTATAACACGCCGCGGGCATCGATTACCAATCGCTTTAAAAACTGGACTATTTAACCACTGGACTCCAAGACTACGAGGACCGCAGCCTGTGATGTGATGACTGCCCAAACCTGATGTTTTTCTTTCGCTCGTACCCCTGCCCTGCAAACAGGGTGGGGGGTACGAGGGAATGTTTTTCTTAGCTACCTCACGTGACAGGCACAACCTCGTATGTCACATGTCATCCACCTCATCCAGAAAACGACAAAACCACGGTCATCTTTGTGGCTTCCAAAACTGCAACCTGTCATTCCCAACAGCATATCAGCTGGCAAAACACAAGAAAACTGAAGGTCACTAGTGCAAAAGAGAAGACCGACAACCGTCACTGAACTAGACACACATGTACATGGGAATACATGTTCATGTTCAAGTACATGTACATGTACATGTTCAGTTTTTTATTAATCGAAATTAGGGGTGGGTGGGTGGGTCAAAATAATTTGGAAAAAAAGTCGAAATTTTAAAACACTGAAAATTCTGAATGGCCCCTTATATATGATACAATGAGCCTATTCTGAAAGAACTTGTTTTGCAGTTTATCCCGGATATTTAAGATGACTCCTTAGTTAAATAAAAGTTTATAGACAGAGGAATCATGTTTGAGACTTTGGTCTCTGAAGTATGCTAGAAGTAGTACAATAGTGGTAGCTCCTGTTGACCTGTCAATGACAAACAAAAGACAAAATCCAAGAAGATAATAACAATTAAAATGTAAATGAAGTTTGAAAACAGTTTAGAAAAAGATATTAGCATACCGGTTGTTTAGTCGGTCATCTGAATAAGGGTCAATTATGTCTGTATTAGGTGTCATAAATTTTGAACAAATTACAAGCTTTTTAGATTTGAACAAAGAGTGTCACCAGATTTGTTTTGTTAGAGGAACGGAGGGGAAATCGCAGCTTTGAAATTTTACTGACCAGGATTTGGTAGATTGAGTTATGTAGACATCGTTTGACTTCTGAGGCATTGCTAATTGCAGACGTTTGGATGTTAGAAGAATCTTATAAAGAGCAGCTTATGGTTGAAACAAACCTGCTCATTTTTGAAGAAGAAAAATCATTGGCTGTAGAACATGCTTAATTGTGAACAGGCTTGTGTGAAAGATTTGATCATGAGTCATCGATCTTCCTGTTGATTGTTTTCTATTCTCTTCGTCAGATTTTGACCAGATTGAGCTGGACAGCTACAACATGCTGGTCATCGCCCAGGTCATCAAGTCCTTCTTCCGGGAGATGCCGGAGCCCCTCCTGACCTTTGAACTCTACGAGGAGTTCCTTCGAGCCGTGGAGACCCCCGACAACCGAGATCGCCTGCTGTCCCTACAGGATACCATCAACAAGCTTCCTACTGCCAATTTTGACCTGTTTGAGAGGCTAATCTTCCATCTTGCCAGGTCAGAGTTCGACCCTTTTTCTTTGTTCGGCACTTGTCTTGTTTAAATCTGTCCGGATTCACGACTGAAACATTTGTATTAGTCATGAGTTAGAAGTGATCCAAGAAAATTGTTTCATAAGTACATTTAATTTGACCAGCATACAAATCTTGTAAAAATGTGATCAGAACTAGTTTGCTTGTTTTCAGAATAAAGAAAAAAAAAAGTGTTAAAAGACTAAAGAGAAATTTCAAAGATTTAACTTATTTTTTTTTTCTTTTTTCGTTCACACATACAGAGTATGCCTGTATGAGAACTACAACAGGATGTCCCCCAACAGTCTGAGTATTGTGTATGCACCCTGCGTGCTGAAGAGCCCCAAGCAGATGAATCCATGGGAGGCCTTGCAAGATGTCTCCAAACAAGCTCTGTAAGTTGGTCTCTCTGTCTAATTGGCTGTCTCTTCCTGCTGGTGTAATTTCTATAGTCTGAACGTGTCTGTTAACTGGGAGCAGAAGTCATGCTGTCTCTAAATGACACGAGAAGCTATTCAATTGAATTATGACAAAGGCATTCCTCCGTCATTGTTCATCACCTGTAGTGTTACTCGTGACTGGGCTGTTGAGAGTGCTGTGGCCACCTGGTCTGGAGCATTGAACTCATGGTCTGCGGGTAATTCTGCAGGTTGTGGGTTCGAGTCCAGCCTGGGGTTATGGTACGTGTGCCCTTGAACAAGGCAGTTTGTCACTCATTGCTTTTTCCCACCCAGGAGTAAATGGATATCTGTGAAAAACAAAATCTATATTCCATGCAGATGTTGTTTTAAAAGCATGGGGGCTACATCGCATGGTTTTATAAAAAAGTAATTCCACCCCAAAAAGGTTGAAAGGTCTGTAGGAAAGTTTGCCTATATGCATGCAAACTTTGGTCATAATGGTTACATGCCCCCTCCCCCACAGTGCATGCTGACCAAAAATGTACTTTTTAATGGAGTGTCCAGAAAGTACAGAAACATTACAAGTTCTGTTTCTGTTTTGTTGTTTCTGAATAGATGTCTTGAAGTCATTATCAGGGAGAAGTTAGTGAAACTAAAGAGCACCCTGCGTGACATTGACACGTTGGAGCGTGCCTCCACATCAGCCTCGCTCAAACTCTCCGATCTACGCAAGAGGGTAAGACTTCAAGACCTTTTCATTAGAAAGCCTTTTTCATGACGGAAAAAAAAGCTATTTTGATTTTAACATTTTATTGACAAAAACATGGACGTTCACAAATAAATGTGTGTTTATACCATGGCATGGCTGGGCAGTGTATCAAAATTGACATCACAAGATTTTTGTGTGGCCATGCAAAATGGGTGATCAAAGCTTTTGCAATTTGACCGTCATTATTTGATAATAGAACATTTTATGAAACAGTCATTGAATTAAGTCCGTCTGCCATTTTGAGTGTAGTCTTTGTTAATATATTTTGATGAATCAGGTTGCAACTTCCATAATTCCATCATGGCAAAAACTAGTACATGTATATTATTACCCCCAGAAACAAAGCTGTGAATTTATTGCATCAACTAAACTTGGGTGGTGATAGGCTGTCAGTGATCATGCTTAAAATCTTTACACCAAAAGCTATTCCACCTTAATTGACCGCATAATTTACATCATTCTTTGTTGCTGAGGTCATGGGCTTAGACATTGTGGAAATTCTTTGAAATTGGCTGTGTGAATTCTTGGACATATTGAGGAACAGTTAATATATTGGACAGGAAGTTTTAGGGACGTTGGCAATATTTCAGATGTAGTTTGTGAATCCACTTAGTGTTTTGATATGTGGGATATGGATGAATTTGCATAGTTTCATTTGACACAAATTATTGAAGAAAGCTGATGACGCTGAACATTTGGCCGATTCAGATTTTTTTTTTGGCTGGTCCCAGAGGGCCAGCCTACATGTACCTACTGACTGACTGACTCACTCACTCCCCGTCACTTGTGAATAAGAATGTCAGTATATTGCAATTAACCTGGGAATAGGAATTTCTCTTCACACTTTTTCTCTTCCTAGGGAATTCATTTTCATTTCACAAAATGTGAAAATTTTTTAACACAGTGGGAAGACATTTTCACGCCTTTTCACACAAGTTGGAAACATTTTCATGAAAGGTGAAATGCGAATGCCAATGCAAATTCTTTTCACAAAATGTCCCACTTCCTTTCACAGTGTGAACTTTTAATGGCAATGTACTGTATACCGAACATGCATTGTTTCTGGCATGGCTCGTGTACTTTTCATGATATAGATGTAGGCAGTAAGTCAAGTCTCTATGGGAACAGCCAAAGTGGATATTTCATTTCCATCACGTTATTCTACAATTTTTTTCCCCATTCTGAATTGTTTGAACATATTTCTGTGTGCTCTGGTATAGTTTGCCTCGTCTTGTTATTTTATGCCAATGAATCAGAAACACAAAAAATCTTTGCAACAGTGGGAGTCTTGTGATATGTGGTTTTACTGAACCCAAAGGTCCAGTCTTTTGCCCTGTGACTGACCGAGTCACTCAATGAGTCACTGAGTCAGTCACTGAGTATAGATAATGTCCTCCACTGAGACTTAAGGGTCCAGCTTGACTAGGCAAGTCAAGTTTTGTTTTTGTGATGAGTTGATATCAGAAGATTCTTCCATCATTGACAGTGATGAGTATTAGGTTTATTTGCATTGTCAGCTTGCATCGCACCAAAAGTTGGGTTCAGTGGTTACACGGCACTCGGGTCATTTGCTTTGTCACAAGGAAAATTCGCTGAATCAAGTCAGTGTTGGTCATGATGGAAGTGTGGTTTCCTTCTACGTCAATCCAGGCTGTTGCTTTCCATTCACTGAGGTGACAGGATGGACTATTTTGGGAGTGTTTTTTGTTTGTGGTTAGCTGGTTTATTTGTATTTTTGTATTTTTTTGGGTGAAATCTGGTCTTATGACCACTCAGAGATGATGAGTTTACATGATGAATGTGGCTAACCTGTGTTGGCCATTGTCTGGACAGGGCAACCCACTAAATTTATAAATTGTTTGTTTCCAAGTAAACAACCAAAAAAGTGTGAGATTTGAACTTGAATGACTTATGATAAACTGGATTCCAACTCCACCGAAAACAAAATGTAAAACAAAAACAACTTAAACAGAAAGTGCGTGTACTGCATGTACCGTTCAGGAAATAAATTGCCGATGAGCTCAACATAATAACAACATCATATTTTGTATCACTTTATTTTGGGGTTACATGTATTCTGTGTCAAATCGCTAGAAAGCAACCAAAACATATTATTCCCCCAATTTTTGGGTATTTTGTAAAAAGAAAGGGTTGGGGTATAATTTTCATCCAAGTTCGTCTCAAGGTAATTGATCTACAAAGTCAAATTCAAGGTCAAATTCAAAAGGTCATCATACTTCAATTGCTCTGACATGAAAAATGATGGTAATTTGGATTACTTATGATGTTTACCTTTCCAAAGAAACCAAGATCAACAAGTGGGGCCATCAGGTTGTGGAGAAATGGTCATTTGAAAGTTGGCATCCATGCCCATTTTGGCCATAATTGAAAAAAAAAACCGGCAGGTTCCATCGTGATAACTGTAGGTCCGATGGCGCTAAAGCGTACAATTTCAGCTTTTGCAGCCTAAATTACCCCATACACTAAATATGAATCAATTTGAAGGGCACAGGGTTTTAAACTTTCAAATTCTTTTTTTTTGGGGTGGAGTGATTTGACACGGAATGACCCTTTTACAAGTTAGCTCACTAGTAGTTTCAGGATCAGACATTCATGTGTGCAGAGCCACCGTCGAACGTCTGATATATCCCAACATGCAAATATTATGCAACGCCGCGCACCAGGCAATCGGAGTCAACTTTAGAAACTGTGTTGTCATTTCGATCAGAAATGTGGACTAAGCTGTTGATTGGTCAATTTGGATGCCATGTTTTTGTAATACAACAACGGGTTACCGAAGACCCGATAGAAGGCGCCCACTGAATGGTCAGGATCTCGAGGTCAAGGCGCAGTCTTGTTTGGCATAATTAATCGACGAATCTGCTCACATATCATAGACCCTTGCTGTGCAAGGGGATTTTCCTTAGACTAGCTCACTAGCTGATGTATGAAAGATTTGAAATATGCAAACTTATCCCATTCAAATAACATCACAGAACATTTAGGATGGAAAAATGTTATTCCCATATTTGGTGATTGAAATTCAAATATTGGGTTTGGTATATATGGCCCAGCACTATAAGGTTTGGATGGGGGGGGGGGGGGGCTGGGGGGAGGTAGGGGGTGTGAGGTCTTGTAAAACTATGCAGCTGCTATTCCAAGTGCTGTTTTTATTCTGCATCACAAAGCCAAGGGATCCCAAAACAATGCAAAACAAAGAAATGTAATAAACCTGCCAAGTCCAGCTGCATCACATTCAGGAAAACCAGCAAACTTTAAGTTTCCAGGAAACCAGCGGATGTGCAACACACAGTGCATGTCTTTTGCAACACACTGACTGTTACTCTACTTATTTTTCATCACTATCTAAATTTACATAGTGCATATACCGTTTCCTGTGTTGGGTCATGGTAAGCATTTTCCTTGCGTAGGAAATTGTTAAATCTTACCTTTATTCGAAATCTCATGATCATCTACCGTCAGTTATTTTTGGTTTGTTGCCACACTGATATTGTAAATTGATGCATGCCATAGAACCTTACACATTAAAGGCATATTTTATATAGGATCATTTGCATTTGTTGTAATTTCATGAAATGGACAGATTTAAGGGCTATCAATTTAATTTTATAGCAGACGTAGTTCCACTGAGCTGTTCAATGTTTTGTATCCATTGATGGTGCAGGAAAAACACGGGAAAAAAACCATGATGTTCTTGTTCATTCATCATAGTGCAGTTCATGAAATATGTTGTGCTTAGAACCCATAGATCACAGGGAGTGCCCGAGTGCCAGCTCTGTTGTGGGGAAAGTATTACATAAGAAAACCTAGCGTACCCGAAGCGTACACATGAAGTCAACAGCTGGCTCGTGGCCATTTAACAGATGTAGTATTTGATAAAACTGTTTGTTTTCAGTGATGGTTAGGTCCTAACCATCGTTAGTACTGATACAAAATTCCCCTTTAGCATACCAGGCTCATTGATTTCACAGGACGTTTCATACTACATGTATGACAGTATGACAGTATTTACTTACAATCAAGTGGGTTATAATACATTGGCAGTTTCGTTTTTGATCCTATTGTCCCACTTTTAACATCATTTGGTAGTATGGTAGGGGCTGTGTTGGCAGTGCCAGATTATAGTGATAGGAATAAAGCGGTTTAGCCCCACAGATTATTATAGCTGTGGTATATTGGGGTGCCAGAAAGTGTACAATGGGAAATTGTTCCAACATGTATCAGTAACAACATGTAAGCCCGCCAGAAGTAATTTCCGCAACCTGTTCATTGTGGAAGTTTCCAAGTCCACATTTTGAGTACTGTACCACCAAACCCAACCACCACTGATGGTACAGAGAATGCCAAAAAAGGAAAAACACAAAAATCCCAAAGACCAGTTCTTCTCAGCATTGTTTCCCGAAACTATCCTGTCCTTGTCTCTTACACCAGGAAACAAACACATGGAGGAAGGAAATACTCACAGCCTGTTTAGCTACGCTGCCAATCCGGTATCAACCTGCTTTGTTTCACGTAGGGAGATTTTGAAACTCTAGCATGTTATTTAGCAGTTGGTGGTTCCCAGTGTGAATATGCGTCACTCTTTGTTCCATATAGAAAGCTGACGACACCTTGTGGTTTGAAGGTATTCTAGTCCTCGTGAGATGTGCAAATCTGTTGAAGAGTGGTCAAGGTTGCTGTCATTTGGAACGTCGGACTTGTCTCGAGTAGTTTGTGAAAGTCAGAAACGGCTCAATACGTGTTTAGTTGTGATGAATTCATTGTGTTCTCGATTGGAACTGATAAATCCCTGTTGACTTTACTGTTGTCCATTTGGTTCAGCGTTGGTGGCTCTCTGCAGCACTTGTACACATGTTGGATATTCAGACAGCGTTTGGAGACTAACTGTGCTTCACATGTGACTGTACCTTTTTGAGCTGGAATTGTGATAAACTACAAGCACCCTGCTGATGTGGAACAGAGACTGAAAACTTAGTCAGATCGTTTTTTTTTTACCACAAGCCAGAACACTGATGGTCACTGAAGCTGCACTACTTGACTACAGTTAGCTCAGTGATTGTAACTTGTGTTCATTGTCACCCCGGAAGGTGATAGTGTCCAATGACTTTCAGTCTTGGAAACATTTTTTCAAACCAAGCCTGCAAGTGCTGTGATTGTTTCTGACAGTGCCATCCTGATTGACTCCAAGAAGTGATTAAAACTGTTCATAAAGTAGCATCCCTACCAGTAGACTGTACTCAATCAATCAACGCTAAAATCCCCAAGATCGATTGTTATCAGGGATCAAGGATAAACCGTCAACAGACGGTACTCAATTCCTGGTCATTCCTTCCAACTGCTTTTTTAGAGCAGAACTTCGTTGAAAGACTCACCATCCCTCCCCCCCCCCCCCAAACCATGGGACTTAATTTGAGCTCGTGTTTCTGCCCGTCCCCCCAACAGAAGGACACATTAAGCCAGCAGGACCTACGGAAGAGCAAGCCGGCCCAGGAGGGGGTGGAGCTTACCGAGCAGCAACGGGAGGAGGTTGAAGTTGGTGAGGATGCCGGCAGGACGACGATAGATGGACAGACTGAGTTGGAGGAAGTTCTCAAGCACAGGATACAGACACTAGAGAAGGAGAGGTAATTCAACTCTTACTGTTCAATGTTTTTTGGAAAAACTATTGGTTCAGTAATTGCACTGTTCTATACCCAAAATAAACCAGTGCTGTTTTCAAATTCGTCGCAAGTTCATCACAAGTCCTCCAGTCTCAAGTCAAGTCACAAGCTATTCAAATGAAATTTGACAAAAGCATTCCTTTGTCATTGTTCGTCACTTGTTGGTTGTATTAAACGCTAGACTTAGAAAGGACTTGTGATTTACATGTGACAGGAAGTGCGATGGACTTTAGTACACCGATGCAATAACCACAGTGAACCTAATAGAGGGAATATGAAGTCTCTATCTTTGCTCAAATTTGAGTTGTGTTCTCATGATGGTCATTTCAGCCAGTAGGCCTCTTTTAACTTGTGAAGAAAATGGTATTAAATTGAGAACAATCATGAAATGTTTTAGTGGAGTGTGAGAAGAAGAAACACGGGACAAGTAAAAAACAAAAGCCTTGTTATGTTTGAATTCTGGTAGACATTGGGCAGATATTGGTTAGAAACATGGACTCACTGAAAAATGTTGCTAGGAAGCCTCCTAAAGTCACCAGAATCTATCACTGCACAGTAAAGAAGTACAGTACATTCTTTGTGCATATCTTGGTACCTTACTATATCTTGGGGGTATCTTGGTACTTACTACTGGTGCATGTTCACAATTTTAATCCATTCTGTGAGGCTTGATCTAAAGTAGTAATTGATAAGGAAAGTGTCAGTTTGACATTTCTCCAATTTTCCCCTTCAGGCAAGACCTGACTGTCAATTTGGTGACCCTTGACCTTGGTCAGTCGGCCAGCGAGGATGAGAACTACAGCACGGACGGCCTGGATCTGGACAGCGGTGATGAAGTGGAAAGAGATGACAACCCGGTCTCATTCGAGAGCCAACCCTCCCCGTCCAAACTCAACCATCTGAACAAGAACAGAGCACCGAAGCAGGAGAAACGCAAGCCGAAGAAGGGTCACCGAACACCGGGATCGGATGGGATGGGGGAGACATCCGGCAACTCGCAAAACCCCCCGCCGGTGGCCAAGAAGCAGAAGAGGAGCAGTCGGAAGGGGTCCAAGAAAGAGAAGAAACAAAGGGAAGGGTCTAAGGAGCGGAGGAAGAGGGCAGGAGCATCTGAGGGTGTGGCCATCTAAGGGTGTGGTCATACGTTGATTTGGCAATTGTAGAGATTTTGTTGCAGGGTGGGTCCTGTAAAAAATAGGGGGTTAAAAATTCAACTTGGGAGAGGAACCGTCTGAGGGTGTGGTCTTATGAGAATTGTGGATTTGTTAAGAAGGGCAGGGCTTTGTATAGGTGTGGTTTGGGCTTGGTCAAGCCTGGACTCTGATTCCACATCAGTGAAGCAGGACAAGGTATCTGCTGTGGAGTCCATCATCTTTGTGGGAGATGAATTTAGTTTGACAATGAGGTCTGTAAATCTAGATGCTTCCTTAAAAGCCATCTTATTGTTAAAAACAAATTGCAAAGAACTCGCCGAGTCCAAGCATGCTTGTGCTTCCATTGTATTTGTAAATACTTCCGTAGCTCCAGCAAGCTATGTCTGCGTTGTGCATACTGTACAGTCGGTGTACATATTGATAGTTTTGGAATTTTTGCGCAAGTGCTTGGCGGTTTCTTTGGCTTGAAGGGATCATAGACTTGAGCGTCAGACCGTATACACTGCGTAGATTTTTGTTATTGTACTCTGTGCCTATTGAGCCAAAAGGACGATAAAACTGACTGAATGACAAACACTGTAATTTATATTTTGTACACTCATATGCAATATTTCTACGACGATATGCAATATATTTGTAAGGGGTTGTAAGAGTTTGATAGATTTGGTGTAGCTTTTAATCACACTCAACATTGGCTGATTCGAGGCATTTTAATATTTTGGTTCAAAGTTTCAGGTTTTTGGTTCTTGCCAGCACATTTAGTTTGTTGGTAGTAACAACTTTAATTTAATCATTGTAACAGTTGTCTGCTGTAAAACTGCATTTTCCATCAGCTTTTTTTTTTAGAGATTCAGAATACTTATAACAATTGTGTCCTTACCTTTCTTGTGCAGATAATTACGAGAAGCTGGCGTAAGAACAAATTAAACAGTAATTAACAAATATCTTTACTATTTTTTTCTCTCGCTGTGGCAAGTACAGAAATGAGAAAATATGCAGAGAAGGCACCTCAAATCCCACTCCAACAGCATAACTAGTATTTAAGAGCATAAGTTTCATTTGCAAAGTTTGATATTCTCTATGGTCACATTACAGAATGGTGGAGAAGTTTCACTCTATAAATGCTGCTAGAAAATGATATTTTTTGCACGTGAAAGGCTCGCTGTGACTAAGGTCATAATTATGCAACACCAGGAGGCGATAGGATTCCACATGTGAAGCACCAGATATCCTGACAAACAGGGTTGTATTTAACCTTCAGACCGTCCAATGACTAAAGTGCCATAAAGTCAAGGGTCATCCAGGTTGCTCAATGGCTTCAATACATGTGACGTGTCTACTGCTTGTACCCCAAAACAAATTGGTGTCATAACAGCGCTCTCCTTTGATCACAAATATGGCCACTTCTTGTCAGTTATGAGGGATGGACATGTAGCTTATGTTTTCTTTGTACGGTTCGGTTCAAAAAGGGGTTGCACTGGCAGGTTTCTGCTGCTTGAGACCATAGAGAATCCTTTCTCTATGATGAGACTGATGCAAACCTGGCTAACCTAAATACTAATATGGACAAAGATGCACTGTTTTACATGTGCAGCGATGGGCAAGTTCGATAGTTAACCATAGTTTGACTAAATCTGATCAAACACTGCTAGTTGACGATTCAGGACCAGTTATGCAGCTGGTTGCACCATGAGTTAAAGCTGGTTATCAATAGCACTTTTTCATAGCAAAGTGCAGAGGGACCAACTATCAACAAAAAATGGTGGAAAAACCAAGGCGAAGCCGAGGTAAAATAGAATGCTCCATGGATCACCGAGGGAGGCTAGTTTAACTACACCATGAGATAAAGCAGTTAATATTTGTTTTATAACACCTCTCCCACAGATTCTGCTTGATTTTAAGCGATAACTGATAAATTTAGTTTAAATACAATTAAAATGTCCTTCTATTTGAATACGAAGGACAATTTATATGCACTTTTCCAAACTACCCTTTCACAAAATGTTTGAACCCATCTCTGTAGTGCTAGCTCATGCTAGCGCACACCCAATGCATTTGCACACGATACCAGCTGTTATGCGTATGGCTGCTACGGGTAAAGTACTTTGGTTGCTACGGGTATAGTACTTTTGGCTGTGGACAATAAGATAGCAAAAATAGCTAATGCCATGTGACATGTCTTGGCCAATCAAGATACAGAATATGTGGGTGAGGTGTTCTAAAAGAGTTTATCCACTTCAAATAGTGGCCTTCGTCTACTATTCTTGCCATGTCTCTAAAAGGCTAATGGCATCCGGGCTCACTTTTTGGCCTCCTACATGCCAAGTAAATTCTGTACCAATGTAATAAGCTGCAGATTATGTTTGCTTTTCAACAATAGTTAAAACATGTGGAACCTTCAAAGGAGGAATTTTGTAGCTTTTTTTATACTTTTGATTTGGTGAAACAGTGTCCACTTTGAAAAATACTTGAAATGTCATGTCACATGTTAGAGTAATGGGATATAGGTGCACTGTTACTGAGGTACTGTTTTACACCAGGGCCCAATTTCATAGCGCTGCTTAACAGCCGATTTTGTGCCGACTGAGCGTCCATCTATTTCATAGAGACTGTAAGCAGTGAGCGCAGCAAAAGCATGCTTAACCCCAGAGGAAAAAGTTGCTTAAATCAGTGACGTAACAATAGAAATCTTCATGCACGTGCAACCATTAGCATGAAATAGTGCTTAAGCAGCAGCATGATTTTCTGATACAGTAAGCGCAACTTTTCTGCTAACTGCTAAGTAGCGCTGTGAAATTGGACCATTTGTCCAGTATTGTAAAGGCAGCATTTTGACAGTGTGTATGGACTCCGTGCAGATAAAGTACCACTGATTAATACTAGAGCCCATTGGTTAAACGCTCGAGTTGTGTTAACTTCCGGTTCCATTCGTGCTAAGTGTGCATGGTTGAATTGAGATGACGTCACACGAACGAACCGGACAAGAGCTTCAGTGTGAGACACACTGTGCGTATTACTTTTGAGCGCATATGACATGGCGAATAAACAATTAATTTTCATCTTAATGTGCGCAAAACTTGGAACATGGTTAAATAGCATTCAGGTGTCTTATATCTCTCACCATTGAGAGAGTATACTTGTATGTGCTCAGAGTCTGCACTAAAGTTTTTTATGACGTGCATATAGGCCAAGTCTGGATTGGTACTCTCTTGGCCTCGAGCCAAAAGGGCCAAATGTGTATTGATTGGACAGCATTATGCATTGTATTGGATAATATTTTTTTAACGCTTGCACTTCCCTGAACATACCTGTGACGCAATGATGTCACGCTTTGTTTACATGTGCACGTCCATATATGGGAGATTGATGGCCCTCGTCCCCACCTCACTCCCATAGGAAAGCACACATGTGAAATAAAGCATGATGTCATTATGTCTCGGGTCTATTTGTCAAAATTCAACCATTTTTTTTCTTTCTATATTTTTACGGGTTTAGATCTGTAAAAACAAAGCCTCCATTTACTTCTAAGGGAGCTTGATGTTCCCATTTGGTTTGTGTACACAGACTGTGCCATTTTGTTGCACCGTGTTGTATTGGGGTTAATTATCATTATTACACCACACAGCTCATAGTGTACAACCCAACTCACAATGCCAACATTTATATTCTCTCAGACTTAAACAAACAAATGGGGGGATCCATTTGGAAAACGGAAGATGTACTTAAAAATTAGTATTGTCTGAAATTGTTTTGAACAGTTAGCTTTGAATTTCCTGTAGGTAAAAGGCTTTGGTCATACTCATTTCAAACATATGTCCATTTACAAGTGAATTTTTTGATGCTCTTCGACGGTGTTTTGAGGCAAAGGGGCAAACAATACACCAGTCAATCATATACGTAATTTTGTATTTTGTTTTGAAAAGAAAAAAAATGTAAAAAAAGTTAAATTGAAGACAGTAGTCTTAATGGGTATATATATTTTTTCCCTTTCAACTTTCTGCTTGTAATATTTGTATTTGTAGTCCACTTTTTGTAACTGTACTTATTTTTCACTGTTACCAACTCTCCAGTAAAGTAGGCCAATACTTGCAGAAATTATAACTAAACTTGATGATTAATTTAATATAATTCTGTAATTATTTTCACTGTATTTAATTATTAGTACTCTCGGCCGACGCTGAAGCGTTTGGCCAGGTACAACGGGAAATAGTGGTCAGCAATTTAGGTTGTAAATACAGTCAAATATGGAAACGTTGAATAAAAATAAATATTGTTACATGAACAAAAGAGAACTACGGACTAATGTGTTATTTTGACATTGTTATTGACTAGACTTGGCTTTAGTTTCAACTTACAAAATACCTCAAAGGTACAATGGCAAGAGTTTTTGGCACCGTATTTAGAGTTGTCATTACTTCACGTCAAAGTTCTCTCCAAGGCAAGTCACCCACATGAAACTTAAAAGTTCAAATTATTTTCATTTAAAAAAAAGAAGGCTTTTTACAACTGACAGATATTACGCATGAGACTTTAAAATAACAAATATTGTGAATAATAAACCTGGAGGGAAATGCGAACTGTAGAAAGACTCAAAAATGGCTCATTCACAACCCACAGGGGCTATATTGTTTCTGCCGTGCACGCTCCAAGTTCACTGTTGCAAGTATTTAGTTTAGTCCCCTCCTTTAGCAATCCAGTGTGTAAATAATTATTGACCAGACATGTTTGTAGTTGCAACTTAAACAATACCTCAAAAGTCATGAAATTTGGTATGGATGGTTCTCTGGTGCATGAGGAACAAAAACTGAAAGGGTAACTTCATTCCAATTCGTTAATCAGGCTAATTAACCTAGCTCTGTGGTTTGTCACCAGTCCCAACTTTCTTCTTCCTGTTGCCATGACAATGCATCGTTCTTATTTGAGTCCAATCTTTCATTGTCCTGGCCTTCGTCCTCGCTTGTATTGCTATCATCTGATTGGTTGTCGCTGTCGGATGAACTTTCTTCCATGGAGTACAGGACAGATTTCCCGTCATCAGAGATGGAAAAAGAATCGCAAGAGGCAAGAACTTCCCTGAAAGGAAAAAGAAATAGCATTATATATTTTATTATAAGCACCATCAAGTAATCACCAGTGCAAAATGTACCGAATACACCGAAGATTTGAATATTTGATCATCCACCAATTATAGCATATAGGGTATTAAAAAAATGTCGACCATCTCGAGAAGATGATGACAAACATTGATATGTAACTCAATTTGTGGTTTATTGTTTGTCCAATGTTGCGCTTTTCTGGACAGACACTTTGCAGGCATGATCTGAGAGCTTCCATTAAAGGGAAAATACAACATTTGCAAACATCGAAAAATAAAACTACCAAGTTGTTACGAAATACCTTACTAGGATGTTGGTAAATGACATGCTTAAGCATCCTATACAATTATGGCACCTGGTGTGAAGCCATTTTCAAGAAAATGGTATATTTGTATACATTTCCAACGCTGGTCGGCCGACCACCGTTGGAAAACCTAACTATTTTTCAATTACTGCACCAAATTTACCATTTTTATTTTAGTCTAAATTTTGTTTTGCTAGCGTTTGGTTCCATGCTCATGAATGGGCGCAGGCCAGCTAGAGTGGTTCCCTTACCTTACAATTTTCGGGTATGTTTGATCCATTTCATCTTTAGTGGAGTCAGGGAACCAGACTACTTGAATATTTTTGTTTTTCTTGGTTTTTCTAGCATTTTCGAACACAAAACTTCAAACATGTCAGTGTAACAATATTTGATCTATAATACTAACCCCCAAATAGTTCATTTCTGAAAATTACAGCAAAAGCCAATGATGTACATTCCCTTTAAGAATAGGCATATTAGCCCTAATCAGTCAAACAAATATCAGCCAGTCAGCAATCTCAAAAACAAATACATGATATTCATAAAAAAAACAACATTGCTGTTGAAACCCCTCAGCCAGAGTCAAGTTATCATCCAGAAGCCATTAACCTTTAACTCACCACGTTGACCTTGACCTTTGACCTTATGACCCCCAGAACCAATCTCAACTTGCCTGTACCCAAGGGAAACCCCCTACCGAAGTTGGACACTGAAATCTCATTTCTAACTCGAGTTATCATCCGGAAACCATTAACCTTTAACTCACCACGTTGATTGTTGACCTTTTGACCCCAGAACCAATCCCAACTTGCCTGTACCCAAGGGCAACCCCCTACCAAAGTTAGCACAAAATCTTCAGTGACAGAAAGGAATGTGTGGAGCCAAAATGTGCAGATTATGGTAGAGGTGGAGATTCTTCACGAAGAGCAAATAACTTTGGCCCTAACCACCTTCCTAGCAAAGTACTATAGATTTAAAAAAATGTGCCAACCTTTTTGAGCTACATGTAAACTTCATGAAAACTTCTGAATGCTGAACCAAACTGGACATGTATACAAGTATGTTCAAAACACATCCTGTGGTCAGAAACACCATGATATAAAGCCTTGCACTCTGAATTTTGATAAATGAAAAAACCTCTGAAGAAGTTATCCATGTATGAGAATAAACTATGAATTACATAAACCCCCCTAATCCCATCAATGTACAATCAATGTGCAATAAGTAGGGCCCTACTGAATCTGTCTTTACCTTTTCAACCACAGAATATAAGACCTTCACCCTAGTAAACATGATCGACAATTAGCATCCGGAAATGACAAGATGCACATTGCCATTTTTGAGAAAAGAAACAAAGGATGACTACATTGCAGAACAAAATTCCAGCGTCACAAATTCCTTGACACAAAGCCATATCATATTCTGTTGATACAGTGCTAGGTCACCGGTATCAAACACATGCAAGAGGAAACTCCTTTTCCCTTTTTGTGTTCGGGGTTTCCCTGTAAAATACCAGGTGCACACGTGCACACGTGCACACACGCACACATGAAAAAACCGTGGGACTTTTTTTTGAGTTAAAAATTTATTTCCTGAGATCATGACACAGGAAATATAAGCTCAGTTAGAAACAAAGGGTTATTTACGTTTCTTCTTGTTTAATCGAGGAACACTGAAGCACCGAAAAAAAATCCCCAAGTTTGAATATAATGAAAAACAACCAATGATGTTCCATTTCAAGGTTTACAAACAATGAAAATTGAGTGATCTCATCTCGTTCCGCCATTTTCATACGTATAATGAAAACAAATCAAGTGTAGTGCAAATTCATAGTTTGCAAACAATGAAAAGAATGCAATTTCACTCTTTTCTATCATTTGTATATAATTACAAATGATCACTGTTGTGCAATTTCATAGTTTTAACATCCTCCACAGAAGTGTGGGTTCATTGATTCCACTAGCAAGTACTTTAACCCTTAGAGCATTACTCCATGTATATGCATTCTTCCCCTGAGGGCGCTAGCCATGTTGCTAAGATATAGTTTCCCACAGTACCTTGCGGCCCACCCACCATGGCAATTCCTCTATGCTTGAGTGTACAAGTGCAAATGAGAGCAGTACACTACGGTCAGTATCCAGTGAGAAAAACAAGATTTATGGTTTTAACGGAATGCCCCCAAATCTTAAAAGTGTTCCATATCCAGCATCATCCAAAAAGTCAAATTTCTGGCCCAAAATCCAACTTCACCAAATTCACTTGAATATTCACACAAGGTGCATAGAGACCAGAAATGAATCCCCTGAAGATTACAACTCACTGCAGTGCAGTCAGTATCCAGTGAGGAAACCAAGACTTTAGGTTTGAACAGAATGCCCCAAAAAATCTAGAAAGTTTTCCATATCCAGCATCATCACAAAAGTCCATTTTTGCCAAAAAGTCCAACTTCACTAAATTTGCTTAAATGTTCGCATACATGTAAGGTTCATGGACGCCAGAAATTAAGGTTTTAATCAATTTCCTCCAAATTCGCTCAAAGGTTCACATGAGGTGTCACAATTCAGCTCACTACAACCAGTTTCGAGCAAGAAAATAAAGATTTTTTGATGTTTACATTTGTAAATTCTTTTCCATATTTGGCATCATCCAAAAAGTCAAATTTTGGCCTCCAAAAAAACACATTTTCTTTAAATTGGCTCAAATATTCACATGTGTCTAGAGGTAGCAGAACCATCCCTGCGAAATTCAGCTCGCTACAACCAGTTTCCAGACAGAAAACCAAGATTATAGATTTCCATAGTTTGTTTATAATACATAACAACCCCAGGCAAGTCTTGAACCCAAAACCCGCAGAATTACCCGCAGCCCGCAAATTACTCACAGACCATGAGTTCAATGCCCCAGACCATAAGGCCATGGTACTCAGTACGAAGACAATATTTTGTGTGTGCTTATTCGGAGTGAAATACATCGATCATGTGTACTTTACGTCATATGAACGCGCATAAGCATGCCCCACTCAATACGTCCCTCCAACGCAGTTCTCATGAGTGGTCACAAAGCTCAATCTCCTGTCCATGCACAGACTCAATAGTACCCACTGCTACAATGGAGCAGTCTGGTGATATTCTGTCAGTAATTGATAATCAATAATCAATATTTACCTGAGTTTCTCCATGCTGGGGCAGACTCTCCTCAGGGCAGAAAGTTTCATCAGTGTCTCCAAGGAAACGGATAATGTCCTCCTCTCCAGCTCCTCCTGCTCCTCTGCCGTTCCTGCATCACCTGACCTAGTCACATGATTTATACTGTCCTGTGCCTCTGCCTCCTCAACCTCCTCTGTCGCTCCTGAATCACCTGACCTAGTCACATGATCTGTACTGTCCTGCTCCTCTGCCTCCTCAACCTTCTCTGTCCTTCTTGTATCACCTGACCTAGTCACATGATCTGTACTGTCCTGCTCCTCTGCCTCCTCAACCTCCTCTGCCGTTCCTACATCACCTGACCTAATCACATGATTTATACTGTCCTGCTCCTCTGCCTCCTCAACCTCCTGTGTCCTTCCTGAATCACCTGACCTAGTCACATGATCTGTACTGTCCTGCTCCTCAACCTTCTGTATTGTTCCTGCATCACCTGACCTAGTCACATGATCTGTACTGTCCTGCTCCTCTGCCTCCTCAACCTCCTCTGTCGTTCCTGCATCACCTGACCTAGTCACATGATCTGTACTGTCCTCCTGCTCCTCAACCTTCTGGGTTGTTCCTGCATCACCTGACCTAGTCACATGATCTGTACTGTCCTCCTGCTCCTCAACCTTCTGTGTTGTTCCTGCATCACCTGACCTTGTCACATGATCTGTACCATTCTCCTGCTCCTCAGCCCCCTCAATATCCTCTGTCGTTCCTGCATCACCTGTCCTGGTCACATGATCTTCACCATCCTCCTCTCTCTCCGAGTAACTCTGCCCAGCAGTGTGCCAAAACCTCTTGAGGTAGAACATGGCCTCATTCAAGATTTGCTCTTCAGTTGTCGTGGTGATCACACGGTGTGGGTATTTGACTTCACAGACCTGCATTAAACATTTCACAACCACCTTTGTTATTTCGGTACAAATTATTTTCTTTCTCTACTTACTGACGATTCTTGAAATGAACAGTGTTGTAGCTGAGTCCATCACGTCTCGGGTCCAAAGTGAATCACAAATCCTTTTACAAGTCAAGTAACAAGTAACAGGGGATGAACAATGTCAAAGGAATTCTTTTGTCACACTGTATTTGAATAGTTTGTGACTTGGCCTGGAACTGGAGGGCTTGTGATAGACTTTTGATGGACTTGCAGGGACTTGACTACAGCACTGAAACTTAACCCTTAACTCCTAAGGGTGATTAACTAGAAACCTTTCTCATCCTTAACTGTGCACATAAACAGTTGGACTCTGTTTATTTGTGGTATGCCTAATCCCACGTAAAGCACAGTCAGCTTACTAGTGCATGTACTCATCCTTACAGATTCCAACAAACCCTGGCGTTGGATTTGGCTGGTTGGGGATCATTAGGGTTAAGGGTTGTGCATGGAAGCCTTGCATAAGTACACCTCAGACTGTTAAAAAGAGTGATAAGAGACACTGGGATGGCACTATTGCTACTTGTCAAGTTTATTTTGAATAGTGTATATAGCAACTCAAATTTGCCAATGGAGACATTTGAAAACAGTGGTGACCTTACATTTTGATAGCATCAAAGTATTAAAGATGTGTGGCTCGATCAAGCTCTTCAAAATGTAGATTTTTTTTCTCAACAAACGTTCAATTTTGATGTTTTGAGTAAAAACCGTTATTTTTTCCAATTTGAGCATCTGCAACCCACTGAAAAAGGGCTTTCATTTTGCACATTAATGAACCCACCCTGCAAGAGCTGAATTATTGTCAGGAATAATTTGAATTTTGTAAAGAAAAATCTCAATAACTAAACATCAGTGGATTTTTTCCTACGATGTCTCATTCAAAAGTGACTAACTTTTACATTGCTAAAAAACTAGCAATTGAAAAACCCAAATCGATTTTCGGGCTGAGACTCGAAATAAATAGCATGGGGAATACATCTTTAGGAAGGAAGAAGTTTGTAATGTAATGTGAACACACTTAACGCAGAAACAGGATACCGTACAAACACTTGCCAGGTTATATGGTGTTTGAGGGCTACTGCAGTCAAGCTGTCTGCTGCCCTCTTGTGGTGATGCCATGCAAGTAAAGACCGCCATCTGTGTACAGCAGCCTAGGTGCTCCGTGCCTGGGGGTCCGGCCCCAATGCCCTCATAGGTCACAGTGTAACCATAGTCACTGGCAACTTTATTGCCCCTGGTGATGTCAAAGGAATCACATTTAACAACTGAGACACTGGACATTTTTAAAGCCAGAGTCCATCATTTGCAGCTATCCAAAAAGTAACTGGTGTAACTATTGTTGAAAAACATACTTGGTTGAAAGATAGTAAGGGAACTAAACTCCCTGTGAAATTATTCTTTCTGGAAAGCTGTCATTTTGAAGAAATCAACGAAAGAAGGCCTTTCCAAGAAGCACCGTTGGAAATTTATTCGGTGAAACGCGCGCGCGCTTGCTATAATTCGTCGGATTGGTGTGCGACATCGCGTAGCTGCAGTCGGCTCAGTGAGAACGTATCTCGGACGCTGAATTCAGGCCCAATTCAAAACATGACTCAGCAACTGTTGATTTGAAATCGAGATCCTAGAATGTTGTTTTTCTCGAAATATACAGCTGAAGCTGAGCTGAAACTTCATCAGGTTGGTTGTTCAGCACCCTTCTTCAGATTTTGAGCACTTTTGTTGCTTCAAACGAACAAAATGCACAAATTACAAATGATGGACTATACCTTTAAAGGGAATATACATCATTTGCTTTTGCTGTAATTTTCAGAAATGGATGGAATTGGGGGGTTGGAAATATATAGCAAATATAGTTACACTGACTTTTTTGAGGTTTTGGGTTCGAAAATGCTATAAAAACCAAGAAAAACAATAATTTTCCTGTAGTCTGGTTCCCCGACTCCATTTAAGAAGAAACAAAGCAGTTTACATATATTGGGGAATTGTAAGGTCAGGGAACCAGTCTAGCTGGCTTGTACCCGTTCATAGGTGTGTAATCGATTGCAAACAAGTGCGATGGTCAACTGGGGCCAGTATTTGAAAAAAAGCCAGTTTTTTCCAACGCTGATCGGCCGATCAGCGTTGGAAATTGATACAAAAATACCACTTTTCTTGAAAATGACATTATACCAGGTGCCATGATTTTACAGGATGCTTTACACTGTCATTCACTAACAGTCCAGCAAGGTATTTCAAAATGATTTGGTAGTTTTATTTTTTGATGTTTGCAAATGTTGTATTTTCCCTTTAAGGATATATTATATTCGACAACACCTGAATATTCCCCTTCATCTGATTGGTACATTGTTCATACCATGTCATTGCATTATTCCTCCCAACCCACGGCAACGCTGCACTGCTAAAATAGAAGTTCTATTCCACGGTAAATAGAAGTCCCATTGCACAGTCACATGGTCTGTGGCTCTGACCAATCAGACGATAAGGATTCTTTCAAGTGTAGTATAAAGCAAACAATGAATGTTTCACATTCCTGTAATGGAAAGAATCATATTATTCGGTAACAGATGGAATGTTCCATTTCACTTGGCTTCGCCTCGTGGAATACAACATTCCATCTGTCACTTCATGAAATTATTCCTACGACTGCACTCATAATCATTTGTTTCTTGTATGTTTATTGATTGCTTTGAGTGTTATAGTAAAACCAGTCTCCCAAGGTGATCCATTGAGAATTCTATTTTCCTTGTAGGCTTGTCTCAAAAAGTGGACCAGACTTGTTAAACTATACTAGCTTAGGTGTGAGCAGAGATAGTCAAAATATGGTTAACCGTAGTTCTCAAGCTTGTTCAGGGGTAAAGCAGGCTGCGTATTTTTTATTCCTAGGAGGGTTAGGGGCAATGTCATGAATAATTCATGTTTATCCATGAGAACGGACAATGACATCAACAGCATTGTTGTTAGTTACTCAACTAGTTACAATACATTAAAGCATTTTAAAGAACGGTTGTCGTCGAGCTACCACACAGTAGCCTAGTGGATAGCGAGATGAGCTATGAATACAAAGATCCCTGGTTCGAATCCACGTCGTCGCTGCTCATTTTCATCAGCTATTTTTCTTCTCCAAATTTATCACTGAGATAATTTTAAATAAAGGGGAAAATAGAACGAGAACCTAAGTCTTGCAATGATTCAAAGGAAAAACTGAATTATTCATGACATTGCCCCTAACCCTCCTAGGAAAAAAAATACGCAAGCAGGCTGGTTATAAGTCCCTCCATTATTTTTTAGAGATTTTGAAACAGAAGGAGGCTGAATCAAGCCAGTTTCAAAGCTAGAACTCTTTCCTCTTTTTCATGTTGGATTTATAACCAATTCACTGCATTACAAACAGCAGTGTAACATTGACTATCAGTCAATTGATATCAACTGACTGATGTTTAACAAAACTTCATTCCCCCAACTCTAAATCCCTTCCCTACAAAAAAAGAGAGAAATGTACTAGTCAAGTCCTTACAAATAATCACAATCACAAGTCATCAAAAGTCATCCAGTGTCAAGTCTGGTGACAAGCTATTCAAATGTACCGTGACAAAGGAATCGGTTGCCAATTTTCATCCCTTTAGTTGTGACCTAACATACTTGTGATTTAATAATAATAATAATATTGGCTTCTTGCATGGCACTCATGTCTGTCATGAAGTGACATTCCTGGCGCTCCAATATTACCCTGGCTTTACCACGGCTGCCATAATGGCGCTCAAGCATTGAAGGAATTTCTTCCTACCAGGTACCCATTTACTACACCTGGGTGGAGAGAGGCAATTGTAGTAAAGTGCCTTGCCAAAGAGCACAAGCACCATGTTCCCAGCAGGATTCGAACCCATGTGCCATGGCAAACGAGTCGAACACAGTAACCATTGGATCTCAGCACCTGAATTGTGATTGACTTAATTGTGACGTGACTTGCGATTTGACTTGTGAACGACGTTTGACCAGCCGAGTTGACCAGACTTGTAATTGACTTGTGACTGAATTGTGATTTGACTTGTAATTGACTTTTGACCTAAATTATGATTTGACTTTGTGACCTGACTTTTGATTGACTTGTGATTTGTCTAGTGACCACACCCACCATGACTGGAATTCCTCCCTGCTCCATTCAAACTTGTGATCTGGATGTCGGAAACCTTGAAAATCTGGAAACAGGACGTTGAAGTCAGCGTTGGGTGTGGTAAAGACTACGGTCCGCGGCCGCATGTATCCGAACAAGACCTCCGGGAGTGCAGCTAAGGTGTCTGGATACAAATGCTCAACACTGTGTTAGGAAATACGAATCAAAATGGGAAAATATACAAGTGCAGTTATCAAATCATTCATGAGTGAATCACAAGTGAATCAAAATTCTGGTGGTGAGGAATTTGGACTGAACTTAAAGCTAGAGTCCATCATTTGCAGCTATCCGAAAAGTAACTGGCGTAATTATTGTTGAAAAACATTCTTGGTTGAAAGATAGTAAGGGGACTCAACTCCCTGTAAAGTTATTCCTCTTAGCAAGCTGTCATTTTGAAGAAATCAACAAAAGAATGCCTTTTCAACGGTGCTTCTTAAGACGCACCGTAGGAAATTTAAATTAGTAGTTCGTTTTGTTATTCGGCAAAGTGCGCGCAAGCATTGGCACGATGCACACGTGCTCGCGGTTGCTATAATTCGTCGAATCAGTGCGCGATATCGCGTAGCTGCAATCAGCTCAGTAAGAAAGTGTCTCGGGCGCTGAATTCAGGCCCAATTCAAAACATGATTCAGCAACTTTTGATTTGAAATCGAGATCCTAGAAAGCTGTTTTTTTTTCTCGGGATATACAGCTGACGCTGAGCTGAAACTTCATCAGGTTAGTTGTTCAGTACCCTTCTTCAGATTTTGAGCACGTTTGTTGCTTCAAACGAACAAAATGCACAAATTACAAATGATGGACTTTATCTTTAACAAAGGATCACCTTTGTCAGAGTTGATTTTCGAACATGGATTGACATGTGATGACTTGTTATACTACCAATACAGTCCAAATTGCAGATCCTTTTGTGTGTACTGGTCATTTGTCAAAATCCCCCCCCCCCCCCCCCCATAAAAAAACACAAAATTTTATTGAAGGACTTAGCTTGGTCAAGGTGAACTTACATTTCTACGCAGAGGGCTAGGTCATATCCCAGCATCCTGTGGTCCTTCTTGCTGATGGATCCTTCGTACAGGCTGACAGTAAACGGATGGGAGCGGGGATGCAGGTACTCGCACATGAGAGGTTTGGCAAGGTATCTGGCAAGGAATGACAGTCAGTGGGAAAATGGTTTGATGAGACAATTTTATTTACAATCAAAGGGCATTAAACTTCCTACAGCAAATAAAAACTGTTTCCCGTTCAGAGAACACACTTCTTTCAAAGTTGTGGGGACCACTTCCAGTTTATATCCAATGAATTTTTCCTAAAAATAGAAAACTACACAATAATATGGTCTGGGCCAGTTCAAGATCTTAGCTTCACATGTCCGTACAATTCTGTTGGTAACGTCACATAGGAGGCTGCGACTTTCAACAACTTTAAGTGTGCTGTAATAAGGGGATAAGAGTCAGACTGGGACCCGGGGTGCTCTGAAATGTGCTTAACTAAATCAGGCCAACTTTACTCACTCTGCGGCCAGCAAATTTCTCCAAATATTCAATTGGGCAAAGAAAAGGTCCTCAGTATTTCACCAACTAAGTTTGCAGACTCAATTCAATGTTTAAAGGAGACATTTCTTCAATATTTTGCACATGAGAGGGAATAATAATAATAATAATACAGAGTATTTATAACGCGCTCTACCAAGATCACAGCGCCTAACAAAAGGGGGAGAAAAAAACAAGGGAAGTAAAGTGATTTCAAAATGAGCGTAAAGACTAGACTGGTACATGTCCAAACATGGTCCAACTATTTGAAAAGATTGACCTCTTCATTCAGTGTCATTAGTCTGGTGGCTGACTATGGAGAAATGTGTTGTAAATAGAGACTTGTTCCCGGTTCGTGCCACATATTTCTTTTGGCACAGTTGACTGGTGCAGTACTGAAGCGGTGTTGGACTGGTTGTTTCAGGTGCCAGTCTATTTTATTGTATTGCATGTTTTCAGTACCTTTAAAGGGAATGTACATCATTGGTTTTTGATGCAATTTTCAGAAATGAACTATTTGAGGGGTTAGTATATATAGATCAAATATTGACTCAGCTTGACCACTTTACCTTTAAGCTGTAAATGAATCCACGTTTTTAAAAATCTCTACGTACTTGTGAGATTGTAGGATGTCTGCGTCAATATCGACTCCAGTGAGCTGTTCCAGACACTGCTCCTGCTTGAGCTGCCTCAGCAAGCTGCACTCCCCGCAACCCATGTCAAGAACCTTGGGCAAATAGAAAAAATGTTACATACCGGTACATATGACTTGCAATATAAAATGCATACCACAGCACTATACCCCAGCCAGTACTTGCCAATGGCTCCTATTGGTTGGAAGTTTTAATATTTGCATATTCTCATTTGCATATAATAGAGCACTGCCTTCTTTGGTAATGATTGGGCAGTGTTGTCGCTGTGTGTCATATATACTTTGTGTCATGGCAACAAGCATATGTGGAGTGAATTATAAACAGTGTCGAAATTAAGTGCCAATACAGCTAGACTATTAAATTCCTGAGTGAAGTATCTACTATGGCGTGGTAACATCACATGGCTATCATGTGTCTTCATCAATGTACTTTCCAGTTGCTGTCATGTCATGACGGCCATCTTAGACATGGCAGCTGTTAGTTTAAAAATATCACAATCAAATGAAAATTAACAAATAACAAGGGTTTCTCTCACCAAGTGTTTAAAAATCCAGACAAGAAACATGTTATTCATTTTTATTTTACTTGGCCCAAGGATACAAAAGCTTAACCTAGGGCAGGACGGCTCCGGGTCAAGGAATTGCACCGTAGAAATAAACTTTCCAGTATCTTATTCATAAAAAAACAAACAAAAACACTTACCTTTTGGGGTTGTAATTTCTTGACCATGTTTTTCATTGCAATGTACCGTTGCACACATACTGGGGGAGTAAACTTCAGATCACTATGATGTAAAATATAAGACACAAGAATTAGGAATGTTATGTTTTAGTACAAAAGTTTATGTTTCTTTTTATTAAAGTGAAATCAAAAGAAACACAGTTTACTCAGAGATAGTTGAACCTTTTTGATGGGGGGGGGGGGGGGGGAGAGAGAGAGAGAGAGGGGCCAAGTGGACAAATTGGGAGGGGGGGTTCAAAAAAGATGTATTTTTACAAAGTTCAAATTCCAAAAAGTCCACACATTTTAAACTACCAATGTGTAGGTATTACACCCCAGGCCCAACTCCAAACTATGTGATGTTGATATTTAGCTCACATGAACCTTTCAGAGAAACTTTATGGAGATCAAACTGACTTTCTCTGTAATTTACATGGAAAATTGGTGTTTGTCGTTATCGGAATTAACCAGACAAATCGCTCCACCAACTAAGAACGGCCATGCACCACCACCCACCACCACCCACCACCGCCGTGGTTTATGCCTTGCGATTCAGCGCACCGTGCGTGCTCACGGTACATCGTGTGGTGATCGCCATCTTTATTTTCGGGTCAAGTGTTGTCGCTGCGCTGTCATCGTCACGTCATTTTACCCCCAAATTTCCCTCAAAAAATCAAAACCCTGCCCTCTATCTATGACATACCTGTTTATTGAGAATGTCGCCAACTAGTTTGGAAGGTCCAATAATTTTAAGATAGTAGATATTTTGCCGGAGGTAATGACGGCAAACTAACGATTACTAAAGGTTTGCCGGCGGCAATCCATATCAACAGAGGGCACTGTACTCTTTAAAATAGGGCTGAATTATAAGATGTATTAAATTCCCACCAAAAGTTGTGTAGCACGGTTGGTGTAATGGTTAAGCAAAGGCTCTAGTAAGCGGGATGACTCGCGTTCGATTCCGACCGCACCACATTTTAAAAAAAAATTTCTCATCCCCAAATAAATAAGAATATTCTTCTTTTATTATTTTAACATGTCTCAAACATTTTTTGCAGAGGTATTACATTTTCTTTTTCAGATTTGTGGCTCTGGAGGATTTTTTATAAAAGGGAAATAAAGTCCGAAATTATAAAATGGTCTGAATCCCATCTTGTGAATACGAGGTAACAACGATAATTTTGGCATGGAGCCAGACTAAAACTTGTCACCGGAAAATGTTTAAGTACAAAAAAACAGTAACTGCGCATGTTCAGTGCATATCCGGCAAACTAACGTTTACTAAAGGTTTGCCGTCTCCGGCAAAATATACACTGCCTAATTTATTTTTAAAGTGGATTTTGTTCCCTTATATGATACTAGAACCGGGCCCTACACTACACGATCGCCAACGACTGTACCCCTGGCTTAATATTATACACAAACTCTTTCCAACAATACACAATAGTGAGAGTCCCTAGGTATTTCGCAGAGTTCCTTACCACTTATCCATATTACCACATGGACGTGTTGTACTAAAACTTTGCCGTCGTCGAATGTTGCGTTTGGGCAGGAGGCGTACTCATTCCACGTGTACGCAACTTCAACACAACAGTTCAACATGCAATGTTTACATCCCACAGTGAATAGCGCCACCAAGAGTTATAAAGCAGAAATTAACTTACAGGATTTTTGAGGGCGGTGTTTTGAAAAATGTGGGGGGTGTAAGGGTAAATTTGGTAAATAAGGTGTAAATTTGGAGATTTCGAAGAGAATATTTTTTTTTTGGAAGAAGACTAAAAAGATCCTGTTCTTGTCCTCTCAGGGTTTTTTTTTTTTTTTTTTTACAAGAAGATAAGAAATGTCACATAACTGACGTTCCGATGTCAAAAAGTACAGAAAGTTGTCGTGTCAAACTTGCATATAAATTTGGGTCCTACAAAAGAGAATAGCTTCCAGCCTAGAAAATTATTCTGCCTCCTTTTTGCCCATTGGGAGCGGGATGGGGGTAGGTGCCTCCCCCCCCCCCCTTGGGGGGGGGGGACTCATATGCATAAAGCATAAAGAAATGGCCATTCTGTGTATTTTGTTCTCTGTTTTTTTTTCAAATCAGAAATCAAAACATTTCTATTTTTCAATTTATTTAATACAATGGTTTCTCTCCTGATGACATTTGGATTTTTGCAGACTTTCTTTTCAGGAAATGAACAACCGCTGCTCCTGCTATTAACTATGGTATAAAAAATGGGAAACTTTTTAAGAAAAATAACCCCTTTTCCCAACACACAACTAAAACAAGTGGAAAAGCACACATGAAAAGTGAGGTAAACTTTGTATATTTTTTTCTTCAATAACTCCACAAAGTGATTTTTTTTTAATATGGTACAAAGTAGGCAAACAAGTGGTAATTAAAAGCAGATGTATAACGTCAACATTCAAAGCTGTTTGAAATTCTATTGAAAAAACTCACTAATTTGCTTAGAACCCCATCAAAAATCCAACAAAAATATATATATCTCCATATTTGATATTAATACTGGGAAGTATTTTTGACAAAGTTGTATTTACTTTTGTTTAAACATTCTCTTCCCTATTTCCACATTTCTTCACTGAACCCACCAACTTACAACCTCTGATTAACAATGTTAATGCATTTTAATGGAGAGGTTGTCAGTTCATGGTATAACAACATTTTTTTTTTAGTTTTTAGTTTTTAATTTTTTTTGAAAATTTTGCTACATTAAGTTTTTTTTCTCGATAGTCATATCAACATTGTTACTTGTAGCATTAACATACAATACAAGCTTAATAAATAATCATGTGTTTATATTTGTGTCTTTGTTTCAATGTTCACACAGTATACAATGAAGCCAGTACAAAATTAAACCTCGACACCCTTGATATAGCAAGAGTGAAGTTACTTTATTTTCAAATATTGTTTTTAATATTACAATCCATTTCAATGTACACGTGTCAAACCTGTTAACATAGAATATCTGTATACATATAGGATTAGCTTTTTTTGAATGTAGGGCCGTCAATTTAATGAAGGCAGTTCACTAAGAGGTAAACAGGAATCACACAAATAAAGGTCGAAAAAGAAAACAAGGAAAAAACCTGAAATTCACGATTTTCTGAACTTCTATGGCTCAATTGCATTTAATGAGGCCTTGTTTGATATCCTTTTCACAAAAAGGAAAAAAAACCTAACAGACAGAGAATTATTCTGTTTTTGAGGATGGCTTGTTGGCATATTTTTCAAATTAATCCTATCCAAATTAGATGAGCTGACGAAAAAATTTACAGCCTAGCAGAAAAATATGTTTGCTTTTTTCTATTCAATTATTCATACTTCACCCTTTTTGGGTTACCTTAAAAAAAGACGATATTCGGATATTGGGATCCCTGCTTTTTTCCTCAATGAAAATGCCTCAAATTGCCTTGGCTTTACTTTCAAAATCTGTTTTATTGTACAGACGTGCTACACAATTTTGCTCTGTCTTTTTTGTTTTGTTTTTTTGTACAGGCATTTCAATTTGCATACAACATATTAACACATGATGTACAGATAATATATGGTGACCTCCAAAACACATGACCAAATTTTGCAACTCAAAATATGGAACAATAAAATGAAAACCCCAAAAAGTAAAAACACTGAGATGTCGAACAAACAGAGGATTGTGACATTTAAACAAGAGAAATGTAAACTATTTACAATGACATGAATTTATAATTCAACACCATGGGTAAACAACATTTAATCCCCTTGGCAAGCACAAAGTTTGCCCTAATTTTGGTCTCTTTAACTTAACAGTCATTTATAATTTCGGGAAAAAAGCCCCCCCCCCCTTTTTTTTTTAAAAATAACCCCACATCGCATTTCCAGTTTACAATAAAATGTACAAATCATCATTCGTGGTCAAAAACAACATCACTCCTGTAAAAACCTTTGGTTTAAAAAAACAAAACAATCGAGCTTAAATTTGAACTTTCCTTAAAAAAACAGGATAAGTTCACAAAATTATATAAAAGTCAACAGCTGATAATTGTCACATTACATTTTGAATGGAATCTTTTGAATTTCAAGCTCAACCATCACAATTTCGATGTTTTGATTTTCATCACTTTCTTTTGATTGGTAACGATAGAAGACTGGTTTTCGGTCTTTGCTGGTTTCCATCATAGGCAGCTGATGTGAATGTACCATTGACTCCTGCCATGTTATGTAACGTGCTCTTTGAAAACAGAGGTTTTTTAAAATGTGGAATTGGTCTTAGGTGTGGTTTAACTGATTTAGGCCTTTTAAAACTGTAGTTATGTTTTTTTTTTAATCCCATAAACAGGTGGTTTTTTTTGGACAAACTGTACAGTATGAACTGTTGCTGGCAACTTCTCAGTGGCATGTTCTATTTTATTAACATATGTGTCTTTCAAAAGGGGAGTTCTTAGTTTTTTGTTTAAGCAAAAAGCCAACAAATTGTCAAGTTTTTAAACAATGTTCTTTCCAGTTTCTCAGAGCAGGTAACATATTCGCCAGAATTCACTGCACACTTACTTCAACCACTTTTCATTGCATTAACCTTCAGAAATCATTTTGGACATAACGTAATTTTACTTAGTAGAAAATATGACAATCGTATCAAGGTTTTAATAAAACAATGTTTTACGAGGAAAAAAAAGGTCATGTTTACAAAAAAAACCTTTTCAATTTACTGAAACTGCTTTGGAATCAATTGAAATTACAGCCACAGAATGCAGTTTAAGAAACCAAAGGCAATGTTCTTTTTTTTTAATTGTCTTTCTAAGTTGCTTTGAAACCAAATATTGATTGTTGGGGTTTTTGGGAGGGAAATGTAGATTTTGTAAAGTCCTACTTCTTAACAAACACAAAATGACCTGTGTTACACAATGCAAAATCAAACTATTAAAAACCGAAAAGAAAATATCATCTATAGGACTTGCTTTATTCAAAAACCAAAGCAAAATACTTCTGTATTAAAGTACATGCACAATTAAAATACTTTTTTTTTCAGAGTATGTACAGAATCGCGATATTCCACCGTTGGTCAAGCAAAAGAATGTTTGTACAGAAAATAGGGATTGGATTAATAAAATGGTCCAGATTTTTGTCTTTAAAATGTCGTTATACAACTGTTAAGGAAATACCAATACACAATATATACGGGCGTTTAACTGATGCAGTCATTATTACTGAAGTGTATTTTTAGATAAAGCATTTTTGTACAAGCTTGTAAAGAAAGCGGCAGCTGTGTGGAGGAATAGATCGGAGGTGTGATGATGTTACACTTTGTTTGTTTTTCGCAATGCATTGTGGGAGCCAGGTGCAGACCACCACACAGATTGTTGGGTTCTTCGTTTGGTATTTGTGGGGTATATTGATGAAATTGAGACCGCAAACGGTCGTCATTTTGAGGGTTGTTTTGGAAGTTTAGTTCTAATTTTGATCACCCCACTCCTGTTGCTTTCAATAAGATTTGAAGGGTTGCATGGTAAAGTCAGCAATTAGAGTAAAGTATGCGGTTGCACCATATGCAGTTCTGAAAAGAATAGGGGACCGCAACGTTCCAGACAGAATGCTCTGCCCAAAGTCTGTGATGGGAACTTGCAAAACTGTAGTTCTGGTGTTTGTCGCATGCTACAGATAGGGACAATATTCCAATCATGAAAATTCATGACACAATCGCGAGTCCCCCACCTGGCTCTAAGAATGTTACGCAATGAAACATGGTGTGACATTATTAAGTCTCTGGTCAACTTGGGTGGGACGAAGGGAGAGGGAGAACAGAGAACCAGTGAAAAGGAAGAACAGGGGGTTACGACAAGGTGCTGGGTGTGTGGCACGTGAATAGTAGTGACAGCTTTTAACAAGTAAAACCACCTTGGCCCAGTCTCATGGCACTGCTAAGCGCACAACAGAGCCTCCATTTTACAGCAACTGTACAGATTTTACAGAGAGGGTTCAATGAAGCCCCTTCCAATGTTTTGACCAATTACAGCGGTGACTGATGTCTGACATGCGTGCACAAGGATGACATGTGCGTTAGTCTGGTTCCCAGACCAAATGATTCTAACCATTCTGACAAAATCTTAGGTCAGGTAAGCACAACATTCAAAACTAGAAGATAACACAGCACAGCCCAACAGCCCTCGCACGAGACACAACGTCTGCACACTGGACATTTAATACAGATTCTTGCTAATATACCTGGCATTGCATCTTTTTAAATGCAAGCACTGAATTTATGAACTTTTTTTTCAAAACCGATAACAAACATGACAGGTATATTGTTGAAAAATAGAAACTATTTTACACTGTTGCGAACATATCCAAGTGTCAATGAAATTTGTTCGGCAAAATTTGGACATTTTTGCAAAGGATCCTGCCCAGTTTTGGTCAGTTTTGTTATTTTAACCCTTGCGGCTACCTGACCACAGAATAGTCGGAATCTTTTGGTCTGGGAACCAGACTACATGTGCATATGACCTGTGTTGCTTGAACATGCAGTGTGGCATTGGAGATGCACAAGTTGTTGCCACTGTGGGTGGGGCTAAATGGATATTTGTTGTCAGACCTAGACATGTTGCCCACTGTGGGCGGGGCTAAATGGATATTTGTTGTCAGACCTAGACATGTTGCCCACTGTGGGCGGGGCTAAATGGATATTTGTTGTCAGACCTAGACATGAGCCCTGGGTTAAAAAAAAAAATTTGTACCAGCCATGCCAGTTACCACAAAACCCGAATGACAAATGACATATTCCCATATGGAGCTATTTACAGAATTGTGTATCACCACTGCCAGAAAAATATTCAGTACTATAATATAAGATCTGTGAGTAAGATATTCATCAGCTATATATCTGAACGGTAGATTGTGTGGCACAGAATACCTTGCCCCTGTTTGAACTGTACATATACATACAATTTCAATAGATTTGAGTTTGTTTTAGATCTATGCTTTAGTAAGAAAATAGCTGCAGTATTCTATTGACCCGAAGTTAACATGTGCATTACAAGTTTTGATACAGAGATAGCATGTTTCAAGATTTTTCTGATTTCAAACAAAGCAGTCCTATTTTGGGGTGGGGGCAAAGAATACTTTGCACATCGTTTGGATAACTTTCTTGACAGCCATAATAATATGGATTATACTTTGAAATAACTGTAAATAAAGATAACACATTTAGTGAAGTTCAACATCCCATATACAGATTTTCTTATTGTAACATTTTCATGTTTCCTTTTTCCTTTTTTCTTATACACTTTCATTTGTATTACATTTGTACAGATATTATTTCCCCATTTGGAAGTGTTGAATATTTAAAGTCATGTCAATCTGAAATTGTATTTTTTTAAAGAAAACCACATATCTTTCTACAGCTGCTTTATAAACCAATCTTTTTCCCTGATCTTAAAAAACATATTCCAGTTCATTCGTCTTTTTTAAAAAAATCATTTATTTCAATGTAGTTTTCATTAATTTTTTTTATATTTTTTTTATAGAAAGTAGTTGACTAGTGTGCTATTTTGTTTTTTTTAATAATTACTTTGTATACAAAAACAGCATCCTAGTCCTGTTAAGTTAATTGAATGCTATATACACACAAATTATATAGTAGAACATCCATTTTTTTGAAATATAAATCTAAAATAGCTATTAAAGTCAAAATAATATACATCAATAACCGTCTTGTGTAACACAAAACACATTAAGTCAATGGAACAGAAAGTCTACAAGATACATGTACATGTATACTCAATCCAAAAAACAAAAAGATGCGCTATTCACAAACTGCTGAACAGAATACTCCAATATTTGGAGAGAAAAAAGAAGGAAAGAAGAACAGATATTTGGCGCGAGGGTCATACATTATACACGTAGTTTAACGAGAGCTACATTGTGCTCATGAATAGAATCTAAATATTTGCATGTATTTATAGGTATTTATGCAAATATTGGGCAACCCAAGTTATTTCATTCTATGAAAAGGCTGGACATTTCTGTGCTTTCAAGGAAAAAATTTTGACTCCAAATAAGGATCATATATGTTCTTCAATTTTTAATCGAATGAAAAATCCACAAAATAATCAGCGAAGGGTTTGAGGTTCCCTGGGGCAGCAGGGCAACGTAGGGTCTGTGGTATATGTTTGTACTTTGCCTAAAGGCATCTCTTAAAATATCCAATTTTTGGGGGGTTCTATTAAACTTTGAAAGGTAAAAACACCTTTACGGTAAAACCCTCAGGGATTACAGATTAAAAAGGGACTCTTTCAAAATCCTGAAATCGGAAGAATTCCCGATGAAAAGTCCTGAAATTAGGAACAAAATCTTGACAAATCTCACCCTTGCTTACGTCAGTTGGTTCTAAATAAGGAAAAAGCAAGTCAAAATTGGAAAAAGGAATTAACCTTTACAGAACTCATTGCAAATATTGGATAAATCACTGATTCAACGCAAAAGGTTTTCAAGAGAGTTGTTGCAAATCTAGAGAAACAATTTGTATACATCTGTATTAAAAGCCTAATTTACAGCTTTTTTTTGCAAATTTCAACAAAAATAAAATATTTCGCTTGTGATTAAATACATCTCTATGCTAGTCCACACAAAGCAAAGAATTCTGTTGGGGCCCAGCCCCCAATTGTTTTGTGTATAAACATCTTTTTCTAAAAAATAATCGTTTTTTTTTTATTTTTTAAGTCAATACAAATTTGAATCACATCACAAAGGAACAAAAACACCAAAAATCAATTCTCTTGTTACAATGGCACAGCCACAAGACAAACTCAAAGTACGAGACAAAACAAGAAAAGAAAACGGGTAACACACTCCATTCTTACAAGACATTCTGTTTAATAATTTTAGTTTCTGAGGGGTGGAAAGGGGTGCTTGAGAAGATATTGGTCGCGTGCACTGTGCAGCTGTATTTCTGTACTGACGTCAAAAACAATACCCCACTGACAGACAACTTGTGCAGATATACGTTAACACAGAGATATCCACACAAAGTGCGTTACGTGCACTCCGTTTACTAAAAAAACACGACAACCCAAGATTACAAAATGTATACGAACAAATACTTTACAGCATCTTCAGCCTTTTGGAAGAAAATCTGGGCAGTAACTTTCTTTTTTGGGGGGGTTAAAGTCACCCCCACCCCTCCTAAACTAGGAAGTTTTGTTTTTAATTTGAATGGACTGCAGTAGAAGTAATGGAGATCTGTGTTAATACACATTCAGAAGCTGTAGGTTTCTTTTTGTAAGAGATTAGTCTTTAAAAAAATTGAGGAAAAACAATTATAGAACATCCCGTAATGCCAGAAGGGCTTATAACTTTTGCTGCCACGTAAACTGAGCTGTCAACACTACATAATTTGTATGGAATCATATTGACCCCTGAAGTTAAGAAAAGTCACCAAATTTCGTGCTGATCAGCTAAAGGTTCCAGAGTTATTACAAGAAGTTTCGGAGGGGGGGGGGGAGAGAAACACTGTGCCCCCCCCCCCCTCCCCACTAGTCGTGATACGGTTCATGGTTTAAATGCACTATTTAGTTTATAGTGACATTACAGATAATAATATATTGGTTAATAATAAAAGACTGGAACAAACCTACAGCTTTGAAGTATACACATGCTCTTCTTCCACTGCAAATTAGTGGCCCCTTGTCATTAAGAAAAAACAAAATAAGACTTCCTCAAAAATGGAGGTGATTGCCTTTATAAAACAAAGGAACTAAATTTGGTAAAAGGCCAGAGAAGGAAAAAATTAAAAACATCGGAGACCTGTTCACCGGACCCACGCCTCCGATATTCTGGGCCGTTTGGAAGGCGGGAGGTCTTTATCCACTAAGGCGCGCCCGCCGTGATCGCTGTACTGGGGTGAACCGTTGGGGTCAGCCGGCCCCGGCGAGGTACTGGGCTGGTTGGGCATCATCTGGGGGTTGAGCTTGCGGTCCCTCGGGGGCGACAGGGGCTCGCATTTGATGGACGTCGGGGTGGTGAAGGAGTTCTGGACCGGCATGGATGACGTGGATACACTCCTGTGCACAAAAGAGAAGGGAAAAAAATTGAAAACGTGAGGAAACTAAGAGCAAATTCCTATTGAATGACGTAATCTTTTGCTTCTTTTGGCCAATTTTTCGTTTGGAATTTGGGAAAGAGTTCAAAGAGGTCATCAAGACATTTGGATGAACAAAATAGTAAAGTATGCAAAATGACTAAAAGCATCACTATCAGTAACTTTTGCAGAAGAATTGGCACTAACCATTGGCATATTTTGCAGAGACTGTAAGAAGCACAGCGAAGAGCATCCTAAATTCAGGGGCAACATTGTCTCAAAAAAAAAAATGATGCAACAATAAAAATCTCCAAGAGCGTTCAACCGTTGGTATATCTGCAATGCGATCTATACGATGGATTTTTTTTGTGTTGGGAAGATATAAATTCAGATTTGGGGTTTTGCGCACTCCCTATTTCCTAATTCCACAAGCACTGTAATACTAGGTGCTGTCTGAGGGCTTGAGAGAAACATTCACAAGCTTACTCAGGTTGGACTTGAACCCAGGACCTCCTGCTTACTACTACAGACATCTTACATTCAACCACCGAGCTTACCAGGGTCAGCTGGCTGGTTCAAGATACGTCAGCTTGAGATTTTGTTTTTTTTCCTCACAAGCACTTGGACGGCGCTGAGTATACCATGCTTATGACATTAAGTCTGAATACTGAATTGGCCCTCGTTTTGAAGGAATTGAATGCCACTTACAGTGGATGGCCCGTGATTCCTGCGGCCTGTATCGCCGCCGTGAGTGGTCCTGCCTGGGTGGACTGGGTGTGCCAGTTGGGCATCGTGAGCCCACTGGGCGAATTGAAGTTGATCTGATTGAGGTCGGCACTTGTCAACTGGAACTCGGTTCCTAAAAGGGCAAAAAGACAACATGTTGGCCAGTTTTATCACCGATGTAGTAGGCATGGAAGCCATAAATGATTTAATTTTTTTGTTGGAGCCAGTGGGCCAGCCAAGAGTCTTCTCTGTACCTCACTGACTGACTGTCACTTATGAGCCGGGCAGTGCTATTGTATAGCATACCCTGCAACGCCAATGGCTCAATCCGGCCCATTGTGGAGACCAGATGTTATGAAAAGGCTTCCAGTGAATACCCATTCTGAATCATCGAATAGAATTCGGTGTGTTCTCGGACCAGCTTTCCTAGGCTTGCCTCGTCTTGCGCCTTTGCGAGCTGGTCCGACATTTTGTGAAGAACCCAGCTGACACAAACTTATCAAAGCAATTTTATTTCTATGACTGAGGTTGGACAGAACAATTCACCCTTTCTGTACAGTCAGCCAATATATCAATTAACAATTGTTGACTGCTGTGATATGGGATATGACGTTTTGAACACCCGAAGGGGGCATGCTATGCGCCCTGAGGGTGTTCAAAACGTCATATCCCACATCACAGCAGGCAACAATTGTTTTGTTATACCTCTGTCTTGGATTCTTTGGACTTTGAAAACATGAAAACAAACTGCAGTAAGCACAACAATCATGACAATCCGTGGACAATCGAATGTCAACTTACATGCATGTCGCGTACCGTGCTCGAAACAGCTGATCGTCTGCTAGTTCGCTGCTCCCACTCATGTGTGAAAACATGGTGAAAATAGCGCGGGTACCAACTATACAAGCGTTTCACACCGTACGTACAAAGTCATAGCACACTTCCGGTGGGATATCACGTACGTGATATCCCACAGGGAGTGTGCCATGACATTTTATAAACTTAACACGTGATCGTTCTAGGCCAATGAAAATACAGTATTCAAGACAGAGGTTTAACAACTCAAAATGGCGCCCCCTAGAAACAGCATGCTGATATGTTAGCTCGAATGTCACAGCACATCGTTTTCAATCTTTCTTATATTAAGGCAGTTTATTCAGTACTCAATGAGTTTAGGTCACAGTCAAACAGGGCTATCTTATAGCATGCAAAATACTGTTTATCTTACCTGTGTGGTATCCTGTCGGTAGGGCTGATGGGTAGTTTGGTATTACGCCGTGCGGATTACTGGGCGTGGTTAATGACACAGTGGGTGTGGCTAACGACTGATTTAAAGAGATTCCAATATTCTGTGGAAAATACAAACAAGAGGAAACAGACAATCAGAATCAACTCTTCTGGTTATGATACACCTTGGCCAAGACAACAACACAGTCATGATGTAAAATATAAGTACATACAAAACAGCTCCAATAACAATGGGAACAAGGTAGGCGATGTTACCCAGCGCGTTGGCATGTCATATTTCATCAAAGACTTAAGCAATGGATTGTACATAAAAATTCGTCTGTAGAAATCCCCCCCCCAAAAAAAATAACCCCCATTTGTACAAACGGACATTTTTATTATCATATTTTGTTACTTTATAATGACTCCAACAAATTGTAAAAAAAAAACGTTTAACAAAACAAGTGTTTTTACTTGTGATACAGTCCATGGGTTTCATACCCCCTGGAGGGCAAATGACACCCTCAGCTCCGTCATCTTCACCCATCTGGCATACAAAATGCCACATACTACTTCACAGCAGACAACAATTGTACATTGGGTGTTTTCACTGCGTGACGCACAAGTTTCCAGTCTGGCAGGTTGAAGCAAAACCTTATCCAGAAGTTTTATGAGTTCGCAATCTGCTTCCTCGTTATCTTGTTTTCAACCAGTACGAGGCCACAAGGAATTTGTGTAGGTTTCATTTCACTTCCGCAAAAGTGTCTTTGTACCGAGAAGTTTCTCCAAATGTCAAAGAAAAACGAATGAAGCCAACGACTGGCGGAAACAAAGGTTCGCTCATTATTTCACAGGTGAAAAATAAAATGAACGGTATTTTGACAACTGTAGATCTTCAACAGAGCACTGTCTATGGAAAACATTCAGTGCAGATGCATCATTTTCATCAGGGGTTCCAAGAAACCGTTACGTAAGGATAGACCTGCGTCATCACCTTAAATAATGAGATAAAGCCGACTATGTAAGACTGTAATTGCACAGTGTATTACCAATCTTATGGACATACATGGCTCAAAAACTACAGACACCTTTAAAAATGGAGGATTAAGGGGGCGAAACAAAAGAACAATTAAAAAAATTTAAAGGAATTCCATATGCACTTCTTATATAAATATATCATGGAGGTCGGAGGTCATGGGTTCGAGTCCCACTCAAGTAATCTTGTGATATTTTTTTTCTCGCAAGCCCTCGGACAACACTGAGGGTGGACTCCATGCACCAACAGTAGACAGCATTCCTCATGGGTAACAAAAATAGAATGTTCTTTTCAATCTGACAATATAGAAGTACAATGGACAGTTTCTACTGTGAAGACACACACCACGAGGGAGTGCGATATACTGTTTTGCTCAGAAAGTTGAGTGTTTTTTTTTTCCTCAAAATACTGAGAGATAAATTAGTCCGAGTATCATCTGTTGTTCAACGAAGCCCGCTTCGAACCAACGTCCGATATATGTAAGGATGCAAATTTTATGCCACCCCGCGCGTCAGCATATCAGAGTCAACTTTAGAAATTGTGACGTAATTTTGATCAGAAGTGTGGACTAAACTATTGATTGGTCAATTTGGCTGCCATGTTTTCGTAATACAACAACTGATTACAGAAGACCCGATAGAAGGCGCCCACTGAATGGTCAGAATCTCGAGGTCAAGGCGCAGACTTGTTTTGCATAATTAATCGCCGAATCTGCTCGCATATCATAGACCCTTGCTGTGTAAGGGGATGTTCCACAGACTAGCGATCAATCTGCATTCCAACCAATCTAGGACTGGGTGGTTATGAGACTGCGCTGTAAACTTTTCGTTAATTAATTCGCGTAACTCGGTGATATTTCCACCCATGAATAAATGTTTGCTACCGCGCAACACGCCACTTTTCGTTTCCACTTTCCGTTGCCACGCCTCTGTGTAAACTGTTAGAAATACACACACTAACGACCGGTCGTCTTACGTTTTGCAGGCCGGGTCTTGACGTGGGTATGACAACCTTGAGCCCATGTCGATGCGTGAACTGCTGCTTGTTCATGGATTTCAGTGGGAGGTTGTTGTTGGTGCCACTGTTGGGTGATATGGGACTCATGACACCGGAGCTGTGTGGAGGTCCCAGATACGTGTTACCTGGAAAATAAGTCATCCAAAAGGAAACACCATATAAGAGAACTCTTAAGAATCATTTTTCCCTGGTAAAAAAAGAAAAGAAACCAAAAACCAGATTGAACAGCACCATTCAGTGTTGTTTTCTGGTTAGTGAAGATTTTAAATACCCAATTTCACGTTTGGTATTGCAAAATCTGGAAGATTCCATCTCCAAAATAGAAGAAATGCCATGGAAAACTATGAATGAAATGATGAATAAATGAAACTTAAAAAAAAAAAAAATATTTTTTTTTTCCAGGTAGAAGGAAGAGCATGTATTTCACCTGTTAAAGTATGCAACTTTTCAAAGAAAATGTGACATTTGGAATAGACCACTTGGTTTGTGCCCACAGGCAAATTATAGCACACTACTGGAACAGGATTCTTGGCCATGAAGCCTAGATTTATTGTTAATATGTTTGTCCAATCACAGTACATGAAGGAAGACACAGATTGTTTTTAACAGGACAGGTTTTTAGCTGCACAGACATGCAGGTTATCTGTTTTAAAAGGCAACAGGAAACATTTAACCAGGCAGGCTTGCTACAACAAACACAATGCACTGTCAGTGGGAAACACAAGACAAAATGCAACAAGGGAAAAAAAAAGCCACAGACGGGCCTCGTATGTTTAAAGTCATTGGTAAAAACAGTGTTTGGTAAATTTGAGGATTCCAAACAAGGAGCAAATGGAATTATTTATTGACATGTAGCTCTTTTTGCAAGCAAATGCTCTGAACCGTGTAGCGTTAGCCTGGCATAGCATTTATATTACATGTGATAGCCAATTGATGCACCAGATTTCTCCCTGCGTGAAGTACGTCACAGCGTGAGCGTAAGGTGTGACAAATATAATCAAAGCGCAACCAGGTGAGACTGTTTACCGTGACTCCCCGGGAAAACACAAAAGCAATGGAGTGTATGAAAGTGTGTGCAGTGAAGTGCGAATTGCAAATTCCTCATGTTTTGTGCTGGTCCCAGAGGGCCAGGCCTAGTGTCTCCTTTTTTACCTAACTCACTGACTGTCTGTCACTTGTGAGTCGGGCAGTGCTATTGTATAGGACTACCCTGTATTGCTAATGGATGGGATAAATGTGGCTCATTGTGAGGACCAGATATATGAAAAGACTTCCAGTGAATCGTCATTCTGAATCAAGTGAATGGAATTTTGTGCGCTCTGGGACCAGCTTTACTTGGCTTGACTTGTCTTTTTCTGCTCGTCCGTTTTCTTTCTAACCCCCCCCCCCCCAACTCTTTCCCTCGCCTTACCTCCTTCTCGTTGCTCGGAGTCTGTCTTGTCTCTGCTGTTTGTTTTGTCGGGGTCCTCGCTAACGCTCACCAAGCACCCTAGTGGCGGGGGGAAGATGGGGTACCGGTCGCAGCATGCGGAGTACCAGTGAGCAGCCAGTGTTATGAGTGTATATGGCAAGCACATTATGCAGGTGGCCCCCAGTTGGTTGGTTGGTTGGTTGGATAGTCATGCATGGAGTGAGAGAGAGGATGGAAAAACACACACAAAAGTGCTGCTGAAGCCACAGGTTTTTTTTTTTTTTAAGGCAACAGAAAAAAGTAGTGATCAGCCTTTTAAAAAACAAAAGGTTCCTGGTTTCCTATTTTATTATTTTTCTTTCTATTTATTTATTTGTTTTGAAGCAAGTTGGATCATGATGCTCAAGATTGTGGAAATGACTGAGGTGCCATGTTGGAGTGTTGAAAGCAGAATCATAAGAAATAGAAACATCGCCATCCCCTACGCATTTCACTTTGTGCGCCTTCTTATAATCACCATGCAGTTAAAACTTCAACTTTTCAGTATCTTCAAATAATAAAAACAAGCATTGTATTTTGTATTTTAAATGCTCTTGCCTGAATTCACATAAAGTGCAAAATGGACAAAACACAAAAACAAGGAACCTTTTTTATCTGGAACAAATTCATGTACAGAGATGCAAGCACCGTTTCCGTGCCCAGCGTGAGGTGGCATGGATGCCAAAATGAACTGATTTGTGTGAACTTGGGGGGAAATGAGTACCAATTATGTATGAACCGCAGAGCAAAAAAAAGTGCAGCCCCACAACCAAGGTACACGTACATTTTGTACCAGAATGCGCTCATAAACATAACATTAGTAAAACCATGTTTCCCACACCAGCAAAACGGACATACACGTACTTTAGATTTTGGGGAATTTGGCATGATTTTGACTGAAATTTGTCACATGAAGGTACATGTATGAATGGCCTGTTGCTTGGAATAAACCTACTTTATAAGCAGGCTTTCCTCGTGCAGTTTGTAAAAATTAAAATGTTCCTCAAGTCTCAATCGAGATCTATGTTAGCCTTTGTTAGGCCGGCACACCAAACTATGGCCATTACTGATGGCACCAAGACAGGGATAAGATCTACCACTATGGATGCAAGCTAAAGAATTAGGCTACATGTTCTGTTCCTGTATACAGAACACATTTATTTTCAAGAGCAAGCTCGTGTTAGCGTTACTCACACCCTTGTAATCAGAAAAGAAGACCGTGGAATTCGAGACTTTTCCATTTTTGTGTACCAAGCTTGGCTTTTTAAAATGTACCAGACTTAAAAAGGAACTGGACTGTGTTACTCTACACTCATGCAGCCCTCTTCAATGGTGATAATGCATCGTCATCGCAGGGTACTGGTGGCAGATGCTTTGTACAATAGCTGGAATAATGCTTTTGCCATTGAAGGGGGCCTCCGTGGGTGTAGAGTCATAGCGCTCGGAATTGTCTATATCCAAGTTGGAATATGAGGCCAAATTGTAAACTAATTTTGACAGTATGGATAATTGAGATCGATGATGACAACTGCCAATTTGCTGACGACAATTGTGGATTGGTGTTTTTTGTTTGTTTTTTTTGTAGTTGAGACTAACCTGTGCTGGCAGGACGAGGCGGTTGAGGCGAGATGGTATTCCTCATCATGCTAGGCTGTGGACTTAGACTGGTCCTCATGTGTGGACTGTGATGGTGCTGCTGCTGCTGCTGTTGTTGTGGTTGCGGGCTGAGACTGATCCGTGACATCGGGGGCTGGGGGCTCAGGCTCTGTCGGGGAGCCGTGGCAGGCGGCTGCATCAGCTGGGGGCTGCTGACCAGCGTGGGCTGGCTGGGCGGGCTGTTGTTGTAGATGTGCGTCATCTGCTGGTGCTGGTGTGCTTGCTGCTGCTGCTGCTGTTGTTGATGCTGCTGCTGCTGCTGCTCAGAAATGGGGATTGCCACGGGCATGGAGTTTGGGTAGTTGTTGGCCATCGCTTGACCCTGTAAAACAAAAATATGGGCTCATTTTTGTGAATGTACCGGTAGACATGGTGATACTAGCGACTGAGATCATAAACTGGTTTGAAAAAACCCTCAGCGTTGAAGCTGAGGTTCTTATGACCGATCACAAGTCATCAGAAGTTCATGACAAGTCAATCATACGTCATCCAGTTCCAAGTTAACTCATAAGCTATTCAAATGAACAGTGACAGAGGCATTCCATTGTCATTGTTCATCCCTTGACACTTGTGGGCACGTGTGGTCCAGCGGTGGAGCACACGATTCATGATCGTGAGTGGGTTCCAGCACAGCCGTGGCCATGCGTGTCATGTCCTTGAGTAAGGCGCTTTACCTCAAATACTCCCCTCAACCCAGGTGCTAAATGAGTACCGACATTATTCAATGCTCGGAAGGTAACAGACTCGCTGTGGAGGTGTGGCAATCCCCCCACAGCAGCATATGAGTCTGGCCCAATTGCTAACAAAAGAGAGATGGGCACTCCGCTCCTGTTAACGCAGGTTCGTCCCCTTTACTTCTTTTGTTTTGTTACTTGTGACTGGACTTATGAATTGAACTGTGACAGGACTTGTGATGTACTTGTGATCCATCATTAGTACCTGTTCTTTTATGACAGCATGTACAGGTACATGTACATGTATGTATTCAAAATAAACACACTAACAATGTCCTGTTCTCATGAACCAGACATCAAAAGTTGCAGCATGCTGTCGGTAGCATCTTGGTGAATAAAACTTGAACACAAATTTGAAGTAAAAACGCTTTTCATGATATTGCCCAAAAGCTCCAGTATTAATCCTAAACAATCTTCAACTCAACACAGTGAGACTTTAGCTGGATGCTGTTGATCTCAGCAGGTAACAAAAGATGACCCCGTCTACATGTAGCTGATGGAAACCATTGGATTCAGTGGAGCCAACTTGTGTGTAATATCAAAATTTCTAGTGTTGCTAGTGAAATATGAATAAAAGGAATAAAGATGTTCCGTCAGTGCTCTACAACAACAAATGTTTTCCTTTGATGAATGTTCAACTTGTACACATGCTTTACTCTTGCGTAAAAACACTTCTCTCTTCAATTCAGACATCTGCAACTGTCTGATAAACAGGATTCTTATTTTTGGTTTTCATTTGTGCACTAACCGAATCGCCCCGAGAGTAGATTGGCTCCAGGTCCCTACATTGATAATGCTGGTGGGCGGGAACCAGTCTTTCCTGCAAGACTTAATTAGGCCGTGACAAACGTAGTTGGCTGTGGCTTCAAATTACACACGAGTCTATGGTAGCGGCTGCAGCCACTTTCCATAGACTCGTGTGTAATTTGAAGCCGTAGCCATGTAATTCGGACACGGCTTTCTTGTCGAGCCAACAGTATTGTTGTCCTCGTATTTGATTTTGAGGCTATTCATAGAAAAGTCTTGTCTTTCAAATCAGCGGACTTACCCTTGACATGTTTCCGTTCATCATTCGGTCAAATTCCTCATTGATTTTGCTGTATTTGGCCTCTGTGCGCGGTGTCAACGTGCAGTTGTAGCCCTCTACGTCTTGGTCCGGACTATCACAGCCTTTGTTTTCTTTCTTGTTCAGCAACTGACAGATAAAAAATTGAACAAAAGATAGATATTAAACAATGTATACAAATTAAACAAAATAAAAAGGAAAGGAAAGATAAAAATAAACAAAGCAGTCCATATCAGTTCACTTTTCATGTCAGGACTATGTAGTGGAAAATTAAGAAACAAAGATCCAAGTCATTGGGTTTTTTTGTGTCCAATATAAACTGAGATTATTAGTTTTCTGCGCTTATTTTCTACAGTTTCTTACAATTTCACAGTGAAAACAACAAAACATATTCTTTCCGACAACCCTAGTGACCTGATTTTTTTGGCTGGATATATGTTGTTTTTACAAGTTCTATTGTAGTACCAAATTGCATTACAGATTCAAATAAGCCTAAAAAATTACTTCAAAAAGGACACTTGGATACTTTGTTTTTTTAAGGGGGGGAGGGGGGAGGGGGACGTGCGATGGGGGGGGGCATATTTGTGGAAAAAAGAAGCTGTCTGGACATACTAAAAACCGAACTTAAACAATAAAATAATAATAATAATATAATTAAGCTGACTTTGTCTTTCATGCGCAGTCTACTCTAAAATTATTACTTTCTGGTTTTGCTTATTATGGTTAGTTCTATAATGCAATGCAGAGTGTAGTGTCTCGTATTTTCATTGGCAATGAGCCAATAACGCGTCAAACATGTCAAGGTCTACAGCACATTACTGATGACTTTACAATACTCAATGTAAATTGAGTATGTAGGACAAGGTACATAACATGTACATGTTGGATTTGGGAAATCGCAGGAAACCCAAATGCACGCATTAGAAAAAAAAAATTTGTTCCCCTGTTACATGAAGCCCACTATTAAAAACTATATATACTTGTAAACTTTTTTTTTACTTGTAAAATATGGGGATTTTTAAGGGTGTGTTTTTTGAGATTAATATTATCAGTTACATGTAAGAACTGGCAAAATGGACACTGTACATGCATTCAAATACTGCCACACTTGCCATGGCACTTCACTTAGCACGGTGGCACTTAATAAACTGTGCTGATTGATCAATTTGGTGAAATATTAACTTGACAAGATTTGAACGTATTGTACAAACCTGTCACACTTGAAATTGACTGAGTACCGAGATAACTGCTAACGATATTGTTATGCTTGCATGATGAGCATGACGATTTGCAGCACAGTGTCACCATTTTTGGCAGAATTCTGCCTGTCAAGTTTAAAATGCTCTTTGCTGTGCCTTCTGCTAACTGTTTCTTGACAGAGACTGTTTCCAGAAAACTGTACCCAAAAAAATTGGGAACACCAAGGTTTAGGCTTGAGTGATTTCAGGCACAATCGGATAGAATCCATTCTTAAGATGGAATCCGAAATCTTGTCATTCCATTTGTCCGAGGAATCAATTCCCAGAAGTAACAATTCAATTTTCTCATGAATAGATTCCAGACACTACAAAACAAATTGTATGTCACTCAAAATGTACATCACATGTATAGCAAATTATCATTTTTACAAGATAAACAACGTAACTCCTTTTAAAGACATAGTAATTCAGTACTGTCACTCAGTAGTGAAATTCAAAGTTCTTTCCTGTTGTTGTTGGACGGATAGAAATAGATTCATTTCCAAATGGAAAGGTGACTCCTAAATGGAATCACTATTGAATCCACAGGTTTTGGCATCATCAGTGTTATTTACAGAATAGTTACAAAACATTTAAATTCCTTACTAATCAGAGGATAATGAGATTCTCTGAAGTATGCCTCCCAGAAACAATTTTTAACAATAAGTCAACGAGCCGCTGGAATTGTTTGGCCGGATGTTATTTTGTCCTTGCATGTGGCCTATGGTTTAATGATGGGCCGTGGGGACATCCATTTCTCCGGACAGACTACGTTTTTAAGTGTTAACTGGTGCTGCAGGCAACACACAGATTAACCCTAACTCCCTAGGCCTTTTTGCTAGGATGTAGCCTCAATCCTACAAAATCCTCCAATTGGCCTCATGGAAAAATAGCATGTAGCCTCAATCCTGCAAATTCCTCCGGTATTTCTTGAATATGGTCCATGGAGGGGTGACCACTGCCTGAATCCTGCAAAATCCTCTGGCTATGACTGTCAATAGGCTGAGGCAGAGGCAGTGACGTCCTGGAGCAGTGCGGAGGATGTCAAGTATAATCAAGGACTAAATTTATGCACGGCTGAGCATAAACAACACAAGGTCCGGCCCAAGACCTTGACACAGTGCGTACTACGAAATCAGCAACGTACTTTTGCCATGTAACCTCAATCCTGCAAATTCCTCCAATTTGCAAAAAGGATTTTGGAGGATTCAGGGCGGTTAGGGTTAAGTTAACAAATTTACCGTAGTCCTGCTGTTTTGCAAAGCAGGACAATGTTGAGTAAAACAGGAGTACCAGTACCATAGTACTTAACAAAAAGTTGCCAAAAGTTTCCGCCTCTCGTATTTAAAGAATCTGGCTCTGATAAAAGCGACTAAAATAAATATTTTTGTTAGTCTTACCCATGCATTTAAAAAAGAAGAAATTCACAAGTTGAAGATATAATAAACCTATGGAGACAAATTTGAACCATTTCAAAGCAAGTTGTTGAGAAAAAGTTAAGTTGCAGTTAGCATGTATTTTAGGTAAACAAATTAAAACTCAGACTCACCAAATACCATCAAGTCAAAGATGTTCTAAAACTAGCAAGAGAGGATCCAAGGGGAGTGATTGTTGGTGGTCAACCACCCTGCACCCGTTTGACCAATGTTAATTATTTACATATTTGAAAAAAATCCCAACTTTCCTTAAAGTTCCCTATAATACTCAATATTGCACATCTTTATTCACTGCTTCAGGTCCTTTTAACTGTTGACTGAAACACCGCATTCACACCCCCCCCCCTGAAAAATCTTGGACTTCAACAGCCAAGCCACTCCCCTTTTGAAAAATCCAGCATCTGCCAGTGACCAGGGTAAGCTAAGGAACAATCTACAAAATCTAGTTGTAGATGTGCATGTACAGAGTCTCATATCCAGGCTCATCTACCCTTCCCAAAACAAATACCAGATGCCACGGATTGCTCATACTTTCTTCCAAGCGGTCAAAACGCATACACAGTTCATATACCCTTTCTCCGGCGTGCCATAAATAGCCCCCAATCCCTCAGCGTGCCACCGTTTTTGGACCGCTCGCTCCAGGAATAGCCGCGGCCCGGGTTATTTCAGTTCAACCCCAGCGAGGTACCTGCCAAACCCCCGGGTCTGAGGGTTTTTTTTGTGGCAGGCTGCGGCGTCTCTGTGTGAAGCGTCTCGATGAATCACCGGCCTGGCTCAGTCGGTGTCAAAAAAAAAGAAGCTCACCACCTACAGACCCCTGCTCTCAAGATGCTGTTTTCGATCCAAGCAACGGACCTAACAAATAACAACCAACATGGTTTTAAGACCTTGACCAGACCTTGGTGCAAACATCAGGAAGCTCTTGGCCCTGAGACCTCGACAAAACTTTCGATTCTTTCCCCTTCCGAGAATCTGTCAACTCCTCAAAACTTGTCATAAGTAGCGGGAAGGAAATCTTGGACAAAAAAAGAAATCAATTACGTGGTGTCTACAGTACATCTCCCATTAATTCAATCATGGGAAGATACGGCTAAGCCCTCTCAAAGACACGATTATTCTAGAAAAATGCAGCAGATAATTCCTGCAAATTTGCAACCATGGATTAAAATACACTTTCCTTTTTCCTGAAACGCGGTTCCAAATTTCTTGACATCACAAAGACGATTCAAATCAATCCTTCAATCCCGCACTTGTCACCAATAAAAAAAAGCTACTTTATTACGATACACACCGATGCAGATTGTACGTGAGTCGATTCCTGGAATTTAATGGTGACGACCCTTTCTGACCAGCCTCTTAAATCTTAAGATTGGAGACATAAACAAATTTCACCTTTTGGTACCTGTGTTTTTTCCTTCATTTGTACACGTCTGAAATTAGAGACTGCTTGTAAATTTGTCAAGAAAGAAAAGTTTTGCAAAACGGTCTGGCAACTTTATGACACTGAGCAGGGTTTTTAAAATTTGAAAAGGGTGTCTAAAGTAACCTTGAATTGAGGAACAGAGTTGCACAACAGGGGTGAGAGTAAGGAAAGGAATATTTGGCACAGGAACCAGAGCAACACAGGGTCTATTTACAGTACATGTCATGTATGTATTTGGCTAAAACGGCACTCCTAAAAACTGCCCATTGCAATTGTTTCACAAAAATCTTGGACCAAAAACTTCTCATTTCGGCCTTTTAAAATCCACAAATCTGGGAAAAAAATGAAAAAAAAAAAATTACACCTGGTTCAAATTGCTATTTTGTTATACTTTTTCATACATATTTGCATTTTCTAACAAAATAGATTGTGCCTAAAATCTTCGCAATGATCCTCCTTTCCCAAAACCAAGTCAAGACCTTCTAAACTACAGAATGCAGACAACTTCCGGTAAAACCTTTACAGCAGGCAGTAGCCAGTGGAAACCGATCGACCTCTTAATTCGGGCACAGTGTGATGATTATTTTTTTTCGCCTATTAACCCCACCACCTAGTGTGACCCACTTTCTGGGCCGTCCAGCTGCACAATGTGTCAAGTTAATTTGCTGTGTTTTCTCTTTAATTTTTTATCTCGGCTCGTCAGCTCCGCATGGAAAAGCCGGGAAACCGCAACGGCTCGGAAAGAACGCCGGGGTTCCTACTTTCGGATTATCCCATTTGCGTAACATGTCCCCGAGAATGATGCTTTGTGTGCAGATAAGGACTGCCACTTGTTGGCGACCTCCTAGGGTGTGAATGCGTCGACTGTGTCTTTGAACAATGTAAGAAAGAAAAGAAAAAAATATTTGCTCGTAATTACTCCAATAATTCCTTCACCTTTGATCATACCCAACTATAGGCTTCCGTGTGGTCTGTGGAAATTATGTACATGTACCGTAGAATGTAGAAAGAATCCGAATTAGCCCATTAGAT